TCTATGGGTACGTTCCAGATCATCCTTGGAGAGATTGACCTGGAGAACTTCATTTGCCACTTGAAGAATGATGTCATCGGTATCTTCTTCACTGCGTTCCTCGAAGGCAAAGAACAGGAGACAATTTCGCCTGGAGTATTGCTCCTGTTGGTCGAGCTTGCGTTGTAGTGTTTTAATCTGCTCGTGTTGATTTTCAAGTTGGTTTTGGACGTTTGCGATCTCCTTCGACTTGCTGTCTGATACGATTTCGAGATCGAAGATCCTTGCCTGTTGAGTGTCGATGGTTTCCCTGATGTCAGCTAGTTGTTTATTAACGCGCTCTTCCACTAAGTCGATGAATCTTTTATCCCGAAAGATGTCCTGTATCACTGATGCCAGCAAAGCAGATTTCTCTTTCTCCTTCCCCCTTGTATTCATTTGGGCTTTGTCTGTATCTGCCATGGTAATCGTTGGTTTCGGTAGAGCTGGATTAAATTACCAACAATGAAGCTTAAAGTGTCCACAATAAAATCCTGGGTAGCAGTAGGTATCACAGCTAAAGTTTGAAAGTATCTACATTTCATTTCCCCTGCCAATTTCATTTTAGAGCACATGAAAAGAGGAGTTTTGATACCTCATTTGTCAAATTTGAATAAGTACTTTTGAAAATACGGCCACTTACATAAGAGACGAAATGGTCAAATTTTGCGTAATTAGGCTGTAACTGACAATTAGCCATTTTCAAGGCGACATAATTTTGTAATTAATTGATGAATCACCTTTCTTTTCAAGAAATCTGTTCTCTGTATGAATTTCTACATGCCTATTTTTTTCTAGGTCCTTTAGACAAATATTTTTTTTTGTGGAATTTTTCAAATAATTAAATGAAGCCCATTTTGATGCGTGTGACAAATGGCTATTTTTGCGTCGCCGGAACAAGTTTTCATGGGTTTTGAAACATGGCTAGATTTAAGAGTGTCTATGAAGTGGGGCTGAATTTCGGCATATCTGGGGTATGTATATAGCTTAATCATTTCTGTAAGTTTGGACCATCAAATCCATTTAAATTAATTTTTAATGGCATTTGAAAAAGGCTCTTAACTCTTAAAACTTCATATTTTAAAGCACCCTTAAGCTTTTTTTTGTGTTTTCAAGTCTGCCTAAATTGAAAACCATTAATGGTAGGGGAATGAATTTTGGCACATCAATAGAAAGTATGGCAGTGGCGGATCCAGGGGGGGGGGGGGGCACAGGGGGCACATACCCCCCCCCCCCCCCGGCCAAAAAAATATGTTAAAATCAGCCCTAAATTCCCCCAAAATGTACTGAAAAACAGGGACGTGCCCCCCCCCCCCCCCCAACGGAGAAAATTAAAAAATTTCTAGACCCCCCCCCCCCCAAAAAAAAAGTGCCCTCTTATCCCCCCCCCCCTTTTATTCAGCGGTTGGCTGAGTCGTTACGATTTTTTTTTAGACCAAAAAAAAATAAAAAATGTCCTCTTACCCCCCCCCCCCCCCAACCACCCTCCCTCCCCCTAGGCCTACCTAACTTATTTACTATATAAACAAAAATAATAACAAATCCCTTTTAATTGAAATTCATAAATTGAATCCACGATCTTAAATTTAAAAACTCTGGGAAAACAATAAATGCCCTTTAAATCCTTGGCGTGGGTTCGCAATCACAACATGAGAATAGAGACACCAGTATGGGCGGTGCACGGCCGCCGAGCTATCACCGAGTGTGTGTGTGTGTGTCGTTGGGTTTTCATACAGACGTGCATCAATCAGATATGATTACTGAAAAGACACTGCCTGAATTTAATTGGAATTTAATAATTATTATCCAAAGATCAGAAAAGCCGTCATTACAGTTATTTGATGTAGATTGAAACACACAAAATATTTTTTTTCTGACAGAATTTGATTAAATTTTCACTCTATAAATTGACAAAGATTACACAAGTTTGTTCTTGAATTTCTTAAAATGTCACTTTGAAATTCAAAGTTCACTCGCATGACGTGTGAGAAAAATTGCGAGTGGAAAAACACAAACATGTATTATTGGTCTTGTGATCGCTTTAAAATCTGTTTAGGTTACGATAGCATAATAATTCCGTCGAAATATATATGTATTTACTAATTTGTTCGCCAAATGCTGCAAATCCTGCCTCAGTTTCGATATTTGAAGCCTCAGATTCATGCTCCGTTTCGGATCTTGATGGGACGGCAAGCAGCGGGTGCGGTGATGCGACACGTGGCCGCCACGTTGCCCGTCGGGTCCGCGTGCGAAGCTGGGGGCTTGCTCGCTGTAGTCACTCTCGCTCAGTGCGTATTATACACAGAGTACAGCTGTACTAACCGGATTCGCGCTCTAGCGCCATCCAGCGGTCATTCTTAATATTTACATGATCGTATTCTCCAGTAAATTCTCTTTCTTCTCGTATCAAAATTGAATTAAAAGTATGTTTTTCTGATATAGAAAAATTGTTTCAAACTTTTCACTCTGATTTTTCACGATCTTTTTGAAACATACCCCCATCAGTTTTTATATGAAAATAAAGCTTAAGATGTGCTCTTTCCAACCAGTGGATTTTTAAAACTCAAAGACGAATGGCGTTCAAGCGAATTGAGCTAAAACTAGGGATACAAATCGGCCGTCAAAAAAAAATGGCGACAAACGAAGTGAGACCGTACGAATTAGAGGGTAAATCTCAAGCAACTGTGTCGTAAGTAATTAATGGATTTTGATGAAAATGACATGACATGAAAGACAGAATCCTAAGCTTTCGAGAGACATATAATTTTATAATATTTATTTTTTCCATGATATGAAAATCTTCCTTCACAAAAAGAGAATTTGCGTGGTGGAGCTCTGTGTGTCCCCACTCAACGCAGCTCTTCTGTGATACCTAGTAGCAGCAGACTGGGGCAATAAGATGATTGTAGTTGACCATCAGCGCCGACAATAAATATGTTCACTTCATGCCTCATTAAACAGCAATACCATGGCATAGAAGTATACTAACTATAGGGTTTTATCGGAAATACGAAAAAGCAGGTTGGAAACGAAATTTTGCGTGTTTGGGACTATCAGCACTTTTGATCCTCTGAGTGGTAGTAATAAACCGAGTCCAAAGTTCACTATTTCACGGATTCGATGCGATAAAACATGCTCCTGGTTGTAGTTTGAGGCTTTAAAAAGCCTAACATTACTAAAGCAAGAGTCAGAAACATATACGGAATGTCAAAATACTCACAAAATAACAGAAAACACAGAGTCCAAAATCATCCAGATTCGCTTCGTTCACTTCGTGTTTGATTTAATATTGAAAATATAATTTGGAAGAAGTAATTAGAGAGGGAATAATAATGCACATAGGCCCCAAAGGTATGATGGTATCCTAAAAAAAGACTATGGATCGACTATGGACAACGTTGTGTAACATTCTTATCTCTTTTATTTATATGTTATAGTTTAACGATTTGTGATTTAATGTTTAGATTCAGTTTTTTTAAATATCTGTATAATTTGTATTATCACTTCTTCAAATTTGCATTTTGCATCCCAGAATATTACCTACCGAACTCGTCTATATTTTTCTCAGAATGATAGTGAAACTAATCGTACATTTCGCGGCCCATGGAATAGCAACAAACTGACTTGTGATGGCGCTTTACAGCAATTAAAAAGATATGACGGGTTCGGAGCAGTGACTACTCATTGTCGCGGAAGTTGTCGCTCATCTTGGCAAAGACGGCTTAGTGAAACACTTAGCTGAAAAGCTTCTCCACCTCTTACCCATTCCAGATGGTGTTTGCTGACATTGCAATGCTCCCTCCTTCTTCTAGTGGCTTTCGCTACATCCTTGTGGTTGTAGACCACTTTACAAAATTCATCAATATGTATGCCATGAAGGATCAGACAGCTGCAACTGTGTCAAAACACCTGTTTGAAGACTATGTCAGAGAACATGAACTACCAGACGTGCTGCATACCTATCAGGGCCGTCAATTTGAGTCTACTCTTGTTCACCAACTTTGCAAACAGCTTGGTATCAAGAAAACTCGCTCATCTCCATATCACCCCCAAGGTGCTGGTATAGTGGAGAGGACCAATCGTGTCATCAAAGACCAGCTTGCTAAATACATGGTGGAAAGAGGAGGTGACTGGATCAACATCTCAAACAGGTCGAGTTGGCATACAATATAACCGTACACTCGTCAACTGGGTTTACTCCCTTCTTCATGCTATATGGAAGAGAAGCACGTCTGCCTCACTCTCTACCTCACCATGACTTGAGATCAGCTAACACTCCTTACCAGTATGTACAAGACCTACGTTCCCGGTTACATCGAGCCTTCCAGCATGCTACCTCATGTAACGATAAGGCTCGAGCCAAACAGAAAGCAACTTACGACAAGAAAGAACAAGATGTACAGTACCAACCAGGAGATCCGATCTGGGTCAACAATCCAGCAATAAGCAGAAGCAAGTTGGCCCCTAACTGGAAAGGGCCCTACAGAGTTCTTTCTTCAGCACCATCTCAGCTCACAGTCAAGATTCAGAGTTTGGTTGCCGACGACAGGAAAGAGATGGTAGTGCACAAGAACCGCATCAAACCATATCGATCTGAGTGGAACCAGCAAACATCCACATCATATGATCTTCCTCACATCAAATACCCATATCTGTCAAATAAGCATCCTACCTTCACTCAACAAGATAACGTTAAGACCTCTCATCCTTTCGTCACGCCTTTGGAGGCCAGATGAATCACCGTCCTGAGGGACTACAGCTACCCCTAGACAGAGATGCTCTACCCCCGGACGGAGATGCTCTACCCCCGGACGGAGATGCTCTACCCCCTCTTTGTATTTTTATGGGTTTGTAATTCAAGTTTATAAATCATACCACAAATTGATTCTTTTTCTGTATTACTCGCCAGATAATTAACAGATTAATTCAGTATGATTAAGTTTATTTCTACAGGAATTTGTTATTTTCTTTATGTTCTGCAGTCTCATCTTTCTCTGCCAAACTCCAATAAAGAACCGACAAGATGGCATACCCATACCCACAACAAGCTGGGGGACAGCTTCCATTTGTGCTGAATCCAGTAAGTATCTTCAATAAAATTAAAGAGATTATCTTAACTTTTTACACATTTACAAGTTGTTTCCTCAATTTTGAAGGCTATTTTGGGCAGTTTATTCAGTAATTTTCCAGTCTTTCTTCAAATGGATTGCCTACATTCAATCATTTGAGAATTGGATTGGATGTTTTTTAATTATTCCTTCATTTTCCAGTCATGCCTACATAGGCAGGCATACAAATCTTGGGTAATCTTCTTGTCATAATCACATGGGTCATTACCAAATAACATGTGATACCAAAGGTATATAGGCATAAACCTCATGTATTTGACCTATTCTTGAGTAAGTTTGCACTAGAAAAGTAAACAACAGATTATATGGAAACTGTTTGCTTGTGTTAGTGTAAAGTTTGCTCAATAGCCAGACATGCAAATCTAAATGTCAGACACTTGTCCTGAATGAAATAGAAAGAGAAGCTATAGTGCAGAAAAGTTTAAATTTTCTGGGAGGAGGAAGCTCAAATGCAGAAAGTATTCAATTAAAGTACAACATTTTCTTAAATCTAACAAATTTATTTACATATTTGAAGCTCTTCTTATGCATGTATTCTATCCTTTCTTCAATTCCCCCCCCCCCCCCCTCTTGAGCCAACTTCATGAGTTTAGTTAAAACTGAATGATTTCATTGTATTGCTTATAAATGTTAGAATGCATACATGTATTTTCATGAAAAATAACACATTCTATTTAAAGGTCTATTTTTGTATTGAAATATATTTAATCAGGGCAACAGGAATCAGAAATACATTGTAGATACAAAATCTGTTTAACATCCTGGTCCTGGAAATATAAATAATGAAAATCACCAAAGCTCACAAGCTAAGGTAAAAACAATATAAAACTAATATACCGGTATAAAGATAATATGCATTAGAAGTAGTTTAAAGCAAAAAGACTCTAATAATTCAAATTAACAGTGGAAAAACATCAAATCACTTAGAAGGCATTATGATATCACCAAACAGATTAGAAGACGAGAAAAGATATAAGGAAATTGGTGGAAAGTAGAGAAGGAAAGAGAGAGAAAGAGAGAGAGAGAAAAATAAGTCATGTCAAGATCAGTTTATGAATAGGCAATTTATCAGACAGGTTTAGAAAATTTATCCTTGTACATACGTTTAAAGACATCGATAGATTAAAGGTAAAGACCGGTATTGGAAACGCCCCAATTTCAAAAAATGAAATGGAAGCTCTTTATTACCAATCATGTGAAAGAATATGTTTTAGACTAATACATGATGATAACAATTTTGCCGGGAAACCGCCTGCTAATTGATATATTTGATAAATTAGTTTATCTATTGGACTGTGAGAGATAAACGCATGTGTCGCGCACTTGTGCGTAGTCCCATATACATCTTTCTGTGTGCAGTGCTTTTTTTTTTGCCTTTTCAATGAATTCATTATATTAAAAATTCCCTTTAGGATAAGATTAGAATCTCTGATATCCTCATATTTATAATGGTTCTAAGACAATTACCCTCTGGAAAATTCCCCCTAGGACAACCACCCCCTCAAGAACAATCACCCCCCCCCCCCTCGAAAAATTGCACTCTAGGATAATCATCCCCTGTGTGTATGGGGGGGGGGGGGGTCTAACATGATATCTTGTCTGTTGACAATTATCTAAGGAGGTATTTGACCTAGGGGGAATTTTCAGGGGGGGGGGGTTGATTGTCTAGGGGCAATTGGCCTGATACGATTTATAGTTGTTGTCAGTAGGAATACAATCTTGCTTCCCAAGACCCAACCTCCTCTTTTACATTTGTGTTCTATATATTATATTCAGTTTTATGATAAGTATTTAGACAGGGCATTGATAGAAGAGGTATACCTCTCAATATTGTTAAGAAATATGAGTTTTATTTTGTTTTCCAACATGTGTACTGGTAATATAGTTAGTAATGGGATGATCCTACCCATTAAGTTTAACTTCTGAATTCTGAACAATCTCCCAAGACTAGATTGAACAGAATGGACAAACAGTGTGCCTTGAAATGTTGTAAACTGTTTCCATGCAAGGCCATGATGGACCTGACCTGAGTAGAAAGCAATGTGGCACTTAAATCAATCACAATCATCATCATTTATTAAAGTCATCATTTTCCCTATACGAGGGGTTACTAACTTTCACACCATGAGGACACTTCGTCTAGTCTCGAGCATCCCCCCATTAAGACCAAACTTACCAGTGACCTGGTGAAAGTACAATATTTTGTTATAAACTTTAAGAAGGATGTTGAGATGAATGACAGATATGATGAAGCTCTTTGCCACCAGTCATGCATTCACAGGGTTAAGGAAGTGCAACGTGTGGGAGATGACAGATTTCTCACTCATCGCAAAATGAAAAAGAGTAGGCCTTCTTGAATTTCTAAGATATAGTCCTGGCTATGCACTCTGTATTTGTTAATGGTATCATCAGATGCTGTTTACATCAAGTTTACATTACACATTATCGTTGTCGTATAGGTATGTAGCTCTGTGCCATTATTGTCTAGTGCCCTAAGGCCAACACAAGATTGATCAGGAAATAAACTTGAGTGTTGGCCTAGCTATGACAATGCTACACCTCACTTAAACTGAATACAAGCTTCTACTTCCTTGTACAGATGAGGTGTGAGCTTAATAAAGGCTTTTATATGGAGCCTGTCCCCATCGATGTCCTATTATTTTGTTGTGCTTCTTTTTATTTCTTTTTCTGTATCTCTGCCAAGAACATGAGATATTGAGCACATTTAGAAAGATAGATTTATTTACTATGTTCTAAGGCAGTTCCAAGAGAACATATATAGTAAGTTAATTCATGGGGTCTCATTACTGCTTATGTTGTAATTAAGTATGACCTTTTCATGGCAGACAACCTTAATAATGAGAGCTCATCAGTCAGAGTCTGAAGGGTCACTGACAGCTGGTAGCTGGCAAGGGTGGAATGCTAGCTAGCTTGATCTAGAGATGGGTAGCAAGGTTGTAGATGGTAATATGTGATGGCCAGATTAGGAAGACGGGCAGAATGAGAGGTCAATGTATACATAACTGGACAGGCAGCTAGGGTGGACGCTATCAACCAGACAGTGGTGTGTTTGATATCTGTTACATAAATTTGTACCATTAGCTTTGAGATGACCTTTAGGTGATGAGCCTTAATACATGACCATACATGCCTGTGCCATTGAATTTGAGTTCAACAAAATTGAATATCAAAAAATGACATATCATTCTTTTTTTCTACAGTAATTGGAAATAATAAAAATAATGAAAAAAATTGAGATAAAACACAAATCGTTTTCACTTTTTCAATTTTCCAATAGGGATGTTTGTATTTAGATTTGTACCAGTCACCTAAGTAGATATATAGATTAAGAAATGTGAAGGATCTAACAGTAACCCTAAAAATCTAGTGGCTTGAGATAAGAAGGGAGTCCACTATGTTGCAAGAAAATTATACAGAACATTAAACCAAATACAATAAGGTAACAATACAATAAAAAAAAAAGGATATATTCATTTCAAATTATCCATACTAATCTACTTCTAATTTGTTAATCATTTTAGCACCATGCCACGCTATGATATTGTTATTGACCGAGTCTGAGCCCTAGTCCCCACCCCCCCCCCCCCCCCACTCAGTGTTATTTAAGGTACGCGTATGATATGTTCCCTCTATTTGACAGCACCCCCCCCCCCCCAATCTCTGGTGTGTAAAGTCAATACGGTCCAGACTTTTGTGTTTTACGGGCCGGACTTTGTTGTGTGAAAAGTACCCCTTTACCAGAGATTTGGAAAACACAAATGCGGTCCATCTGACCCCGCATTGGGAGGGATGGGGTCTGAGCAGCCTTATTGAATACCAATTCATCTGTACATAAATGATTCCATATATATCTTAAACTATACATGATCTACATGAACATCACTGTGGAGGGTAGCTGACATTAACACATGTAAATCTACCTGAATTCACTGCTGGTGAAATTTCATCCTGTATCACATTTTTTCCAAGTTAAAATATTATGCTTTGAAAGTACCAGTACAAAGAACCATGTACATTTCTCACCCCCCCCCCCCCCTCTCTCTCTCTCTCTCTCTCTCTGATAAGGAAGTAGGATTTCCTCATAAATTTGTTTTCTAGAGCTATAGCATTTATAGACTAAAAAACGTTCCCAATTCCCTTATAAATGGTTGTACTTTTACAAGCCATAGTCTGAAAGTTCTCACCTCATAAAATAACAATAAGACTATAGTTGAGACTCTAGGTACCGGTAATTTTTCTTTAACAACTATGTGATATTTTAGTCTTGATATAAAGATTGCATGCACCCCTACCCCTGCCCATTTTTTTCAATTGAAATTAAATTACATGTACATGTAGTCATTCTAATAAACCTGGAATAACATTTGGAAAGATCTATAGATGTTTCAACTCTGTAATCTGACATAAAAGGAGTTGCATGTACATCCAGCCATGCTTGCAATGTGGACATTAAACCTTGGAATTCCCCGCTATCTATCCCCCTATTGACCTGTGGCATTCATAACACCACCCACTCCGCATGAATTCCCCACAATCCAAATATTGAATAGTGCTTGTAAGGCTTGTTCACATGGCTTACCTCTTTCAAGAAAAGCTCTTCCCCCCCCCCCCCCCGCCTATCTTGAAAGGGTGCGTTGAGAATGTAGTACCGCGTTAACTCGCCCTTTTGGGATAAGTGGGGGGGGGGGGGGGCTTTTCTTGAAAGGGTGCGTTGAACGCTCCACATACACCAAGCCGCACTGCACCCTTTCAAGGTTAAGCCTGTTCACATTTGGGTGCACTTAAGTGAACTGCACTTTACATTTGTTGTAAATTAAAGCACACAGACTTTTACAGAAGCAGACATGAACTATCTCCTCCTTCTTTTTTTTTTTTTTTTTTTTTGGGGGGGGGGGGGGTCGAGTGAGGTTTGTGATGCAAAATATTTGCATAAAATCACAATGCCCCCAAAAGGAGCAACAACAAAAAAAGATAAGATTTTCAGAATAAAGCCCATTGGTTCTCTTCCAAAGTAAATCTTACAGCTTGTAAATGTAATCAAATGTTGTATTCTTCAGGTAAATTCTTACTCCTTCCCCTCTCTTTCTCTCTCTCTCTCTCTCCAGCCTTTCCCGTACATGAGCGCCATCTATGGAGGATCCATGGCTCCAGGGAGGATGATTTTCATCCAGGGATTTGTACCAGCAGGAGCTGACAGGTAGGTCCTTTAATTCTTAGTCCACTTTCACAGACCTCTATATGGTACCGAAGCTGTGACGTCATAAAAATCAATTTTTAGAATTTCTGAATTTTTTTCTTCATTTTCCGAAAGAGCATAAAAAATAATGTCCAAAAGTCGAAAACTAATTTAATATGTTAAGTATTGGCTCCTAACCATTAGGAGCCAGAGCATATAACACTGAGTTCCCATTGGAAATATATCTATTCAGATGGTTATATCTCAGCCAATACTTAACATATTAAATTGGTTTTCGACATTTGGACATTATTTTTTATGCTCTTTCGGAAAATGAAGAAAAAAATTCAGAAATTCTAAAAATAGAATTTTGATGACGTCACACTTCACCACTCTATATGCTCATCAATACTGATGTCAATGCCAGCCTGAGCACCTATAGCTTGATTGTACAAGACATATAGATGGTGATGATCGCTCTGCGGTCAATTTGTAACACCGACTAAATTCCAAACATTTAATCTTGCTCTAGATAACCCAAACCTTTTCTGAAACCCAATGGTTTTCGAATCTAAGAATAAGCCTGTATCTTTGATAATGTAAAGCCTGGTTTAAATGCTTTCATAGCAAACATCAATCACTGATACTTTAAATCCATAGACATATGCTCCTTTAAAACATTCTACCTGTAATGTTAATTTATATGCTTCACATTAGTGGTATTTGCGTGTTGATTCATGATAAGTAGAGCATGACAAATCAGTTGTGAAAGGAGATTCACTTCTTTTTTTGTTGTTATTAATGGTCATGGATTCGTTGAAGATGTTTGCTTTCCTGTGTGATTTATATTTATTCATTTTAAATGGTTTGTAATTACAAAATCATTGGCAGACAGATGGCCAAATTGGAGATTCTTTTACAATGATAATAGATCTTTGAAATACATACATTAATAACAATACATTAATATAAGTGAAAATGCAAAAAAAAGGCCTACAGCACTTTGATGTCTCACAATTTATCAGAGTCTGCAAAACCTTAGATTTAGAACCATATCGTATCAAACTGTAAATTTTTAGTATCGTTTTTTTTTTCACCAGTAATGCCTCGTTCACAGAGAAAGAAAAAGAATCAGAAATATCAGGATAAAGACCAGTTTCATTTACTTTACAATACATTTTTAATAAGATGAGATATAAATTATTAACCTTCATGTCTAGACTTCATCACATTTGCACAGTTACCAAGAATGAAACCTCTTCAATAGCATGTCTAGGTATTTTTTGGCATTCTCAAATACCGATGCTGTATTTTTACATGGCACTGGCATTGTGTAATGTTTGAATGGAATGTGCAGATTGCAAATGTGATGATTCAAGCAATACTTTACGAGGTCTAAAGTCTTGAGCTCTTATTGTTATCATGATAAAAACGTGTTGGATGGGCCTTAAGGCACTTTCGTTTTCTTTCTGTGCAGCTCAGGCGTCAGGATTGTTAAGCCTGTGCATGATTAGTATATAGACAGAGAGGAGACGTGTGTTTGCATATAGTACCAGGCATGTAAAAACAGTAATGAAAAGGGAACTGTTTCTGTTTTCACACTGGCAAAATTTTGCTTAACCCCGTACTATACATGTAGGTGGGGTTAAGGAGGGGTCTTAGCCCCACCTTATAGTCCGGGGTTGAGCTTATTCCACTTTCTGTTCAGACTCGTAATTACCAAAGTGCGCTAGCCCCACCTATAGTACGGGGTTAGCTAGCCCTGCAAATTGACAGGGCTAACCCCGCAATTGTGGTGCTAACTCCTGCTAACACCACAATTGCGGTGCCAAGCAAATGAATGAGAACAGAAACAAAAAATTGTCCGGTACTACGCAATGGAGCGTATCGCAGCTGGCCAGATGCGCAGTAAGAAGCCCACCGTCCAATCACTAGTCCGGGGCTAACAAATTGCAGTGAGAACAGCGTGAATTTTCTTATTCCGGAATAGGCGCTAGCCGAGTACAGGGGCGGTATTCTGAACCCTGTGTTATCTCTGATATTGTTGTATCTTTGAAGATAAGATAAAGTTGGTATTCTGAACATTGTTGTAACTTTTGTGTTATCTTTTGTTGTATCTTTTCTCTCATCTTATTGGCCGCGCCTGCGCTCATACTTTGGTGCGCTTGTAATTGTGCGTATTATTAATAAAGTGGCATTTAATTCTCATTTGCATATGCGCACGGGAGATAATATGTCGAGATAATTGGTATTCTGAAAGTTGTTGTATCTTTTATCTTATCTTATCTTGCATGGTATTTACAACAATATTTACAACAGGTAGGGGGTTGTTGTATCTTTCGTGGTGATATAATGGCGGCAATATTTTTTGCCCAGAACCAACTTCGTGCCAATAGACGAGTTAGAAGAAGATTGTGTGTTGACCGGAAACATCACAGATGAGAACTTTCTAAGATATTACATGCTAGGATAGGACTATTTTAATGCTCTCATCTTAACCAATATAGTGAAAGCGTGATTTGTCTTCATGATCCACATTCAACAGCGCATAATGATGACGCGCGTAATAAGTGCTCAAATAACTAATTACGCCCAAGATTAGTATGCGCTAGGCGCATCTTCAGATATGGCATAAAGTATTCCTATTGGTTGATCTACGTATCATGCTTATATAAAATAGATTTTGATTGGTAGGGTCCATAAAAATGGGCGTGTCATCAATGGTCAAAGATAAGATAGAGGCGGTCCTTCAAGAGATAACACAGGGATAAAACAATGTTCAGAATACCAACTTACAACAATATTAGCGCTGTGTTATCTCTGGAAGATACAACAAAAGATAACACAAAACTTACAACAATGTTCAGAATACCACCCCAGGACTAAAAACAGCGTGTGTGAAAAGCCAAAAAAGCTTGTCCGGGGTTAAGGATAGTACGGGGCTAAGCAAAGTATGGGGTTAAGCAAATACAGTGTGAAAAGAGTATAAGTGTATTCTCTGCTGTAGTAACTAGTGTTTGTTTCTTTTTTTTAGTGTGCTTTTCTAGTCTAAAGTTCAATAGTACGTCTGCTAGTGGTTTTAAATAGATATTTGTCAAATGCATGATGTCTTTAATAGAGGGGTGTGTTAGTGTACATAGTACAATGAGTTTAACACACATGGGATTTTATGGGAAGAGGCTCTCAGAAATAGTTCCTAGCTTTGGATAAGTATCTGTGAACTAGAGCTAGATGTACATATATTTCAATTCTACATGTAGCAGTTATGTAGCAGTTTCAGTCTAGTTTTTACTCACATACTCTGCAAATCATTTGTTTCCCTTTTTTTCTACAGGAAAATATGCCTGTAAAAGGTGCATTAAAAATAAGAAAAAAATTATAGTTGTTGTATACAAAATGTGATTTACATTTTCATATATTTTGTTTGAAATCCCTTTCAAAATCGTTCCATAGTATTCAAAGTAAGAATAAAGAAATCAAGACTTACACAGGGTGTCAAAACTAAAAATACATGTAGATGTGATTAAACATCAATTAAGTTAATGGTAGGAAATGTAGAATAGCTGAACTATAAACATGAGAAAGACAAAGAAATAGATGCAATACACATGCATGGTCTGATATAAGCTGTGAAGTAACTGCCTTTAAATAAATTTGTTTTTCAACAATTTTTCCCATTTTAGTTAATGTGTTGCTGGTCTAAACAACCCTGTCTAATGTATGGTTAGCAATCAAGAATGAAATCAAGCCACTTCCTCTTGAAAAGCAATCCATTACCAGAACTCACGTTTGGAATTATTAGCTACTGTAAACGCTATTTTTTTTGGTGAATTTTTTTTCGCGCTGGGCGACCCAAAACGTATTCGCTGGTTCTTAAATTCGCATTGCATGCAATTCAGCCTGTTCAAAACACGCATAATTAAGAAGTCATGCTTACCGGTATATTTTCGCGAGTTCTAACATTTGTGCTTGCCGATCTTAGCGCAAAATCTGTTGAAATTAATGTACTGCAATTATTACCACTTTTACAGTATGTTGTATTCTCTCTAAACCCCTCTCTCTCTCTCTCTCTCTTTCTCTCTCTTTCTCCATCTCTCTCCCTCCCTCCCTCTCCCTCTCTCCCTCCCCCTCTCTCCCTCCCTCCCTCTCTCCCCCTCCCTCTCTCCCCCTCCCTCTCTCCCCCTCCCTCTCTCCCCCTCCCTCTCTTTATATAAATTATATTTAAAATGTGAAGAGGAACAATGTCCAACGAGATGCAGAGTGAAAATAGTTGAAAATATGTCAATTCACAACGCTAGATTGCTAGGACTAATCTGAAGTTACTGGTTTTTCCCTTTCTGAATAGGTTCCACATTAACTTGCAGTGTGGCACCAGCACAAATCCAAGATCAGACGTAGCCCTGCACTTCAATCCCAGATTCGGGGCCAAGACGTGCGTGCGAAACACCCTTAAGAATCAGAAGTGGGGTGCTGAAGAGAGGGGCCAGTCTCATTTCCCTTTCAATTTCAACCAGAACTTTGAGATTATTATACTCTGTGAAGCAAACCAGTTCAAGGTATTGTAAAACTTTCAAGTTCCTAGAGTATAGTATTCTAATCTTAGTCCACTCCCTAGATTATGGTTAGGGCTAAATAAGCTGCAAAAATTACATATTCTGTTTAAAAATTTAGAGCATAATATTACATGGAGCTGTATATTGGCCTGTTGAACAATACTATCCTTTCCACAACTTATGTGAAGATATTGATTTCAAACTGGATCAACCAAAAAAATAAAAGTAAGTTGAACCAAAATGTTATGTTGGCCCGATTGTGCATCAATTTTTAAATGCAATGATACCCATTGGTACATTTTTTACATAATCTTTAGCACAATGTTTGCTTGACATACTAAGAATAATTGAATAGTCTCACAGAACCACACAAAACACTGTTTAATGAATTTAGATAAATATTAATGAATATTGCATCAAGATTTACTGGAGGTATTTCAATGAAAGAATTTTATTTTTCCAAAAAGAACTTATTTCACTATTTAATGCACTTGTCATTTGTAAGACGCACCTCTTGACCCCGGGAATGGTGCGTCATGGTTGCGTCATGTTCCCCAAAATCGCGACGCACAGTACCGTCATGGCCGCAAAATGTCCGTCACAATACTGACCCATATGTGCGTCATAGTAAGTCACTTTACCACGTTGCGTCATTTGGTGTGTCAATGGGACCGTCACTTTCTCCAAGCAGAAGTGTTTCTCAAATGTGCGTCATTGGCTAGTCATTTTCATGAAATGGTGTGTCATATGTTTGACTCAAATGTGCGTCGATGGAATGTAATGGTGTGTCACTTTCTGTGACGGAAGGTGCGTCATGGTATCAAAATGTACGACTCACATCGGTACAATGACGCACCATTCCCGGGGGTCAAGAGGTGCGTCTTACAAATGACAAGTGCATAACTTATATGTTCATGTATGTTACATGTACAGTATGTAATGTTTACGTTATGCAGGCCCCCGAGTTTGATAGTATTTCAATTTCTGACGGGGCAACCCTTTTGAATACCAAATAAATAAATAAATATAATTAAGTTGATAGATAACAGCATTGGTAGTAGGAAAAAGGAGGAAGAGACTATTAAAGAACATGCATTCCTCATTGTTTCTCCTGTAGGTTGCTGTGAATGGACAGCACTTCATTGAGTACAACCATCGCGTCAAGAACCTGAACCGTATCGATACCATTGCCATTGATGGCAAGGTACAGATTCACTCTATTAGGTTCCAAGGACAGTCTGCTGGGGTAAGTTCATGCTAGCTTGTTTAACCCATAATATTACTTAAGGCCGGAAGGTCTAAAAAACCCATCTAGCTTTTTATACTGCCACCAATTATTCTTATTTTCCTCCTACAGTTTCTTTTAAAAAGTACAACTGTATATTCAATGAACCATTAAAAATGGAAATTCAACAAAGAGATCACCAATTTGTATACAAAAAATGGCGATTATGAACTGTACATGTATGTCATGCCCGGCCCCCCAACTCCGTGATCGGAGGGATACCATGCGTGTTACCAAAATGTCCGGTAAAGGGGTACTTTTCATGCACCAAAGTCCGGCTCGTAGTACACAAAAGCCCGTTTTACACACCGGACTTAGGGGGTGTTTTCAAAAGGAGGGAACATGCATAGTATGCGTACCTTGTTCTCTTTAATGGACAGGACATTATGTACTGAATTAGATATAGACTCAAAATTTTCTCATATTTTTGTTGTTTCTTCTCATTTTATGCATAATGTGTAATTCCTAGCATTCTAGATCAAAAGATAATCCCAAAATGGAGACACTAATCTGTTATGGTTGAGCTCTAAACAGGTTTAATAAACATGAACATGTTTAGGGACTAATGTTATTGTAAATTAATCTTTAAAAGCTTCTGTGGTGATGATAGATTTGAGCAAGGTTTGTGGTTACATCACATACTCTTTTGACAACTAGTGTTAAAAAACAAATTATTGTAATCATGAATTTGTAATAACAAAAAAGCAATTCTTCATCATGTCTTTTATACATGTATATACAGGTTTAATGATATAATCCATGAATATTGTTGTTTGGGGTTTTCACCTCCATTAAGTTTGTTCTTTGTCTCTTGAATTTCATTCTACAGTACATCCATGGATCTGGCAGCATCCTTAACCCAGTAAGTTAATCATAATAATGTAGTCATGCAAGGGTGTCAGTAAAGGGGGACTTGAAAATTTGAGGACCATCATTAGCTGCTCTCAAGAAGGGCTTTACTGATATTGACAATTAATACTCTACAGCTCTTACTGTCTTTTCGTGGGCAGCTGGTGATACTTCCATATGAACAGAGATATTCACCCCTTAAAGATTTAAAAAAATGCCAGCACATTTTCTTTTTTTAATACCACACTTTCCCTCTTCCCCATCCAAAAGTTCCAGCAATAATAGGTGTGGCAACTTTCTTGTGAATGCTCCTCTCCTTTTATTAAAGGAATCTAAAATGTCTTAGTCTCAAATATGGTCTTCACACCTTTTTCAATTACTATCCATACTTTCTGTGTACGTGTGCAACTGTGCATCTGGGAATTATGTAGGACTACAAGAGGAAGAATCCTACATGTTCTTAGTGTCTTGAGCCGGATAGGATATCCTGCTGTGCCTCTGAGGTTGATCAAGGCACAATGTATGTCAGGAAGGAAAAAGTGTTTGTCATTCTTGGATGTTTGCTGGTAGGAAATACATGTAGATCGCTTACATGAAAATGGACATTAAGTCCTGTTTGTTTATTTATTGGAGGCTTGAGGTATGAGCTGTTGATGCCTTTCTCAGAAATAACATCATTTTGGTTGGCCTGTGGTGCAAAGATGGTTAACCAAAGAGGATATGATGTTTTTAAAATAAGGTCGTGTTCATTTTGATTTACATGTGGTTTGCAAAAGATATTATAGACTATACAAAGGCAAGCGAAAAGTGGGCCTGTCAATTCTTATCAAAGGTGCAAAAGTATTTATTAGAATCTCAATTTTTGTTAAAGTGTACCAATCACTGCCAAATTAAAAATAATATCTACATGAATGTGTAAAATCGACTCAAAAGATATCTCTTTACAGAAGTAATATATGAAGTTCATATTTCAGTATAGTGACATTGACCCCCTGACATTCAGACCAAAATATATATATATATATTGTGTGTGTGATTGGTACACCTTTAATCCTGAATATTTATTTCCAGTTCATATTGTGAATATAATTGATAAAATCAATAAAATGCCTGAAGTGGTAAGATAACAAATTTGATAGATTTCTTGTAAGTAGTAGTAGTTCTCTTCAGACCATCATAAATGAAATGGCACTTTTTTGTCTGCCGAGTTAGTTATCTTATCGTTTTTATTTTATCATGTATGCTCCATGCACTAACAACTGTTATCCATCTGGGGACAATAATCAGGAGAATAATTGAAATAAGTAGTCGAGAGGAAAGAGGAGGCAATTTACATTATTTGAAATCTTGTGCTCTCTGTGTTCTATTCATATATTGAGAGAAGTGCATGTTGCTCATAAAGGTAGACTGCATTCACATATATGTACATCTGGTATATTTTGATTGACAGTCTATGCCACATACCGGACCAGTGGTGGGTGGAATGACTCCGGGCAGACTTATCTTCCTCAGTGGGAAAGTACGAGCCAACCCAGATAGGTAAGAAAAGGGCAATGGAGAAAATGGAAGAAAGAAATATAGTCAATCATTTTGAAATCACACATGGTAGGGTGAGAAAAAGAAGAATATGTTGAAGTAATACTTGCACAATCATTTTTTTTTTACATTGTTTTAGAGCATTTCCTTTCAAGTTGATTTATTTGAAAAACCTAGTTTATGCATATGTTTTATATTGTACAGCATGTCCATCTTAAGGTTGATGATCATACCATCACAGACCTGCCAACCAGTACGATTTAGTTGTATTTAGTACGATTTTTTGAAGCAAATACGACAGTACGATTTTTCTCAATAAAATACGATTTTCAAAACAAACAAACAAAAAAAAAAAAAAAAAAAAAAAAAAAAAAAACTTTATTTTATGTGTGTGTGTGCCATTTTAAATGGCAAAATGCCCATTCTGTCCTGTAAAGTATCCTACAAGCATCTCACATCAGCAATTTGGGGATGTTCATTGGTTCATCAAACACACCAGTTGTGACGAAATTATGCATATTCAACCAATGATCCATAAAAAAAATTCTTCCTGTATGTAGGAACTGTAAGAGGCATTGATCAGCGTAACAGTCCGTGTTTATTTTTAAAAATACAACTTTTGGGATTAAAGAATACAGTTTTTGAACTCCAGAGGTTGGCAGGTCTGCCATCATTTTACCTGCGCCATCTGTTCAAATATCAGGTGTTATCTATATGTCAGATCATGTTTCAAATTAATCAAAATCTGTTAATTTCCACTTACGTATCCTCAGTAGAATAAGGAAGTTCATAAATAAAGATTCTTCTCATGCAATCGTAAGATCTCTCGTTTTGTCTCCTCAAGATTATTATCCCCTCGCCGACAAAGTCGGAGGGGAGCTGCCGTCCGTCCTCCCTTCCGTGCGTCCGTCCGTCCGTAACAACTTTGGTTTCCGATCAATAACTTCAGTAATGTTTGACGGATTTTAATGAAATTTGATATGAAGGTACATGATATCAAAATACAGGCTAAGTTTGATTTTGGAGTAAGTAGGTCGAAGGTCATAGCTCATTAAATATGCGAAAATATGCGAATCTGGTTTTCATTTGATAACTTCAGGCGCGGATCCAGGATTTTCCAATAGGGGAGGCCGGAAATTTGAAAATCGCGCAGACCATTATTTCAACTCAACTTCCCAATACTGACAAGGTCATAATAAAAGCACCGTACCGGTACATATAAGCAAGCACAATTTTGAAAAGGGGGCAGGCTCAAGTCACGTCTCTTGTTCGATATCAACATTCCCGGAGTTTAAGTTATGCGCGAGCAAAATTTTTGACATTTTCATCGGGGGGGGGGGGCTAAATCCACTTGCTAAAATATTAATTTTCTGGGTTCACAATTTGGCGAGCGACCGAAGCAAGCGAGTGAAAAATTGAGCATATGTATGTTGTAAAAGTTTTATTTATCCCCAAAATACGCGAGATAAGACATGAAAAATGCATATTCGGTCAGCTCGTAATTTGTAAAATTGCGGGGAAAGAGAGGCTGTACCCGGCATTAACTGCAAGAAATTAAATTTGAATGCCTGTGGAGTACATAAAGAAACAGCTCTAGCTACAACCATGATTACAATTAGAGACTGTCAAACTACATGTATATCTAACACTTTCTTTATATCTTTACATATTTATATTCATGAATTACTTTATCACTCTTGTTCGCTTATAAAATTCCTACATGCTAAGTTATCTGCTATAACTATGATTACAATGAAAACTTCCATTTATTTTGAAATTCAAAATAATTACTTGTGGTGCTATATGTGTTTCATGACTGTCAAAATATATTTAACACTTTCTTTATATCTTTACATATTTATATTCATGAATGACTTCATCACTAACGGTTCGCTTAAAAATACTGTTGTGCTGAGTTGTTTGTTACCACCATTATTGCAAAGTGAACTTCCTTTTATGTGGAAATCCAGAACAATTAACTTGTGTTGCTCTGTATGTGTTTCATGACCGTCATAAAATATTAAACCATTTCTTTATGCTTCTTTATATCTTTGCAGATTTATATTACTTTATCACTCTCGATCGCTTACAAATACTAACATGCTCATATTACTCCATATTCATATGAATACAATATAAATATTTTTAACAAATCCGCATCACCACCACTGTTACATGCAGCCTTGCAGGCCCCGCAGTTTTTCAAAGTACAATCAGGTAGAGTGTAGCGAGCGAAGCGAGTGAGGCGTAAATTGGCGTCCAGGGGAAAACCCCAGCGGGGGGGTCAAGGGTGGACCCCTCGGAAGCTCAGGAGTTTTAGGAATTTAATTACGGTCAGATGAGCATATTTTGATACCTTATTTGTCACATTAGCAGGTCACTAATTAGCGTGGGGTCCAGGGGACTAAGCCACATGAAGCTCAGGGGTTTCAGGTATTTAATAATGGTCAGATGAGCATCCAGGGGACTGACTTAGGGCATCTGGTGGGGTTGAGAGGGTGGAGCCCTCGCAAGCTCAGGGGTTTTAGCTATTTAATTGCGGTCAGATGGGCATATTTTGATACCTCATTAATTTTGTGGCACTGGCAGGTCACAATTTTTCTTTCTTCCTTTCTTTCTATTTTAATATCTTACACATACTTTTTTTTAGTGAGGTGGTGGCTCGAGCCCCCCAACCCCGCCGTTCCTCGGGTCCTGACATGTAGGCTACTAAATTAGAAAATTTTGACCTGACTGAAAACTTGGGAATTTGTCATTTTCCAGCAAACAGATAAAAAAGTATAATTTACAAAACAGTATCAAAATATCACGGAAAATCATGTAATTTCAGCAAAATTTGAAAGTCATCGGTATCGATTTAGAAATAAACCATGTTTGAATTTTATTTGGGGCACGCCCCAAAGCCCCCCCCCCCCCAAACCCATCAGTATGCCAGTGCGGCCCTCCCTTGTCATGTTCTATAAACACAGGCCAGGCCATGGTGGAAAAGTCTTCTTCCCTGGAATAGGATACCAATGGAGGCCTAATGTGTAGAAGAGTTCCCAACCTATAAACGTTATAATGAAAACTTATGGTAAGCAAAAAACCCACTGTACTCTTCATAAGAGATTAGGGGTGGGATCAGGGATGGTGGTGGTTGAAACCTTCGATACAGGGTTTGCACATGACATCTCGATCACTTCGTGACGATAAACCCGAAGGTTATACAAATTGAATTCTTCCCATCCGTCACAGACAACTCGCAATAAAAATATTAATAACAATGAAGTATGGCAAACGCAAGGGACTAATTTTTTTTTTAATGGCCTTCGCCCTAGGTTGCGCTCATTATCGGCTCACTCCCCATGTACCCACACCAGGCATGAAGGGATGATATGGGGACTGTGTCTTTTCATCCATTCCTCAGCCTTTGTGGGACTCAATCACTTCCTTTCTTCATGAGACTACAATCTAGAACATGTCAAATAATGCCTCAAAACATACCTATTTTGGCAAGTGTGAAAAATACTCTCTTCAATGGAGGGGTCTGTGCCTTTGAACATTCTTTAATTAGAAAAATGTCGCCATATAAACGGTGTAAATTATCATTAGCGTAACTACCATCACCATTATCATCAATATCATCTCCCCTCCCCCCTTTTAAAATTTTCTTTTTTTCTTCTTTTTCCCAAGCTGATATACGCATACCACAAAATTAAATAACGAACATAACCGGATATCATAAAATTGATGTTTAAAAAAACCTGCGAGAATTTGACCTTATTACATTTTTAAAACTAAAATGTTACTGATTGAGCTAACTTGATTAACAATCTATATCATGTTATTTCTTATCTAATCTATATACTACATCATATCATAATTTACCCATATCATATATTCTCATAGTAATAACATATTGGTTTTATCATAATCATACCTTGTCACATCAATACTACATCACATCTTTTCTTTTCATGATATAATATCATTGGATCATTGAAGGTAAGGAATAAACCAGGAATGACGCTTTGAATTGCATAGGTAGAGCTTGAAAATCAAGCTGCAATTTTATTCAATCTGTGAATGCAAAAGAGACACAAAAGGATCATAAATACATGTACAATCTTTGCACATATAAATGAAGACTGATATGTCCAAACATCAACTAAGCTAATGAAAGCTAAATGCCTACATCAAATTAACTGTATCAACTTCAAGCTCGACATATACTATCATTGAATCAACAGATAAACAAATCTAGAAGTTTCTGACAGTGCGTTTTCTATGAGCTGTTCTGAAACTGAAATCAAGTCAAATCATTACTTTAACTCCCTGAAATGTGTAGTGTAACCTCATTATAACAAACTCACTAAGACTAAGGAAACTTCCCCGCTAAATACGAAGACTAATCTAAACATCACCGAAACAACGTCTCGTTAATCAAATGTAAGATTAAACCCCTAGTCCTTTGTTTACATCATAACTCACAAACTTCCATTTATAGAGCAAACATTCCAGTTTATAAGCTTACTCTGTTTTGTTCATTCATGTCTTTACTAACTCAACTTTCTCAATTAAACTATCACTCTAAATGGCCAACAATAAGCCCCAGCTTAAATCATGTATTAAACCACCTGAATACATTGTATTAAACATATCTACATAGATGAAGCGGTATTTAACATCGCGTCTGTATGTTATGCATTGTCATTTCTAAAAACAATAAGACCTCCAATGTAACTCATACAACATAGACCCTATCCCTATATAATTTTGTGCATAGCGATTTATAAACCGTACTCGGTACACATTGATTATGTAATATCATTTTTCCTCAAAAACCTGACCAAAACACATTCTTAAATCACCACATATCAAAAGCATGATATTTTAAAGATAAACTTACTTCTATGGCGACATTTCCTGGCTAACTAAAACAACATAGTAAGACTTTCGTCTCCCGTGGATCCTTTCCTAACGAAAGAAACATGGCATCTGCGAACACATCGCTCTGAACTAGAATTAGCATAAATTCGCTCTGAACTAGAATTAGCATAAATTCCATACGCACTATGGTAGACGTAAATTAAGCTACGGTGTCTTCTGAATTAAAAGGAAAGTAATTCAGCTAACTCCTGGTTTGTCAACAAACCAATCATAATAATTATTATATCATATTCATATAATATCTTTTCATAAAAAACATTATATTCTTGCATCATATGATATCGTATCTTATAATAAATATTTAGCTATCATTTTGTGCAATGTTAAGTCAAGTGATATCACATGAATGCAATAACATAAAGATATCATATTTAGATCATGATCATATTATGTTATGTAATATCAAATTATCAATCATGTCGATCATATCTCCTTTGTATCATGATATTCATACGATTGTGCCGGTAAAGTGTTAATTTGATTTCTTCAATCGTTAAGAGTTCATTTTACTGTACAAGTGTTGCCGTAATTATATCTCGCATTTATAATTTTGTTGGATTTCTTTTTTGTCTTCGATTTTCTTACTTACTTTCAAAATAATTTTTCAACCTTAAATTCCTGCAAAATTCAGAACCATCTTATTTTATGAAACCACGGACGTAGTAAAAAAGTTAATGTCAAGGATTTGTATTTCAATTGTTTTAATCAGCAACAATATACTCTCTTAGAGTAGGTTGGATAGAAACTTTATAGTGGAAAAAATGCATCAGTATAAACAAACTTGACACTTCCGTGGCGTGGGAAAGTGGTGTACCCTATTGTTCTGGGGAAAAACAAATCCTGATCAATGAATTTCTCGTCAAATTATTGACGTTTGCATGTGTCTCTTGCGATAACCAACAGATGGAGCGTTCTCTTTTATACAAATATTGTTGTATTAACAAAAAAAATCCACACTGTAGGCCTAGGCATGCATACATGTACATCACACGCAATAGATCCAAGATTACCAGCGAGAGCCCCCCCCCCCCCCCCACCTTCAGAATCGTATAGGGCCGCTGCTATTATCTCTCAGGAAAGTACCCTATATAGTACATGTGCGTTTCTTCACCGTGTGCGTAGGCCATTTAAGGGTTTTCGAGGGTAGATTTTCCAAATACGAACTTGTTAGATGCTTATAATTTGTTTTTAATGTAATGGTAGTTGACATATTATAGCACAGGGCCCGTATTCAATAAACTTCTTAAGCATGAAATCTAAGTACTAAGTACTAAGAAAAAATCTTAGCCAAAAATCGTATTCTATAACAGCATTGGGGACTAAGAAATTTGCCTTAAGATTAAGAAGGATTCTTAGATTTTATCTAAGAAAAAGGGCTTAAATAGCATGTCGTATTCTAATACAATCGAGATATCTAAGATAAATAAGAAATCTACCCTATATTTAAGCATACTACGAGGATACTTAAATGGGGCTTTGGCACCGGCAGCTCAGTGCAGCTGCTGCAAGCAACCACTTCGGGTTTCGATCAAATGGAATAAAAACAATGCATGCAGCGCGAGCGCAGGTTATTAGTTGACCTATATATCAACGTAAGCTTCGCGTGCGCGTGCGCGTCGACGGCGCAGCGCGCAGGAGCGCCATATAAAGGCACTGTACTTGTTTATGTTTGTTTGTACACAAAGTACAACTAAATAACACTAAATTATGACATGGCTGTCGTATTGGCGCTAAAATATGGAAACAGGGAATAATGTGCAATAGGCATAATATTAGGTGAGACAAAAAATTTGTTATATTATGAGTCTGATAAAGGTTACATCTAGCCATGATTTGATTAATTTTAGGCTAGCATAACAGTAGACGATGTAAAAACAAAGGGTAGCTCCAAATCCAATGCTAGCGCTGGTCGGCCGGCTAGCGACAGCGCTCCCTTCATACTCACAGACCCTGCGGCTGCGACATAAGTAAGCCCGGTTGGGTTCTTTGAAGATGTTTGACAGAAAAGTTTAAAAAACCTACAGTGGATGTTAGATCTAGACTCAGGGGGGTCTTGACTAGACTGTTTTAGTGTCAGTTGGTTAATCCCGAAACAATTATGTGAGCATCGTTCCTCCTCCCTTACGCTCTATCTCCCATACATGTTAGTGTAATTTTCGTGCGGTGCGATTTTTATTTTAACACGCAAATTACATAGGCAAATTGAGTTGCAATTAATTCACTCGAGTCGACCACATTAACTTTCCAACATGACGTCATCGGGTCTAAGAATTTGTCTTATCTTTCGTCTTAGCTAAGACAAACTACTTTACGTGTTTAGAATACGGCTGAGGCAGCTTTCTTAGCCTAGACAAATTCTTAGACATTTTCTTAGACTTAAGAAAAATGTCTTAGAAGTTTATTGAATACGGGCCCAGGAAACCATTTATCCATGCGTGTATCAAGGCTTTTCCAATAGGGGGGATGGGGGGGGGCGGAAATTTGAAAATCGCACAGACCGTTATTTGATTAATTCAAGATTCCAATACTGACAAGGTCATAGAAGCATCGTACCGGTAACTACCAGCAGGCACAGGCTTTGGAAAGGGGGCAGGCTCATGCCACGTCACTGTCACTTTAATTTTGAAATTTGTTATCCAATAATACAAAAGATATATCATGAGTGCTTTTTTACATGAACCCTTTTTTAATAAATATATTATGCTGGATTCCGATCCAGATTGCACAACCTAAAATGATAAGATGGTCATCCCCAGTACGCTTGCAGTTCTCAATTATGTGCACCCCTTCCTCCTTATTCCCTCATCCATCATTGCCATCACTGCCATTTTACATATATGGCCGGCCCCCTCTTCTATAAAGGCTCCCAAGACTTTTGGAATAACCCAAAATGTTCTGATTACCATACTGCTGCTCTTTGGAGGGGCCGGGCGCGGCCTTTTCAGAAGTATTTTTATACGAACCTTTTTAGGCACTACTGCTTAAAATAAACAAGCATGCTTATAATTTTTTGAAAATAAGCTGAGTTCCGACTCAGTTGTGCACAACCTAAAAATTAGAATATGGTCAGCCCACCCCCCCCCCCTGCCTCCATGCGCGCGCATTTCAGACGCACATACCCCCCCCCCCCCCCAAGTTTTTCCCATTTTCGTCGTTATTGTCACTAAGTGTCATTTCCTTGTCTTTCTTCCTTTCTCACCCAACTTCTCTCTTCTTTCTCTTTTCTCTTTCTCTTTCTCTCTCTCTTTCTTTTCTTTTCTATCATTTTTCTTCTCTATTCTTTTATCTTCTCCTTTCTTTTTTCTCTTCTTTTCCTCTTTTTTTTTTCCTTCTCTTTTTTTGTTGGCGCTGTCAATTGGGGTGGCCGCGGCTTTCGGCTCCCCCTTGGATCCGCCACTGAACTTGAGTAATGTTTGACGAATTTTAATGAAATGTAATATGAAGGTACATGGTATCAAAATCAGCCTAATTTCGATTTCTGAGTATGTAAGTCAAAGGTGAAAGGTCATAGCTCATTAACTATGCAAAACCACTGAATTATGTGAAATGAATAAGGCCTCTTATTATTCAGATATTATATTTGTTATGTTAGTTGAAAGGATTTTATTGTATTTGTTTATGTGACAGGTTTCATGTGAACCTACAGTGCGGTGCTGGTGTCAAGCCTCGCCCAGACATTGCGCTCCACTTTAACCCTCGTTTCCAAGCTCAGACGGTGGTACGCAACACACTGCAGAACCAGTCTTGGGGAAGTGAAGAGAGGAATGCCTCCTATTTCCCATTCGCTCCTAATGGATTCTTCGAGGTATATATCTCTTCTGCTTTTTCTTTCCATCTCTGTCTCTTTCTCCCTCTTTTTCCTATATGATCTTGCTGTGCATCTTAATTTTAATAATAAAGCTCATGTGTAGTTTTTTGTAAACTTCCCAAACTTGTCTTTAGATTTATGTTAGTATAGAAGAGCAAGATACAAAACATTCTACATGTAAGCTTGTGTAAAGTGTTTCTGGTGATACAACATTTGCTATTGCAACAAAGCTCTTAGGTTCATTTTAGTCAAAGACATAAATGTAGGGTAAGGACTTTGGTCGTGCTTCACTTTGAGGTTAGGTTTACGTGTAGGGTTATGGTTAGGGGTAGAGTGAGGATGAGTAATTGGTCTAGAATTCAAGTTGGGATTTTGATTATAGTTCACAAGTTACTGCCTAGTACGTGTCGCTGGAACATGCATTGTACAATAGTTTTTTCTCCATAAGTGGAGTAATAAACAGATAAGAAGTGAAAAGGATTATAAATCCTCATGAGGCTCTAACTTTTCATGAATTTTAATAATACATCCTTCACCACCTTTTTCAGCTGATCATCTTGTGTGAGATGAACTCCTTCAAGATTGCAGTCAATGGCCAGCACTTCCTGGAGTACGCTCATCGTCTTCCATTGCAGAACGTCAACACCCTGGTCATTGATGGTGCTGTCGACATCCACCAGATCCGCTTCCAGTAAATCACAAAAGTTCTACAAAAATCAGGGAATTTCCCACCCTAGAGCAATTAGTGTGAATGTAGTTGAGAAAATGTTTCTGCAAAGGATGCACCATTTGAGATGGTTTTGTTGATGGTTATGAATAACTACCAACAACATTTATTTGTATTAATGTAGTTGAAAAGAAGAAAATAGACAAACCAGTACTAAACTGAGGAAAGGCTTTTTCAAGTAAAAGATTTATATAGCCATGGATAATGTATATCAGATTTATTCTTACAGCCAGCATTGGTGCCTTTACAGTAGAAGGTATTTTGTATGAAGTACTATCTTTAATCAAACAATAATAAAGAAAATGTATACTTTTTACATCTGTGATCTTCATTTCATTTGTTATTAGTTTAGTGATTCTTTTAATTTGCTGACATTTTATAGTATGTTACAGTAATCAGGCAAATTATGTATTATGTGTATTACATAGATAGTGAAAAATTCAAGGTGTTAACAATAGAACTCCATTACGAACCTCCCATTTTATACATCTCAAATCACATATGAATGTTGACAAGTTCATGTATGGTATAACTGAAGTGTACCAATTACTAACAAATATTTTGCTCTGTATGTTTAGGGACCCATGTCGCCATTTTTATATTCAAAACTAGAGTTTCAAATGTTTGTTCTTTAAAGAGATATTGCAAGTATAAATGAACCCTACTTCACATAATACTCGTGAGTAGACTATTCAATGCACGTACACGCTCGCAGAGAATAACACCCGCACAGAACCCCAAGTCTGACTCAGCTTACACGTCAGGGTTCTTTGTCCTTTATTTTCTTCATACTCCTTTACCTTTGGCCCATAGAATGCCTGGTAAAAAATATTGGTCGATTTTAAATACATGTAGTAATAATAATAATACAATATAACAGAGCATTTTCATAAAGCACATACAAATCACTTAATATATACTCTCTCGCCGTAGATAATTATTTTCACAGGTTATTGGCACACTTCAAAAATGGGATGTTATATTAAAGGTTATCGTTTTCCCCAATTTTGTTGATTATTGCAATGTTGATTTATCTTGCCTATGATTGAAAGAAGTAAAAATGAATCAGATGAAAGCCAGAAGGATGTTAAATGAGTTCAACGTCCTTCTCAATCCCAGTAGACAATCTATTTTTGTGAATATTTAGTCATTGATTTAAGTTACAGACATGATTACGTATTGATAGTACATTACTTAAGGTTTCATATGAATCTAGAAACTCAAGATTTGTTATTTTTTTCAATATTTTTAAAAATATAGTTATAGATATATAGTTATAGATATATGCTATTTTAATTAAACATATAACTTTTCTTTATTGTTTCAATAAATTCATATCAAATACACTGGTGATTTTTTTGTTTTCATTTAATTTTTGACTTTCCTTGCCTCCTACAGCAAATAGCAGATAGAAAAATTTTCATCAAAAAGAATTACAGTAAAGACTAAAGATTGATTCTGAGATGTATATAACATTTAATTGTATAATACTTTTATCTATCTATTATTTCTCATATACAAAATGTCATGATATAAAAATATATGGTTCAAAAGTATGCACAAATCATATTTGAAAATAAAAAGAAAGACATGTTCCAGACACCATTCAAAAGAAATCAAAGTAAGAATGAAAACATTCAACATAATATCTGAGGGAGACATTTATATACTGATTCAAATAAGTATTTGTTCCTAATTACCAACTGGACCCATTTGCACAAAAGGGTCTTCTATCACACTCCTACATGGTTGTTAAATGATTCTTTAACTCGTCACAATACATGACTAATTGGTAATGTTCAGTGCATTTAAAGGGCAAGTCTGGCCCATTTGCAAGTTGAATTGAATAAAGAGAAAAAAACAAAATGATGAAAGTTTCATCGAGTTGATGTCAGCCCTCGCTCTCTTCACTTTGTACACAAATTTAACCCTAAAAATCACTTTCTGATAATGGAAAATATGCAAAATCACCATCACTGTATTTTGTTGTGATTTAAAGACAAAATTATACAGGTGTCTCATTAAAGAAAATGTATAAACAAATATCTGGAGTATAGTGAGGAGATAACATCAAGTCACTAATTTGCATACAGCCTATGTGAGACATCACTGTTTTATGAAATTATGCGAAACTTAACAATTCCACAACTTGGATTTTCGATGAAATTTTTCAGCATTTTGTTCATTTAATTTTTCTCCATTCAATTCAACATGTAAGCGGGTCGGACTTGTCCTTTAACTTTAGGTACATGCATAGTTCATGTGCAAATCAATATACTATTCTTCTCCTTTCTCCCAATAGATACATTTTGATTAGTGCATTCAATAATCAATATACGAATGATAGTTTTTTCGTTATGATAGGCAAGTATTCAACTGTAAAATCATCCAGACTATTACTATTATAATATACTACACTATAATGTTTTATATAGAGCCTGTTAGATATTGGTACATGTATATCTTGATTTTTATTTTCACATAATATATTAATGCAAAGGCTTAATATCTTTAATAGGATTTCAGATTCACTAAAGGGTGCATTATGCGCATAACAAAAAATTTGGTAGATTCCCATTTACAAGTTATAACCTGTGTGACCTTGATTTTTTTTTTTTTTTTTTTAATTTGTAAAGAGCAAATAATGTTTTTCTAATGACACCCTACTCATAACTCTGCTGCCACAGATGACTGAGCAACACTTTTCAAAAAATATTGTCAAAATCCTCTCGTACCAGGTTGGTGCTGGAGCAACAAATGTTCAGGAAAAAGCCTTACACATCGTCATTTTCAGTCTGGAAAAAATTACTGACTAATTTTTGCATGGATTTACCTTATGTACCTTACACACATCTTGCATATGAAATATGCAATGGACAAGTGAGCAGAGAGATCTTGAATTCAATTCAATTCAATTCAATTCAATTTGTGTATTGAAACAAGGACCTGTGGAAGCTTAGATATATTGGACCACTTTAATACAATGAAGCACTGGAGCATGATTAGAAGCATATTTAAAACCTAAGTAAACCATCCAACATTTGGTGAATCTGCCGAAACTTGGTACAAGCATATTTGACGGCACCTTTTGAAAACCCTGGTGCTCAGTCATGCAAGGCAGCAATATTATGAATGGGGTATCATTAGACAGCAAACAAGTTACTCTTTACAATGAAATAGATTTCCAGGTCACATTGATTGTGACTTTTTGATCCCAAGCTATCAAATTTGGTATGTTTTTTTATATGCACTGTATAATATTCTTGTTTCTTGCAAATCTAAATAGGAATTGAATTACTGTAGTAACTGTAGTATCTCTATACAGAATTTGAAAGGGACAACATATACTGCTCTTATCTCTTCAATACATCTACAGCAAAGTAGTAAATATATAATAAAATGATTATAATACAATCTTTTTCAATCCACTTTTCATATCATCATGACCTAAAATAGATATGCATAAAGTGGGGAAATATTTCATGATTATTTTGAGCTCATTTGCTTATGAAAATACAATAAGATACACACATAAAACAATTCTGGGAATAGCAAGAATGTCCATAATACTATTTAGGGGCAAGAATAATATTTTTCCACTTCTTCAAAATCATTGCTTACAATTATTTACAGCAAAATCATATTAAATCAACCTCATCTGCTATCTGTTTACATTGCATTAATCAAAATATTAAAATTTCTTTTCAATTTTAGAAAAGAAAGTCATGTGGTAGTTATTCCACATTAAAACACAAACATTCAGTAGTGATACAATATCAATATTATTCAAATAATGCTTTTATGAGAATATGTTAGAGCAGGAAAGTGCTTCATGTTTAGTCAGAGCACATAGTGACAATGCTTATGCCCAATTGGGCAAAAGCATTGTCAAAAACAAAAACTACACATACTTTCGCATGATACACATCAGTTTGCATGAAACTTGTTTTATACAGTCCAAGACTGTCATTGTTCCTGTCAAGTGTCATTGGAAATGAAGTTGACATCAAATGTACGTTTCATATCACCTGCTGATTCAACAATCATATATAGCCATTTTCATCATATTAGTTTGTATACACTAGACCTAAATTTTCCTAATATTGCATAATTCAAATATTGCATTTTGATTGACACAAAAAGTGATCCAGTGCATACATCCTTGCATTTATGTGCTGTGGGCTAGGTACATGTATAACAACTACTTCAAAATCAGAAAAATCAAAAAATAAGGCACAAGATCCTACATGAAAATATCTCATATATTATGGAATGTATACAATTTGACTTGAATTTGTAGAAGAAATGTTAAATACTGTATACGTTAAATATGTCAAATAATGTTATATAATAAGAAATGATATCAATACTCCCTTTAACACATAAACTGCTAAGTTCAGCTCCACTAGCTCACATGTGGCAACCACAAAAGTTCGCAATAATAATGTAGATGTGTCTTAAAGCACAGCCCTACTACAGGCTATTCCACACGCACAACTGATCTACCAAATAATTGTGAATGGTATGCAACACACTTGTCTTATTCTTTGGCGTTTGTTTCAATATTACGTTGGCAGTTTTGAAGAAAATTTACAAATGAATTTCTTTCCATTCTGACGTAAAATGAACAGGGAAAAGCAGGAATACATGTGCACATAAGTGGCTGGCACTGCATTAAGTACTCAATGTGCATATTAAAGTTGAAATACCAGTATATTGATATACCAAGATAAAAAAACAACCAGTAATAAACCATTACCGGTAAATAACTTCAACTTTAATAATAAATAAAAGAGAAAAATAAGGTAATATGATCCACAGGTAATACTTGAATAATAATGATAGTATTTAGCTTTTATACAGCGCTTAATACAATGTCTCTAAGCGCTTTACAAATATACTATTACCCCAGCCATTGGATTATATGGTTTATATGGTCTTGTTACCATTTGGATGTAGACAATTTTGTATACAGGTAGAGTTATTTAAAATCCTGAAGAAAAAAAAAGAGATAATGCATCACCTATTTACATATTCAAAATCCTTCTGTCAAAATTGTTCAACATGGTGAGTACTGAGATAATATTTGCCTTTTAATATGGATCCCATTAAAGAAAAAAAAGCTTTACAATTAAAACATTTTAGCAAGTAAGGTTTGGGAGAGTTCTGGCCTTCTAACTCAATACCTGGGAGCCTTACTCCTAGCTAGCACCTCTTTGGTTTGTTCAGCATTCTTCCTCTTAGCCTCATAATCCCTCAGCCAATGGTCACAGATAGCTTTCAGTTTGACCCCTGATGCCTCAGCTTGTTCTGCTGCCATGGCGATACGTCTCACATCATCCTCCCTCTCTCCCTTCACTGCTAGTAAGTAGGCTTGTCTCAGCCGTCCAATCAGAATGTACGCATTGATCTGTCACAAAGAAATTTGAAATACTGGATCTGAAGACAAAATGAACAATTTTCTCAAACACATCCATTCCATAGTGATTTGCATCCTTCAGTTAACCTATATCCATATACAGTGGAACTTGCTTAGCGACCACCTGTATAGAAAGACCACCCGTCTATAATGACTACATTATTTGTTTCTCTCAAAAATGTTTTTTCATTGAAACCTGTACAAAAGGAACATGTACATAAAGAATATCTGCCTATAAAGCCCACGTTTCTTGTCTCCCTAGAATGGTCTTTATCTATTGCACTTTTACTGTAATTTGCTTTTCTCATTATCAATTAAAACATTGATTAACACACTTTGGTACATAACATCCTAAAACTAACCCTAATGATTCTCTCTCCAAGTTGATTTCTGTACTTTTCACACTCAATTGTTTGAAATGCTTACAGGGAATTCTGCTTATAATCCCAGTTATGGGTAATATTCAGGAGCCAGAGTGAATTACTAATCAATTATTTAGTTGAATTACCTTTTGTAAGATCAAAACAAGCTCTAGAAAAAAGGACACAAATCATCCATGATGGATTCTCACTTTGATCCTAAAATGAACTAAAATGTAATGTTGGTATTGCTGCTCACCTTGCTCGTATCACCTTGCATTAGCTTAATCAACTCCTCTGCACCTTTGACCTGCATCTTGTCTCCAACTAGCGCCCTCACACAGGCATCCAGGATCTCATCACATGACTCCTTGCTAGCCAATCCAGTATCCTTGTGGCATTTGAGAAGCAATTTGATCTCGTTGAACTTCTTGAGGAGACATAGACGACGTCCCGCCCGACTGTAGATCTTGGGCTCAGCAAGGCGAAAGTCCTGTTTCACAAAGTGAGACAAACATCATTTAGATGGATTTCTCATGAAAGAGAGTTGAATGTTGCATATGCTTTGGTAAGACCTTTCAGAGGAGTCGGTATGTATACCATCACCAAGTAATTAAAAGTAATTATTCAAATATAGTCTACATTGGAAACGAGGAACACACCAAGTCTAATATTAATTGTTTTAATTGTACGTAATATACAGAATGTGGTTTGAAGTACACAACAAAATCATCCTACACTCTATACACTTAAAACATGTAAGTTTTACAGGCTACATTCTAGAATTTAAATAATGTCTGATAATGAGCATAAATCTACATGATAATGAGGACAGTACCTGGATGATTTTGAATGCTAGTTGAAACCCTTCTTGTATAGTTGTTCCAGCTAGTAGAACCTGAAAACAGAAAAAACAATCATGGGTTTACTCACATGAACAGACAAAAGAAGAGACTGTAAATGGGAAATGCCTGGATAAAATTTGTAACAAAGAACTAAAGAATGAAAAATCACAGTTCACATGAACAAATCAAGACTATCAACCATTGTTGCTACTTTTTTTTCTTCATGAGAGCTTTTTTCTTCATGAGAGCTTTTTTATATATATTTCTCATACCGAAAGATATCCAGAGAAATAAAGTTACTTTCAATTACCATGTATTTTGTCACTGATACCAACATACCTTGTGAACGACATCTGCTTTCTCCATGCTGTTGCCAAAGAGGGTGGGTAGCCCTGCTGGCTGAGCCCCGCCCCCGCCCCCAACCACTGACTGCTTCCTAGTCAGCCCTGCTGGTTGAGGTGAGGTGGCCTGGGTGGTGGTGGACGTGGGTGGCACCAGACTGTTCTTGCCAAGATGACGATGAAGGAATGTGGTCACTTCTATCTGCAGGGATATTGTATTTAGATGCCTGGGCAAATAAATTGAAGAAAAATGTTAACAATCAATTATAATATGTAAACATACAAATTATAGGAAATAAAGGTAATACACAGTATACAAAATTGTGGCAATGTTGAGTACTGGGAATGCCACAGACCCACACTGAAACTGGCCCTTCAAAATGACAAACATTAGTCACAAACTAAAACATTTATGAAATGGGCAATCAAAAATGACGAAATAATGTGTTGAGGTGCTTTCTAGTAATTATTTTTCAGCAATTTTTTTTGCTGGACCAGAGCTCAATGTTTGTGAATGAACTTACTTAGATTCTCTTGTATAATGTATCTATTTCTTAGCATTGGATGATGCATAGAAAAATCTTGAATGCGGCTGAAAGATGTTTCTGAGACTGACCTCAACAGGGATAATGTGGTATAAAAAAAAGGCATCTACACTGCCTTTCTTGATATGAATACTTACTTGGTAAGTTCTGAAGGAGTGAGGGTGAGTCTAATATTAGTCTCTCCACCGCCTCCACCCCACCCTCTTGAGGAGGGGCTACCAGGTGAAGGGCGTGGCACACTTCCCCATTGTTTATCATCCATCACAGCAGTCATGTGATCTTTAGCCCTGTTCACATGATGCAGACGCTCAAAGAGGTCCGAGTATGATGTAGCACTGGCCTGGAAGAACTTGATACACGTCATGGCTGCTCGTACAAAGTCCTGAGGGTGAGGTTCAATAACGGGCACAAAAGTTCTTTAATCACTTTAGTTGCTTTCTTCTCCTCTATGCGTGATCGCTCTTTTGCCACAAATGCAATTTTGCATAAAACAATAGGCACCAATTGACACAGGATTGCTTAGTTTAACACAATGGCTTTGCAAAATTAAAAATTATGGTCTTGATCAGCTCCCTGACATCCCTTTTAATAATGGTATAGATTAATCATGCACTTAAAACATTTGAATAATCTTGAAGCATTTGGTGTATCTATCCCATGATATATACAATGAGGAACAGGGAGACTAGAGGTAAAATAGTGTATTTTTTAACCATTAGGAAAACATCTCATTTGAGCTCTGCTCACCAGTTCACCACTTTTCCTGGTGCTACCATAATCTGATAGGAGCACTGACCACTGATAAAGGGATTACCAGTAGGGTCCATGGGGAGAGAGACAGCGGTCAATCATAGCTTAGTTACTGATAAAGGGATTACCAGCTGGTATCTGATATCCAGTCCAGATTCATAGTCTTCTCATCGCAGACCCTACACCTATATTTATAATAGGCCTGGATTCAGTGTGTCTAAAGTCTCACTTCATATTGTTTTTTTTTATAGCAAGTACTACTACTAGCTACTTTCTTTTACGTATAGAAGAGAACATTGATGTGCTTGGCAATGGAAAAATGCAGAAGGAAAATATAAAGGGAGGATAAAATAGGGAAAGACGGGTGATAATAAGGAAAGATGGAAATGGAGGGAAAGAAGGAAGAGAAAATAAAGAATAGCATAAGGAAAGATGGAAATGGAGGGAAAGAAGGAAGAGAAAATAAAGAATAGCATAAGGAAAGATGGAAAAAGAAGATAAAAAGTTTAAAAAGAAATACATAAGGAAAGATGGAAACAGAAGATAAAGAAGGTTAGAAAAAAAATAAATACATAGAGAGAATAAAACAAGGTGAAAATAGAGGAATACATAAGGAAAGATGAAAAAGATAAAATTAGGAGAAAATAAAGAATAACATAAGGAAAGATGGAAAAGGAAGATAAAAGAAGGTTTAAAAAGAAATACACAGGGAAAGATGGAAACAGAAGATAATGAAGGTTAGAAATAAAGAAATACATGAGAAAAGATAGAGAGAATAAAACAAGGTGAAAATAGAGGAATACATAAGGAAAGATGAAAATTAGAAAGACGGAGAAAATACAGAAGGGCATAAGGAAAGATGGCTAAAGAAGATAAAATTAGGAGAAAATAAAGAAATATATAATGAAAATTAGAAAAGAGATGTTGAAAGAAGGAGAAAAATAAAGAATAATATCAGCCGAAAGGTATATAGAACAAAGGTGATAATAGTGAAAAACATGAGGAAAGATGGAAAGGAAAGATGGAAAGGAAACATTGAGAAGATAAAGAAGTTAATTGGACAAATAAACTTTTAAAAAACCACCAACCAACATGCGTTAACTGGACCAAACTTTGATTGGTCATGTTGCTGCGTAATAAGGGCGACTTGAAATAATCGCACTGTCACAAGTATTTTAGTTTTTCTGCATAAATATAATCATTACCTTAAAACATAAAGGTTAGATGTCTTATGTATTGAACCAAATCTTTAATAGGCAAGCTTGCCCAGTACCTCTTTGATCAAACGACACGGCGAATTTTTAAGAACACTAAAAGAAAATACACTGAAAAACGGCCGCTCAGAGTGCCGGGCGCATTCACGATACTGCATGTGGCAAGTTTTTTCCGAATTGGGTGGTGGAGTAACGCCTTTAACATAGGCTATATTTGTCGACCTTACCCGACTTTCAAATGGAGAATCTCACTTTTCGGTGAACGGGGACCGAAATACCCCACTTGCGTGTCTGGTATTACAGACCGCTTTCTTTCCCGATATCTTCGCGTACACCAAGCTTCGTGAGAATGAGCAATCTCAGAATCTGGATGAATGTTGTCCTTGTAGTGTGAGGTTCATGAGTAATTATTGTTATAAACTCCGACATATAGTATGGATGATAATGTTTGTCAAGTTTATTGCGGACTTTGTCATCCTCATAAAAGTATTAGATCAAGTAAAAAGGCTTCAATTAAAATAGTTAAAAATGACCAGAAATCATTTCGATGTTAAGATATTTTTGACGCACTTCTCGTCATGATATTGAATTTATAACATACAACGAAACGAGGACATCACAATCATAAAGACGTTCGTTGTGCAGATATGTATTTGCTTATTAATACATACAGTGACAAAAAGAATAATGCGCTATAATCATGAGCAAAAAACCAAGAGGTTTCAGAGAATGGTAAAAAATCATCCGAGCAGTCAATTAGGCAATTCTTCAACAATCTTAAGTATCAAAAAGTGAAAAGGTTTAACTGTCGTGATAAAAATAAGCTTGTCATAGAGATTTATTATACAAGTGAGCATCGAAATGTTTCTTTAATGAACTGCTATAAAATTTTGAAACCAAATACTCTTGTGCTGAAATTTCATATCCTCAGTATCGAGAAGCATAATGTTCCATTATGGTTGCATCAACTATTGTAAAATAGATTAAGTCCTTCGATGTCTTGTAATGCCCTAATCACTCAGCTAATTATTATCTTTCTAAAGGATTGTAGATTTGAGAGTTTCTGTTTCTTTCGTGTTCCATGCAATGGACATTCAATCATCACGGCTTGATGTGTTGTGGGGAAATAAATATTGTATCCTATACGTGTACAGATCATATTAAATCAAATAAAAGTTTGATGAAATTCAATTCTTATCTTGCCAGAATCATCATTTTTTTAAATACCGTCTTTATAACGAATTCCAAGAAATATGCCGTCTGCCTAAACAACCACCCCCCCCCCCTATTTTAAATTTGACGTCTGAGCCCCGGCCACTCCCTATTTTCAAATCCTTGATCTGCCGTTTGGGGGGGGGCAAGAAATAGGCAAAGAAAGTTGAGTAGACCTTCAGATTACGCACTGAATAAATGTAACGAAAACAATATTTACAACATTCTATTCTTGCTTTAATACCTCAAAAATATTGAACGGTCAAACCAACAAAATGTATGTTTTCCCGGCCTTTCCTTATAGGCCTAGGCCTACACCATTTTTCTAAACGCGTTCGAGTTTATTTTGTCTATGCGAATAAATTTGGTGGCGGATTAACGCCTTTAACAGAGGCTATATTTGTCGACCTTACCCGACTTTCAAATGGAGAATCTCACTTTTCGGTGAACGGGGACCGAAATACCCCACTTGCGTGTCTGGTATTACAGACCGCTTTCTTTCCCGATATCTTCGCGTACAACTCCGACATATAGTATGGATGATAATGTTTGTCAAGTTTATTGCGGACTTTGTCATCCTCATAAAAGTATTAGATCAAGTAAAAAGGCTTCAATTAAAATAGTTAAAAATGACCAGAAATCATTTCGATGTTAAGATATTTTTGGCGCACTTCTCGTCATGATATTGAATTTATAACATACAACGAAACGAGGACATCATAATCATAAAGACGTTCGTTGTGCAGATATGTATTTGCTTATTAATACATACAGTGACAAAAAGAATAATGCGCTATAATCATGAGCAAAAAACCAAGAGGTTTCGGAGAATGGTAAAAAATCATCCGAGCAGTCAATTAGGCAATTCTTCAACAATCTTAAGTATCAAAAAGTGAAAAGGTTTAACTGTCGTGATAAAAATGAGCTTGTCATAGAGATTTATTATACAAGTGAGCATCGAAATGTTTCTTTAATGAACTGCTATAAAATTTTGAAACCAAATACTCTTGTGCTGAAATTTCATATCCTCAGTATCGAGAAGCATAATGTTCCATTATGGTTGCATCAACTATTGTAAAATAGATTAAAGGTTATCTGCCATAGTTTACAGGAGGGATTCTAGGGATTCTAAACGCGTTCGAGTTTATTTCGTCTATGCGAATAAATTTGGTGGCGGAGTAACGCCTTTAACAGAGGCTATATTTGTCGACCTTACCCGACTTTCAAATGGAGAATCTCACTTTTCGGTGAACGGGGACCGAAATACCCCACTTGCGTGTCTGGTATTACAGACCGCTTTCTTTCCCGATATCTTCGAGTACACCAAGCTTCGTGAGAATGAGCAATCTCAGAATCTGGATGAATGTTGTCCTTGTAGTGTGAGGTTCATGAGTAATTATTGTTATAAACTCCGACATATAGTATGGATGATAATGTTTGTCAAGTTTATTGCGGACTATGTCATCCTCATAAAAGTATTAGATCAAGTAAAAAGGCTTCAATTAAAATAGTTAAACATGACCAGAAATCATTTTGATGTTAAGATATTTTTGACAATTTTAGACAATATCATATTTTAATTGTGTCCATGTACTATATCGAACTAGACAATTATGATGAAACTTGAAAGGAACATAATTATAACCAGGAAGTTCCTGATATAACTATGCTTATAAAGTGAAGCAAGGAAGATGAAACTGGCATCTCCCATGTATACTGGTAGCTATGAGAATGGACACAATCCGAACCTATATGAGACTGCGAATAAGACTAGAACATCATGGAGGAGTTCCAAGCAGTACTTATCAAGGTTGGGCTGGTGATGTCCTGGCAAAGTTTGTTTACACTGCAGATTAGGGACTCTAACTCTCTCTTGCTCTGTGGTGAGCTTACCACCAAAATGCACCCCACTTTTGGGTCCAAAGTGGGGTGAAGTTTAAATGGACTGTTTTCGTCATGAACATCATTTATCAAACACCCTAGTCATTCAGCTTCATTAAAAAATCACACTTACATGTAAGTCAGATCACATAATTCTAGTCTCCACCTCACTGATACAAAATCATGCAATACACATCAATCCAATCCTTTACCTGTCAAAGGGCAAGATCGGGGGAATTTCTAATACTTGTATATTAGCAGATGTTTAAGGATCTGCCTTCACTAATGCCTTTCTATCATGGCAATATAAGACATACTGAAAACTGCATTGATACTTGCCTTCATGAAGAGCTGCATCTGATAGAGGATGTGACTCCACCCTAGGCGATTGACATGACGACAGGATGCAGTCAGGCAAGGGTGCCATTTAACCAATGATGGGTCTACTCTTAGCATGTGTTCCTGTAGCTTACTGAGCTGGCCCTCCTTTATACAAGGCACCAACAGACCTTCTAAGAACACCTCACTGGAACATTGCTGCAAACAATATGACATGAGTAAAAGAGTTCAACGTATACATTTATGAATAATGCAACAATCATAGTAAAGTAAAAATATTTTTGGACAGCTTGAACAAATTATAATTCTTAATGTAAGAAAATTAAAGTCCATACAAATGCCTACCACTTCCATACAATGATAGAAAATCTAAAATTTGAAGTTATGTTTCAATCCGGTTGATTGTGTAAGCAAATCTAAGAAACCAAATACTTGCTTGTCCTGTCTCCATATGCATTTTGTGAGAACCCCTGGGACCCGTTTCACAAAGCCTTTTTTCAATGACAAATGACAAATATCAGTGACAAATCTGTTGATAACCAATCAGAAGCAAGGATTTCAGTAGCTTATGACAACAACTGTCATTTGTCACTGATGACAAGTTTTGTGAAACACCCCCTGATGTCCATCTGCACATTTAAATTCTTTTTATTCAGGAGGACAAACCTGAGGTAACAACAACAAAGTTAGCTTTGCTCTTTCCCTACAAAGGTGATGCAAAATACTTAATAAATAAAAAGCAGTATAACTTAAACTATGATAATCATAAGATATAGAAAGCATCAGCTTTAGATGTGTTTCAAACAACTGTTATACCTGTTGGAGTATGTAAGTGACAGCCCTCTGGAACATTCCATGTCTCATATAGAACTGAACAGCTGTAAGATATGAGCTGTAAGTCTCAATGTAAAGTACACATTCTTTCAGCGCTGGATTCTCGGTCACTTTCCCTGACTCAGGTACACTCTGATAAAAAACAAACATAGAGAACAAAATCAAAATATTGTTCACAATTGTCCATGAGAAATCCATCAAGAAAGATTGGGTTGAATATCCTAGTTAGCATACCACAATGTTCAGTTGTCACATCTAATGCTACATCAAATAATTAATAGATGTATCAGTTGTCTAGTAGAGACCTTGTGTAAAGAAACAAAGACAAGGGTCCTCTTTCATGTAACTTGCCATGAGATACCAAATGCTAGAATTCAAAACTAAAGAAACATACTCACAGCTAATCAAATTCATTGGTTTCAGTAGCTGATATCAACATTTACATAAATGAAACAGGGCCCTGGGGTAAGAATGTTGGTTCTTTTCAAAGAGCATTAGGCCTAATACAGCAGTCACACCGATATGACCGATGCCAGACCAACAACACATCAAACAAAAACATGCTATAGCACGAATGGTCAAGAATCGGTCAGTTAGTCAGTCTGGTTTGGGGTTTGATGTGGTGACTGAGGTGTTAGGGTCAAAACAGAAAAGTGACCAAGACAGGCACTGACCACATCACTGATATGCTCTCTATTCCTTGTATGGGCCAGTGTAATGCATTACCTTGTATGGCTGTGAAATGAAGTCCTTGATAGAACTAGCAGACAACGTCAGAATATCTTGAACCTGCAACAACAAATTAGTTTTACATTATTCACTGAGATTCAAGAACAGAGTGAGATAAAGAAAAGAATGAGGGATGTATTTTAAAGTTAGTAAGATTTCTTAGAGGGTTGAATCACATTCTGGGAAGATAAACAAAGCTCCTATCTCTTCATTTTTGTTTTGTTGTGCTTGTAAAGTCATCGTAGTTCATTATGCGATATGTCACAATGACTAATATACAACACATATTCCTATCACTTGTTAAAATACAGAAGTTTAAGTTCATGTTTGATTTCCACATTCCATTAGAAATTTTTTGAAAAATACGCAATTGCAGATAAAGTACGGTACGTTACAACGCAGTATATTCTCTAAAATACAAAGTGATGTGATGAAAATATGGCGGGAAACAACATAGGTCAAGAGCCTTCAAGGCAGAACCCCATAGTTTCGCATATAATTACATGAATCACACTGTACAGAAAGGAATCAGTAAAAGGCAAATAAAATTCAAAACAGAAGAGATATTTTCACACAGACTTCCTTGCTCCGACAAACAGTTGGCTGATGTAAACTTGATTTGAGATCAATCTAAAATAGAGCTGGATGACAATTAAACATTCTCTAAAACAGTGCATAAAATTACCTTGATTGTTTGACCAGCTGAGGACTCCAATATCTTGATGATTTCCTGTAGTAGTTTATTAGGTCCCTGGGTTTGGTTCTTATCTGGTGGGGTCTACCAACACACACAGACAGAGAAAATAAACATAAGAACACTTACACAATGCCTGAAAATGTAGCAAAAATGGCTAAAAGGGCAAGGTAAATTATAAATTACAAATTCTTGAGAGACCCATAATTTGTGCATTCAATCAGACTTATTATTACGTGATAAACCGTTTCAAATCTGTCAAAGTTTGTTGCATTTATTTAATAAACTTGAACAATATTATAAACAGTTCACATACATGAATATCTTACCTTTACTAAATGCCATTAACTTTTGTATAAAGTTAATTTAACCACACCCTTATAATACAAGATAGTATACAAGTATACAAAAACAGTGCCTTGTAGTTGTACATCACACTTTCCTATCTTTTACTCTACTGCTCTTCTACTGGCCAAAATGTGATATGGATCTCTGTCAGTATATCCCATGGCAAAGTGAAGAATGAAACTCCTCTGATTTTACCTTTAATATTTTACTGAGTTTCTCCCTGGCCCCATCATAGTCTCCCGCCTGGAGGCAGCTGAGACCCCAGGCTGCCCACACGGCTCCAGGATCCAGTCCGCACTTGGTGGAGACCTCCATGGCTAGGGACAATCGCTCTGACAGGACTAGCTTGTCTCGGATACGTCTGTTTGCCAGGTAGAAACCAGTGAACAAAGGCAGAGTTATTACATGATGAGAGGCACTATCGCACTAAGAGTCAAATAGCTCTGAACATGCACTAAATGCAAATGATGTATACTGGTACTTGTTTGATGATGAACAAAGGCAGATTTGAATTTCAATTGCGGTTTTCAAATGTAGCAGGTAAAAAATACTTCTTTTTTTCATCAGCAGCAGCAGCAGCTGTTAATAGTGATGGTATAAATAATACAAAAAAGTCAATTAAATACAATTTTGGTTCATTGACATTGAACAAAAAAGGCCAAAGTCCAAAGACTGATATTGTCAGAATTACAATTCAAAATCTGATTAAAACATTAAAAGAAAAATTATATAAGACATTTCCTATATAACTTATGTACCAAATTCAGATTCATAATTAATATCATCTACAAAATATGAATATAGAGCAAGAATAATATATGTTGATGTTCCTACCTTGCAGTATCTATCTTGGTGAGTTGTTGAATGCTTGGTATATCAGTGCAGTTACTTGACACAAACATATTGAGAAGATCTACATGACCCAGGTATGTATCACACATCTCTAGACTAGCGCTGTCTCCTGAACCTAAGAACTTGAGCTTGCTGTTCAGCAGTAAGGTACGCATCATGCTGGAGTAGGAATGCAATACACAATCACACTCACATAATTAGCGTTATTCATCATCTCTATGTTGCTTTTCATTCTTACTGAAGCACCAAGTAGAATGAACAAACACATGTTCATGGAACAATTGCTCAGGGCTAAACTTCTAGCACTGGTCAAATTCCTCACCCTGGACCCAATTAACACTACACTTTACCCCCTAACCCTAACCCAGCACCTAAACAAAATCTTTATTAAAATACTAATCTGTCTCTTTGATGAAATACAAACATTTGAGTGAAAGTAAACATTTAGACTTACATAATGGTTTCTAACCTTTTGGACCCAACAATCCTTTTTTGAAATCACTCTACTAATGCCATTGCTCCCAAAATCCATTTCTTGGTCAGTGCTGTCGTTGTTGCTAGGTACTGTCATGTTGTCTTTGAAATGTCTCTACAACTTTGCATAGCTCTCTTACTGACTTGTCTGTTATCCCCTGTATTACAATTGTACCTATATATCATTTTGATTTTCTTCAATTATCAATGACAAAACATATTTCATTTCCCTGCAAACCCCAAACGACCCCATGAGCTAGAGTATATAAACCATGTTACCTGAGAATGAGACTGTAGTCAACCTCTGTGTTGGGTTCCCCTGGTCTGATAGGTCGGAGATACTCGGATAACCTTTGACATAGCTGAAGAATCAGGTGACCACAGACTCCTGGGTTAGAGTGCAGCTCCAGGATGGACAGACATAGGGATGTACTTGGAGCCTGGATACAACAACAGTATACAAATATTGACTGCTCATGAGGATGATGGTGGGAAACATCACTCCCAAGGTGGTGTTTACACCGGCCCTTCTATCACCCCCGAGGCGAAGCCGAGGGGGTGATAGAAGGGCCGGTGTGAACACCACCGAGGGAGTGGTAGTTCCCACCATCATCCGATTACAGAGCAGTCCATATTTGTTTTATATACCTCATCCTTTTTATTGATTCATGATTAGGTCTAGCTGTAGGTCTAGATCTAGCTCTAAAAACAGGAAACGAGATCAAGAGGAATTTACTAACCCAAATAAGAAAAATCCAACATCAAGTCCAAGGCAAGAGTATTGAATTCCTACGCGCTGCGCGTAACCGCGCGATTGCGGTAGCCTAGCAACTCAAAAAATTTGTGTGCGCAACTAAGTCGCGGGAGGGGTTAGGGGTCCTATCCCAGGGTTTGATAGTAGCTATCAACCCCTCTGACGTAATGATACTTGATAGATCGAAATGCTCCTTGACATGTGATATACAGGGTGTAGTCTTGACCAATCAGTGAATGACAATCTATGTATGAGGTATATAAAAACAAAGATTTACTTTAGCCGTGTAATTCTAGTGTCAGCTAACATCTGGTTCAATCAGTACGAGTGCAATGAAACATTCAGAGGGAAGAACAATTCCTTCTTTTTTCCCTCTTTTCCTTCCCCTGTCTTGAGTAAATGAGAGAGGTCCACTGTTCTTCATCAAAATATATTGTAACCTTTCCATGGCTTTTTAATCAATTAAACATGACACTGACCCTGAAAGATATTCATCTCCCTCCATGTTTATAGCAAATATTCTTCAAAAAGCTTAAAGCATTGAGTATAGTGAAGTATTATTATCAAAATGTCACAAACAAGTACCGTAAATCTCCATGTATAAGCACACCCCTATTTTAAAGACCAAATTTATTTTTTTTAAACTCTCTCCCCTTCAAATTAGGAACGTAGGATAACTTCAAATAGTAGATCCTATTCTTTATTCGCATTATGTTATTTATGTTGAGGCACAGAGATTCTAGAAAACCCCTAAAAGTAGCATTTTGAGGACTTAAAATATCCTGTACCTGTGTATAAGATCATCCCCGACTTTTGAATTTTTCCAGCAGAAAAAAGTGTGTCTTATACACGGAGATTTACTGTATCTATCTTTGTACATATACTTCCTCTTCACCTGCTCATAGTAGAAATCCTCTCTGACCATACTGCAGTACTCTTCATCGAGAGATAATCTCCATTCAGTGACCGGGCCATACTCAGTCAGTCCTTCTCCTCCCATACCTAGCTCGGGGGTCTGGGATGGAGTGAAGGATCGCGATGCTGCAGGGATACTCCCTGAACCTCCTCCTGATCCTCTCCCTCCTGTGGAAACAAATACAATCATTACATATAGGATAACAAGAAATGAGAAGACACACACAAAGAGTCCTTTTCTGTAATTAACACATACATGTACACATTTTCATAGATGGTGTGTATAATGGCGTGTATAGTGGTTCCATATTTTTCACAGATCAATCTCATATATACCTCTAGGAAGGAAACTCCAGATTAAATGTTAACATTTTGAAGAAAAAGAAACAAACAAAATGACCCGATTCGCAGTTCTTTATTAACTGACAGCAGAAGACTGTTCTCAAAAAATGAAACATGGAGTTTTAATGGAAGTCTTTTAATGGATTCTTAAATCCTGCTATACAACATCAATGCAAAATATCATTACATTGTACACTTTTATTAGCATGCATACAGAAAAAAAATAGGAGCAAGAAACCTCACCAGACATTTTGCCCTTCATTCTTTGTTCCAGTGACTGTGGAGTTCCATATGATCTGAGGATTACACAACAAATTTAAGATCCACTTTTACTTTAAAAAGATGTACAAAACCATATTGCAAAACAATAAAATGTTTAGGTACAATATCAGATTGTTTCTCAATAATTAATCAAATGACTTCAATAATCAATCATAAAATATACAGCACTGAATCCTTAAAATATGATATTACTTTAATAGGCCATTCACAGGAAATTGACAGCCATCTGAAAGAAACATTCTGTAAATAGCCTGTATATAAACAGTAGCTATAATTGATTCCTATATATTTCAGGCACTTTTTATCAATAGGTTTTGTGAAACAACAAATTTATCTGAATGTGTATTCATCTTTATGCTTTCTTACAAACTACACAAGTGTACTAATGATTGGGAGACCTACCTTGGAGCAATGAATCGTTCGTAGCACTGATCACAGATTCTGACCGGTGTATCTCCGTATCCATCAACCATCGCACGTAGCTGAGAACACTTCCAGCACACTACACGTCCACAGCGTCGACAGTGATGTCTTCTATTAAACTGTGCAAGGTATGGATGGATATGATTTACTAAAGATTCATAAACATATAGCTTGTTCAGTGAGATAAAATTGGTTTACATGCATTTACTGGAATCAAATTACAAACAATTACACATAAAAATAGTTCTCTGGTTCTATCCCCTACATTAAACAATCATATTGAAGTCTATTAATTTATATTCTTTTTGGCATCTTCTTTTGTAAAACTGTTTATTCTTCACACATACATGTACACATATATATTATTCTTTCATTTCTTTTTGTCAACACAATGATTTTTATTTGTAGGACATGGCTTTTTGCAACCATCAACTAATCTGTGTATTACTGGATCTTATATTATCTATCTATGATTCCATTGTGAATGCCTAAACTTTGTACATACATGTATCCCTCTATCATTGCATTGACTCACCATACTAAACCTATCCTGACACACCATGCAGTTAGAGACCTTATCATCAGGTACCCACTGATCCCTGGTAGGGGGTACAGCCGGCAGTTCACCCCCCTCTAGGGGCACACCCTGGGGGTTCTCTGGTACCTCTGGGAGGGGAGTAGGGTGTCTGCTGCTAGGTGATACCAAATGATCAGGACGGGATGATGGGCTGGTTGGGCCAGGACTTGTTAGACCTGGGCTTGGACCTAAATGTAGGTAAGGAAGGTTGTCAAACACAACATACCATCATAATTTTGATAATTCACTCATAAATAGTAATTTCTTACGTCACAATTTTGTCAACAAGTTTTGTTATTTCAACTTGTGTTTTATTATGATTTGTATAGCAGTTCCAAATACATATGTCATGCCCTGATCTACATGTGGACATGGTATGAGATTCCATGGGCTTTTAGACGCAACTGTGATACAATACTACACGATCATTATGTGCTTGTAATACTCTCAGTCACAAATCTGGAAGTGTGAACAAATTTTATATTAAACACTAAATTAAAACATGCAAAAAGAATTATTACGAGATAACATAACACAAATAAAATAAATGCATAGAAAAGAAGGTTAAGTAATTGTTAAATCACAAATAACGATCAGCCTCTTTCAACTTTTCACATGTCAAATTTTAGAAACAGTAATTATAAGCCATGCTACAATTAGATATTTTAGTGCATGCGTTTCAGTGCATATATATTGAACCCTAAACAAAGACATACTGGTGTAGAAAAAATTCACCTTCCTTGGTGTATTGGAAGAAATTATCAAACAAGGCCACTTTGGAATGATCTTTAACATTAGTTGTTTGGCTAGGAGTGATTTGATTTATCATTTACTTTATTAAAGAAGAAAAAAAAATCGGCATATCTAATAGGAAAGTCTTCATCTACAGTTTTTTCCAAATATAGGAATCATTCAGTTTTCCCCTGGTGTTTTAAAAGTATAATGACCATTCAAACACTTTTATTATCAGCAGGCTGGAAAAAATTGCAAACATAAAGAAACAGTGTGGAATTATGATAGAAACAAAATATTAGTATGCAGCTGAGTCTGGTCATGCATAAACACAATTAACTGAAATTTGTGTGTTAAATATCTTTATATTTCCAATGAGAATGATAACCTATAATTTTCATGCAACCTCAAGGATATTTGACCAACAAAAGACTTCTTAAAATGTATTCATCTCCCAATAGTGACAGGTACCATCTTTTAGGGCAAATCATTTCAGAAAATGAACTAAATGCAATCTTAAGATGAAATAATCTGAGCTTCAGCATAATCTCTTATTCAAGTAACACTAGGTGGTGTCACACAGAAAAATCCTGACACGTCTTGAATCAACTAGATTTTAGAAATTTATTTTTTTCATTTACGTCGGTGACAGACAGACTATGAATAATCTGGATAACTAAAATCCGAATTTTTGATAGGCCGTTTAGGTAAATAAGCATTGTGCCATCATACGTTCAATCAAAAGTAATGCGCAATTAACGTGTCTCATTAAATGCGTGCTAATATAATTGTGCGCAGGTTATGATAACCGTATGCCAGCCAATCGTTAAGTCAACGTTGACCTTACACATTATTTTAACATTGGTGTCAGACAGAAAAATCCCTTAAAAAATTCCCTTGAAAAATCCTTTCAAAGAAGAATTATCCTGCTTCGTTAGAGGATAATTGATGACAGACAGCCAAGTAAGAGGATAACTAAATTCTGGATTTTTGGCCTCTGTGTGACAGCACCTATTGTAGATCTGCTATTGTGAATTTCACATCGCTCCTTAGGTGGTGTCAGACAGAAGCCAATTATCCAGAAAATAGCTATCTGGAAAATTTGCTGTATGTCATTAATAATCCCCCAAAAAAAATCCAGTGAAAATCCTAGAACGAACCAAGAAAATTCTCCCTTATCAAGAAATTTCACAGGATTTTTTGCAGGAAATTTCTTCTGTCACCTATGTAAATGAATTATTTAGATAGATATTTAATATCTAGGTAATTCAAGATGAAATATGAAAATTGTTTCCCAGTCCGCCTCTTGTTAACACTTTTCAGGTCAAGATTTTTATCTTCATTGATTTCATGTACATTTCTTCATTCCACAAGTGTATATTAAACCATGCCCACCAGCCTGTGTAAATTTCACAAGACGTATGTCATGTGTAATCTACAATCTGTCAATCAAAGATCACCTAGATGCTGCACGACCCAGTTCCTGTTCAAACCGGATTAGGTTCAAAGGTTATGAGATAATGAGTGTTAAATCCTTTTATGTATTAACATGTATGGGTTAGAAATTTCACAAAAATAATCCATGAAATTAAGAAATACGGAAATTGTATCAACCATGTCTTTAATCAGGTGATAAATTTGCACTAATTGCTGATTCATAATACATGTCTTAGGAAGATACCCTTGACTGTAAAACGAGACATTTATTCACACTTGCATATTATCGACCAAAGCCATTTTATAAGGGTATAGGAGTGTGTTGTATAATAAAATAGGCAAGGTGCAGTTGATAGTAAAAATTGGTTAGGTCTCAGCCAATCATTTGTGCAGGATCCATAGGGCAGTTTGAATGAAAAGCATAATGAAAAGTGATTAGTGCTGAAAGAACAACCAGAAAGTGATTGTAATATTAAAGCCTTTTCTAAACTTATCTAATTTCTAAGTTGGAAGTTCTAACTTTAGCATTTTACGATAATGTTGAAAGCTTTTTAGTGCTGCACTATATTCCTTGTTTATGTTAAACTGAAGAGTTAACCATTTATTCCATGGCTTCAATGTATAAACAGTTGCAATTGATTTAAATTGATTGCAACCTGACATCAATCACCACTCTGTTCAAAAGACAGAAGTTACAAAGTTTTTTTGCAGATTATTTAAGGACTTGTGATCAATCACAACTCTTTATAAGAGAGGGCCCAGGATTCATTTGAAAGACGGGTGCTAGACAAATAAAAGCTCAGCTATCAGGAAGTATAAGCATTAACAAAAAAAGATTGACCACACACACCACAGAAGCTGTACAACATAGATATCTAGGACATTGAACCAACTCACCCCTGTTGCTTAGCCTTCTCCTCTCAGGGACTGGAATAGAGGAGGAGGAGGAGGAGACAGAGGAGGGGGATGGGGATGGGGCACGACTCCTCATAGATGCCAAGAACTGACGTCCCTTCAAAGCAGAGACCAGGCCAAGGGGTGATTGGGTAGAGGCGTACGAGGCAAGGGCGAAACTTTGGTTCAGGGCGGAGTCGGTGTCTACGTGCATTGCGGATGGGCGGGCGGAACAGATGGGATTTTTTGTGTCATGAAAGGAGGTGTGTTGGGGCGAGGTAATCATATGAGTGCATGCATAGAGAGAATTTTAGAGATGAACAAATTAATACAATGAGGAATCGCATTCATATATAAGTATAGAAGATTTAGCTACCCTCATGCTCCCCTTCCTTTCAACAGAATTTTCATTTTGCAATTCTCTTTACATGTATGTGCCATTAATATTCCTTTCGCTTCCTTGCTTAGCTTCATGAAATATGAATACCTTTGGAATGAACCTCTGGAAGATCACTCATCTCACTACCTGGGTCATTTACTATAACGAAGTCTGAGAAACTGCCTGCTTTGAATGATGATAGATAATAATATAATATAGATTACTACCAAGTCAATTTTCAATGTGACTTTTTAGCATGTTTTTTTAATGAACAAGCATTAAGTACACGACGATCAACAATTTTTGCAGAATAAATTTGCTTAGAAGAATTTGTACAAGTATAAACTGTAAAATGTACCGGTATCTCTTTTAAATCATGAATTAACATGCATATATGTTATCAGGCCAGAAACACAACAAACCAAGATTAGCATGAAAACAATATATACAAGGAATCCAAGCTATTGGGGATTCAAAAGCATTCTGTAGAAACCCTACACAAAGTGAGAGATGATCATGCACATCAAAAGAGCATTTGAATCCAAAATGTTAACTAACTGTTTTTTATAATTCAGTCTTTTGGGTTTTGACTCATGGCTGACTATGAAACACGAAAAAGCAATCTGAAATCCTCACTAATAAACCAAGACAATGGGTAGCATGGTCAAGCAGGTTTTAATTACCAGACAGAAGGATATTTACACCATACATGTATATTACTCTTGGGATGCTACAAAGAAGGGTAAAGAAATATCTCCTGAGAACCCTGTATAAGCAATGAGATTGATCAGCATGACTCACCAGACATAGATGTATTGAGGAGAGCTACTGGGATCGTGATTGCTTCTCGGGCATACTTGGAGATAAGGGTATTGATGGACTTCTCTGAGAGACTTGCAGAAGGGAACTGAGAAGCCTGGAGCTGTTCTTGTAGCGTTGCCTGCACATCTGACGCAAGGTTCATCTAAAGCAAAAAATCTTTACATTATTCCAAGATACAATCAGTTTCTTTATATCTGTATAATGGGTGCTTTAACAAACATCACAGGCTCATCAACAGAAAACAAATAGAGATTGAAAAGGAACACATGAACCATGAAAAGAAAACACACAACCTTTCAGTTAGTGATTCAAGACTTCAGTTGGTTTGTAATTTATTTAGAATACAACTGCACAAACAGATACTTGACAATTCATGATGAACAGTTCCAAGATAACGCAGAATCTAGACAGGAGACCATGACACTCTCTCCTTACTCTCGGTAGTCATTGGTTGCACTGTCGTTTAAAACTCTGGAGATAGATACAAACCTTAAGATTCATGAGTAGTTGTTCCAGGAGTAGGTCTGGTCTAGACATAAGATGCTTATACTCTGCTCGTACTCTCTCAGGTAAACACAGCAGCACCTACATCAACATCAAAATAAACGATTATTATCAATAGTTATAACCTCACAATCAAACACATTTCTTGGTAAGTCAAATAAGCCAAGTGGTTTCCCCCACCCCCCCCCCCCACTTTTTAAAACGTATTTGTTTATTTGTTTTACCTACAAAGAATGTTAATGAATGAATTGCAAGACTGATGTCATGAACAAGTCATCATCTGCTGTTGCTGCGATTGCCAGAACCAATGTAGATTAAAGTTCACAAAGCATTTATACGTAATACATTGTCATTGTCATATTTCAACTAAAAAAACTAAAATCAAAATGTACCAAGGCAAAATGGTCATTGCAGATGACAATCGAAGTAACGTTGAACCATATTTAGAAAGTTTTACATTTTTTTCTGTTGCCGCAAGACATTTACCAACATAAACATTGAATGACTAGTAAATTGTGGTGTTGCTTATCTGCCGAGAGCCAGAAGGCATTAACTTGTATACGCTTACATAAAGTTAACACCCTTCTGGCTCTAAGCAGACTGTATGAGCATACTAACCTTGGCTCCTATACCAATGTCATGAAGCTTTCCAGCTCTCTCCAAAGAGAGTTCATCAAAGCAATTGTGAAGGAGGTACTGGACCAAGAAGACCACACTTGGTAGGGCTATCTTCTGAGACTCCAGCAACTGAGTACACATAGAGACTGTCTCTTCATTGCTACAAGCATCCTCTAGTATCTTCAAGGTTGGGAAAACAATATCAAAACCTCATCACTAAGCTAGTTGCGAATTAAATTATATATATATAGTAACATCTTTTTCAATCTCAGTCAACTAACAGCATTTTATTACAAAAAATATCAACCCTTCAATACTTTTAGCCTGAGAAACCTTGGGCTGCCGGCTTTAAAATTGTGTATAATACCAAAATCAAGCCATATTTGAAAGGATGGTTAATGGTTTATTTAAAAGAATGTAATGTTCTTAATTTCAATAACTTTATGAAGGTTTCAATTATCCAGTGATTAAAAAAAAACATTCTTTATCAATTCTTTCTATGTCTCTACTGTCTTTGTCTTTGCTCTGTTACTCAATGCTGGAATGTGTACGTACCTGGTAGACTTGTAGGTTGTTACTACTGCTGCATAATAAATGCTCCAACTGGTTGATTTGGATAGTCTAAAAGACAAAGTCGGAGATGAAAATTAACATGTTATTCAATTTTAGTCTAGCAAGATATACAATACACAGCCTTATTTGTGAGATCAAATCTTCTGCCTTTAATCTGAAATAGTTATGTTTCCCTAAGAACACATGAAAAGGGTTTCTGGTACATGTACCAGGTATCACATGGCTGAGGCTCCTTCAGCATCCAATATCAATTCATATAGTCAGGAGAAATGCCATGTTTGCTCAAGAAGTTTGGATAAGACTTTATGTAACATATTATGTATAAAATAACTTGGATATTTATTTAAACAGATATCAAGAAGGTATAAACAAAACAAACAAGGAATGATAATATCTGTATAAAAATTCATCATAACAAATATCAAATGTTAACACTGACGTTTCTTTAAGCCGCTCTATATCGCAGACAAAATCATGCATTCTCAAGATACAAACTCATTTTCCTAGATTGCCATGCCTCCATACCTGTTGATAATCATCAATAACTCCATGGAGCTCTGCCCAGTCCTTGGCTAGATCAAAGTCTGAAGCAGACATTAAGAGCTTGAGGACATTGTCAGGGCTGGTCTTAGAAGCATCCTGAACATCCTGCCAAGTACACAGAGGTTGAATCAACTCAGAAGGGTCAGAGGGAGTACTTCCTCCCTGAAGCACCTCAAGTGACCGCGGCGGGGTGTATTGCATAGCATAGAATGTGATCTAATGGAAAGACATAAAGAGTTATAATTATAAGCCAACTGTCAAGCAAAAAGCTAAAACTTTGCAGCATTGAACTGTACCTGTAAATCAACCGTTACATTAGTATTCTGTTCTTAATACATGTGCCTTATGTCACATACCTAGAGTTAATAGAGGACCTGCATATACTTTAGGATATACTGAATTTCCCGCTAATGCCCTCCACCCAGGCACTTTTTTTTCCTACCGTATGAGGTTTGTTCGTCGGTCTGTCGGTCGGTCGGTCGGTCGGTCGGTCGGTTGGTCGGTCAATCGGTCAATCAGTCAGACATTCATTCAATCAGAGGGAAAACATTGTTCCAAAAAGAAATTTAGGAAACATCAAATGTTCAAATAGTTGTCTGAATGAGGAAGTTCCTATTACCTTTCTGTACATCTTGAGCTGCTGAAGCTTGGTGTGCAGAATGGTGTTCAAAGGAGAGTCCTTCCTGTCCTCCAAGACACAACATTCTAGCAGCTCCAAGGCATCTTCAATTGGAAGACTATCCAAGGAGGTTAGCACTGCCCTGCCTCTCAGCATCTAAGAATAGAAACAAATAGGGTTATATATAAAGACTACTACCATCGAAGGTATTCAGCTTAGATTTTCATAAGTAAGAAATTACTATGGAGTATATTTCAATGTTAGCAACAATCTACATAGTCTCTAGAACCTATTGTATAGAGTGTAAGACTCTCAGCAATAAACTCAATCTTATCTGAATTAACTATTAACATAAGAGAAGGGATACTTAATGATTGTAACCATTTTCACCTCGATAGTAAATGTACAGGTCACAGAGATTAAACAAAATACTATAATTTTGCAAACAGATAGCCAAATATCTTGAAATATCTTGAAACAACCACAAGATTATACATTTAAATGTAAATGTTACAATCCCTGCCTGCATCTCTGCTCCACTGATAACCTAGGAAAGTACATTTCGACCAACTTGATACATTCATTCATTCCAGTCCCTCCTGCCATGATGATTCATCTTACCTTGTTCCTGATGGAAAGCAGACATTGCCATGTTGGTTTAGGGGATGAAGTCATCTGAACTCCCTTGACTTGGTTACCAGCACAGTACGCAGCAAATTCTCTGATGGCATCGTAGCTCTCGGTACCAGTGACGCATCGGATAGTATCCACAAGCCTCAAGACTGCCTCCCACTGACAGCTTGATACAAGCAACTCTACAGCCTCCTTCAGTAAGTCTTGAATCTCCTTCAGAAAAGGTCATTGTAAAATCAAGAGACATGAGCATGTCGAATTTTCAAGATTTCGCGTTACAAAAAGAGCATTGTAAAAATAGAGTTACCACTCTGGTTGGTTTGACTAATTTTTGACAAAATGTTTCACAGACCCAGGTTGACACCTCTATGTAGAGGTGTCATGGACGAGTGGATATGTCACCGGACTGTGGATCACAAGGTTCGCGGTTCAAGTCCCACCGCGGCACTTTGGCAAGACATTGATCTACATTTGCCACTCTCCACCCAGGTGTTAAATGGGTACCCGGTAGGATGCGAAAGCTAATGTGGTTAGATTAGCACGTGTGCGCTTGTAAAAAAGACGCCTGGCTGGAATGCTCCCCAGGGAGTGGAGAATGTGCATACATTGTGTGCGGGTAAGCCTGAATCCTATGACCGGGGTAATAATATTTATATCTGTAAAGCGCTTTGAGAGGGCCTTCGGTCCTGAAAAGCGCTATATAAGAACTAGCTATCATTATTATTATTACTCCTATCTACTATTCGTAAGCATATTAAAAGTTAAGCATCATACACATACTAGCCATATCATGGAGAAAAAAACAGCATATTTGATAGTGTCTACAGCCTCACACAAACATATTCCATATATGGATACAGATTTAACCAAAATAAATCATGCATTTATCAATCTACCTTACTTTTACTTAAAAGCCAAAGGAATCTAATTGTTAATAGACAAATCGAGGGAGGAGCCCATACATTTACAAATAATACCAATATGCTAAACTGATTGTAAGGTCACTTAGTTACCTTGCAACGTATATCAGCCAGGAGACTTGCTCTAACTTCCATCTCATTAAGGTGCTCATTTCCTTTAGAGCTACCAACTATGGACAACACTTCTGAGAAGAATGACTGGATGTAATGTTGCATGATGGGATACCCTGCCAGATGCTGAAAGACTTTCGTCAGGGTTGAGAGCTTGGGATTGTACGTTCTCTCACTCCCAAAGGTATCCTCAAAGCAGAGACTTCCTGGACTACCAACACTAGATGGCAGCATATCTTCATCAATGGATTTATCTCTGGCGAAGTCATCTGTGTTTTCACCGATACCTGCGCTGACCACGCCCGCCAGTGAGGCTACCAGTTTGGACTTGGAGTGCAAGTACATCAATGTTGGCTCCGTCATTGAGAAAGGTGGTTCGGTGGCAGGCTCGTCTTTCAAACTCCAGCCTAGTCCACTGGAGTCAAAGTTGTCTGGGACAGAGAGTCTGCGTTTCTGTGAACGGGATTGTGTTGTATTATCTGTTGGGCCGTGGAATCGGTATCTAAAGGTGTGGTCATAAGGTGTTACCATGACCTTGAACCTCATGGAGTTGGACCGCAGCAGTGGAGGTTTCTTGTCTGCAGGGTGACCAATGAAATAAAGGAGAATAAAAGAGAAAGGAGAAAAGAAAGAAATTGTAATATATCTAGCCTTTGGATACAATGAGTGAATAAAATACCTTGAATTGAATTGAATTTATAAGTATCAATAAAGTGGATAAATACACAAGTTAGAATATAATTATTTAAAGATAATAATTTTCACATGTTTGAAGACTATCATTTTTCCTGACCATCCATGAAACAAATACAGTTTCATACAATTGCGCTGCTCTAGTGCTTACTTAAAACTGTTTTTAAAGTGCATGAAAACTTGTTCAATTCTACCCATTTGCTAAGTGTTACCCAAAGTTCATGAACACTAGTGGTGTCACGATATATAGACAGTAAATGCTTTACATTTCTATTAACAGAGGCAGGTCATGATCGTTCCAGAATGTTTTGCCTGACCTGTAGAGCACTGAACATTCAAAGTCTAGGTGCTTACCTGTTCCATCTTCTCCACCCTTGGTCAGTTCTGCCTTACTCTCCAGCTCAATGTGCCTTGGTAGGTACCTCATGGTGTAGGTCTCCAGCTTATCACCTAGATACTGAGATACATGAGGACTGATGACTCTCAGTAGACCCATGTAGATATTACCATGATCTATGTTGGCTGGGAGAGTGGAACCGGTGAAGTCCTTGCGGAACCATTCCAGCGATTGAGGTATCATGATCTGTGAACAAACATAATACAACTGATTGTTTTTTTGCAAAATAATGGAGTTGGACTTACATGCATGACTAAGCTAAATCCAGGGAACCAGCTTATTTGAAGTGTATGCCATCACGTCTGATAGCTTGTAGAGCTAAGTATCATGAATATTTCTAGGAAGTAAACTAAAAATGATCATTGACTTTTGAAATTGAAGAAGATTATGTTTATCACCATGTAAAAATGGCCATGAACAACATTACACTTCCATGACTCTACACAAGAAAACAATAAATACATATAAAAGATCATGGGGCCCCCTTAAGTGCTATCTCCCAAGGTTAAATCTACATAAATATAGGTGTGCATGTGGTATTATAATCTGTACCTGGTTCAGTTTCTCATCAACCCTAACTCCAGCCTCCAGATGATTCTGCATCGCCAGAGTTAACTGCTCATCTAGGTCATCTCCTGTCAAAACCTAGAAGAAAACAAATCAGAAAATAGCAGTTAGAGATTTTTCTCTCTCTCTCTCTCTCTCTCTCTCTTTAGATCAGAATTAAACATATTTTATGTGCTCATTAAATAGAAACCATTCAATTCATTTCAAAACTGTCTAATTAACCTTAATCATTAGTGTCTCTCATCTCATCTATAATGATGACACATATTACCCAGACAAATGACATCGCAAAACCATTTTACAAGGCACTGCACCAGGAAGGATAAGAAAAGGGAGACAGCGGAAAGGATTGGAAGACTATATCAAAGAAAAGAATATAGTTTGATAATTCTTAAAGGATGGCAAAGGATAGAATAAGATGGCAGGAAGTGGCCAAGATGGAGACAGTGTTGTCTCTTAGACTTTGTGGTTATGGGACATGATGCTGATCATCAGGATCATATACATGTACAATGTTAGTTGCAAACTGTGTTTTTTGTGTAAGTGCATGCTATGTTATGAGTGCCCTATTCTGGCAACCCTTGAAAACTCAATTTGTTACTATACTATCAAATTCTGGTGTAAATGTACTAACTCTGAGACGAGGTGAGGAAGCGGCTCCGCTACAAGACACAAAGGTGATTCTGGAGTCGGGTGAAGGAATGTATTTCAACCATGGATCATCCTCTCCTAAGGCTAGAAAACAAAAATCATTGCAGAAGCTGGATAATATACAGTAGATGCTAATATTGGAGTAAGAACAGCCTTTCAAAAAAGTGGAAACTGGTGAAACAAAACGAGAATGGTATCTGGAATTTTACTGTAATCAATCTAGAATTATATCTAGAGTTTTCTTACGATTTATGAATACAAAATGATTCCAATCAACAATGTCATTTTTGAAATCTTTGCAAAGAGCATCTGCTGTTATACATTGGAGTTCTTTAAAGACATTTATTGTATACAATTATATTTTCTATGTCTATCAGAGTACAAGGTGTAGATTGGAAAATTGCACAGGCAACCGTTTACTTCATATATAAGTCCACTGAACCATGAAACTATGAACAGTACAGAAATTTTTCATCTAAATGATAATCATATTTGTTCTTGACATACCATGGAGTCTATGTTGTAAGATATCTCCATAGACTAAAGGCACAGGCAAAGTGGATCGCAGAATGACATAATGAAGATCAAATGCACTGTGAGATATACAGAGAAAAAGAAGAAAATTGAAAAGATGTCAATGACAGCTACATTTTGCATGCAATACACAAGACATTTCTTTTCATATAGGCAAGTGCAACTACTCATGAAATCAAATTTAGCAGGCATATATGTAAATTCAAATGTTTTCATTCAATACATAAATCAAATGTAAATACTACAGGCTATTTCCTCACTTGCACCTGACACACACAGTTAATGAAAATTTGTCAAACCAATGAATGATGATCAGTTTTATTCATAACTTGAGGAACACTCAGGGCAATGTCTATTTCACAGAGAGTCTTACAACGATGACATCCTTCAGAAAGAGTTTAAGAAACAAGAAAATGGAAGATTGCGATTCAATTTACACACATAAAAGAAGGAAAAATATTTTAATGGATGCAAGATGCACACACAAACTGGTAGCTTCAGACTCAATACACTAATTGTCATCAATGCTTTCATACCTAAACCTTAGATCCACTTACCTGATGACCCCCATCTGACCAACTCTGTATGCCATACTGGTCAGATAAACCAGCTGGTCAAGGACCATTGTGCTGTTGATACCAGGGGGTGTCAGCATGATAGACGCAGGGTTGGTAGTGCCACGCCCAAGCGAGTGGTGACGGGTGTGACCCAGTGAGAAGTTATTGCCCTGATATATGAGAGTTGAAATTGAGAATACTTAGGTTTCTTGCTAAAAATCATCATTTCTCCAGAGTTCAATCCCAAGAAAGAAGAAATCTGATCAACAATCAGGAAATTAATCTACCCAGTCGTGGAATGAAAGTGTTCAATATTCAGTAAATAATTTTTACCCTACAGAGGCACATATTACCATAAATATTTAAACTCAATATCGTTAATAGGCGTACAAATCTAAATTACAGGATTTCAATCTATTTCTAAAACTTCTACTATTTCTAAAACCAAGATGTACTTGGCCTTAAAACAAATTGAAATAAAAATTTGTAGAATCAATACAATCCCTCTATTTCCATAAATATTTGGGTGGGAAAAATCGTACCAAGCTCATTGTTAATATGTAAGAAACCTTGTGATCAAGTTTGGCATACTGCAAAAAGAAAAATATCAAGATAAATTTGTATTCATCATGACTAAAGAATATTCAAAACAGCTAATTCTAACCTGTAAACAAACTCTAATCATCAACCCCCCCCCCCCCCCCTCCCCTACCATCCTCGGGTTGCAATTCTTGTAGCTTATACATTTCGTGAATAGAAGCACAATATATTCATATCAAGAACCCAACCTGTGCATATGATAAGAACTTCATACCTTTGCGTCTGTCTGTAGAGCAGCATGATGCAAAGCCCTATGAGCAAGCATTAGATTGAAGAGATTGGTGAAGAAACAGAGTTTGTCTTCATTACTCTGTAGCAGGTCCATGTCTACATGCATGAGTTCTCTTGTAGACATGACTATGTCCCAGTACTCTGGGGTAGTACAGGCAGCAGGAGCAGAACTCAACTCAAAAGCAGCATCTGATCCATCACCAGATAGATGCTCTGAAAGTATGAAATGGGAAAATATATCTTATTGATATCATATCTTCCTTCTGTTTTCCTTTCACTGTCACTTTTATTTTAATCTATTCCAGATATTGATTGAAATATTTATGAGCTGTTTCATATGACTGCTAAGAAAGCAAGTATATGCTTGTACGTAAGTACCCAATGTCCTCTCCCCTCCCACAACTTTGGATGTGGGAAACAAAACGACGATCGCCTATTCCTCAGTGAGAGAGTTTGTTTATCATCATCATCAATTGGAAATTGTTCTTTTCCATGAACTGTACACGTTGATACATGTAGTTGAAATATTCTGGTATGGGATGATAAAAAAACAAGGGAATGAAGCTAAATTACTCACTCATCATGAGAGAGATAATCTTTTTGAGAAGCTCTTCAACGACCACGCAGGGTCTCCTGACTGGATGGGGCCACTCCCCTGCTACACCTCCTTCATTGAGTACAGTCACATAGTCTCCTGGACAGGGTGTAGTAGGTGCTTGATGGATGGTAGAGTGGTGGGGCAGCATGGGAATAGCTGGGCAGCAGCTCTGCATGATGATCTGTACCAGGTTTAGCTTCAACTCACTCGCTACACTCTCTAACCTGCATATACATAAAGTAACACCTAATTCCTTTAAAACAAACTTGAAACTTCTGATTCTCAATATGCACGAATTAAACATCATAAAGAATAATAAGTAATAAAGGATATAAAAACTACACTTTGTTTTCAATATGTTACTCCTTTGTATGGGTGTGGGGGGGTATGAAGGGAGATAGAAGCAACATTTCCTGACTATCTGTTTTTTTACCATTGTTTTGAAGTCCAATAAACACTAATAAGGATGGAGTTACACAAGTATAGAGTAGAAATTACAAGAAATTTTGCTTGATATGTAATAGTTATAATTCCTATCCCATTGTCATGGTCCCACAGGTCATGGTTAATTCTTAGTGACCTAATTGGTGATGGGTCCCTAAAGTTTTCCTATGTACATGTATCTCATTAAATTAAAAAAAACTTTTACACATAGAAACACACACCTAGACTGAGTCCACACGGTCGAACACACACAATGGCATGTGACTTGCAATACAAGAGGTCTTAAGAGCTAAACATACCTGACTGGTGGGATCTGATTGGCAAACATGAGTCTACCCAGTAACAGACTAGGACTCTCTGCTAGGATACTAAATGGGTTCTGACACAGGTCTCGGCCCACTTTCAACTGCCTCTCACTCCCTGGTAGCAAAATAAAATGCATTTAAGCATAAGATAATAGATCAACAAACAATAAATGTCTAATGCTTTCTTTCTTTACTCTTCATATTACAGTATAAATATGATGAAAATGGTATAAATCTATTACATCGAGCCCCCCCCCCCCCCCCAAAAAAAAAAAAAAAAAAAAAAAAATCTAAAAAATAATAATTTTGTTATCATTTTCCACATTAAAATCATGACGCTTTGTCCAAATTAATATATCACAATACTTTAAATATGCGGCATAAAAATGTAGAACTATGTCAGATAAATTTCCCAAATATTTATAAAAGCAAATTAAGACCCATTTAGAAGTAAAATTTTACACAATTGTACGAATTAGCTTCGCCAAAGGAAAACAGATATTTTAAAATATTGCAGATAAGCAATAGTAGCCTTGCTCGATTATGAACATCATGGACATAAACATTTTATTATCCAATCATATGAGCAAGCATGACATTACCTGGCTGCCAACCTTGGGCATCATGGGCCAGAGAAGCCAGGACACCAAGATGGTTATACAGAGTCAAGAGATAGTTAGCTGGGTTGACCGGCTGATCATCACTGCTTCGGTTCTTTGGGAAAGCCATCATGAAGCTTGGCATCACATTCTTATCAAGTGCAATGAGTAGCTGCTGTACTGAACGATGAATCTCAGAAACTTTCTGCTTAGTCTTGACAGGACTCTGCTTTGGGCTAGGGTGAGGAGCTCCACGTTTAGGACTACTGCTCTGCTTGGGGCTATCTCCAAAGGTCAGAGAGAGTTCAGCGAGGCCACAGTCTTCATCAGCCTGGTATACTTGAAGGGCCTTAGTCACAAGCTCAAGCCCTCTACGCATTTCAAGGACAAAGTTGACATTGGCACGGAGGGTTGATGGGTCCAAGGGTGCAGAGACAGTCGTGAGAGCTTCAGAGGCACAAAGCTGAAAGTATTCTAGGGCATCAGGACGAATCAAAGCTGTTGAACTAGATGAGATTGGGTTTATCAGGTTGTATAGTTGTTCAATGAATGCTGGTATACCCAGCAAAGACTGTGACTGGTCTACTTTGGGACTTGACACTGGTCGAGATGGACTGGTGAGTTTCACTTCAGGTCCAGGACTTCCCTGTTCCGAGACAGAAGCCACTTTGAGACGACTCATAACCACATCCAAAAGCTCACCACAGGTTTCCCAAGAATGACTGACAGTGCATGCAAGATCAAAGACAACCATAGCAGAAATGTTAATGGCTTTGAGTTGCTGACACAGCATGCTGCTACCACCTCTTGAACCAGGACTAGCATCTGCTACCACTCCCCAATGAAGGTCATCTAGGTGAGGTAGCATCGGTAAGGTAGCATTGTTCAGTAGGTCGTCTACTACACCTGCCAAAGACAGTGATGAAATACCAGCTGCAGCAATTGATGCAATGCTTCCAAGTATTCCTCTAGCCTTAGGCTGCTGGCTAGAAGTGACTGTGTTGGTGGAGGAGGAACCCTTCTTGGACTTGTCCAGAGTTCTGAGCTTACTAACTGCCTGCTGCCAGTGTGATGCAAAGTGGACTTCAGATACCTCTGGTTTGTCCTTCATGTCAAAGATCTTGATGACCTATACACAATAAAAGTAACATATTTATAAGTTATCTAATATTTTCTAGGATTGATGCTGAAATACTTGCTCCATTAAACACTCTAATCTCACAAAGTGAAGTAAAACTTCCAGTCTTGAAGTACTAGCAGTTTCAACTGGCTCTTCACCCCGACTTCCTACCCATCCCAAACAGGTCATATTTAAGGCTCAATTTGAACCTTTAGAATACATGCTTCCATTACTTTAGTTATACTTCTCTTCAATCGCATGCATCTACAATGTAGGTGACTTGAAATGTATTATCTAATATTTCCTTTTATGGTGTCAGAAAATGCCAAAAATCTAAAATATATATTTGCTGCTCTGGCAGACTTGCACTAGTCATTCTACTGTTCGTTTCCAAAAAAAATTATCAAACACATCCTCTACATCTGGATGAGAGCTCTTCTAAGATGATGGCCTCCATCGAGGCTCACATATTGCCAGAGAGTGTTGCAACAACATGGCTTGTTTCATACCACCTACCCAAACCCTGACAAATAAAGACTGGACTTGTATTTGGGTTACTCCTTCTGACCTGCTGTGCCTGTGCAAAGTTTCCCCTCCTGAGACACATCCTGAGCAGAGTATCTTCTGAAGCAAGCATCTGAGCTACGATGCTAGAGTCTTGATGAAGAGGAGGCTTAGGGCTGATAGATCCTCGATGGGAGGTACACTTCTTATGCTTTCTTCTCTTTCTTCTTTCATTGCCACTGCTGGTACCTAACACACAAATTCAAGATAATAATTCAGTAACAGAGCATCAAGAGTCTATCATGGTTGAAGAAGCATACATGTAAACGTTCCCTAGTCTAGTGGTACATTAATTTGACCATGATACTCTTACAATGGAACTGCAAACAAATTAGTGAATCAGGTTGGTATCCCTTTTTAGTATGAAATAGATTAATCAGTTCCTAAATATTTGTATTGTTGATTTTTATTGACAGCATGAATGTTCACTACATTATTTCTTTAATGGATGAGTAAACAAAAGTTGCATCTACAAATTAGTATTTGCAAATGTTTGCAATGGTTTTTATGCTCTTCAATATTTTTTTTTAAATTGCAAGATTTCTAACAGCAATGTATAAAGTGAACTTAAGTGGAAAATATCTTTAGAGCAATCCAATGTTTGTGATAATTTGTACGAAAGAAGGAAAATAAGAGAAACAGAATGGCGAAACTAAAGCTATGCGAATCAAAAATTGTCAATTTATAATAATATTAATAATAATAACAATAATTGATTATATGATTATAATATTCAGATTTCCTTTAAACTTCCACCAGTCTGCTTCTCTGAATTTTCTGCTTTCTTTTAAAGAAGATTTCTATTAAGGTTGGAATTTTACTTTAAATAAGTGTAAATAATTAGTGTGAAGACCAAATGCAAGCTCATCAGGTACACCTAAGGCCATTTTGAAATACTATGCAAAAAAAACCAATACAAGCCATATAAAGTTCATGTTAACCTAATGCATATCTTCGTTCTTTGCACATATATTATATTCTGTGAATGCTATATTTTCAAGTAAAATATAAATAAATAATTTGAACAGCTATCAACAGTTTCTTTCAGAATAGGATGAATGAAGATTGCAAAACCAACTGAAAAAGAAAAGGTAACTCTTTTTCAAAACTTTGGTAACATACACGATGAAACTCTATTATTAAAGGTTGGACTATCAAGGCAACATAAGTACAAACATTATTGAAATGCTGCAGGAATGGCATGGGGAGAAGTCTTTCTACTTTGTGGTTCTCACAAAGTAAGATGAAAGTTTTTATCAATTCATGACTGTACAGCAGCTTCCAAAACAAGGTACAATACAGCACACCAATGATAGCTAACCTGTAGACATTGGACCTGCACTTAGGCGTGTCTGTGAGTGCGTTGAGTGGTTACCGCTTCCCGGCTCAGAACTACTCCAGCCTACAGGCGAGACATACAACAAGGTGTGATAACATTCTTCTCCAGTACACACTCCAGAGGGAAGACACACAAATACAATGACACTCCAAGCAGAAGCCGTGGATTTACAGGAATGTGTTTGCCGGTGAAAGTGATTATGTGAGTGCATGTGAAGGTGTGAAGGTGACAGACTGTGGTACCAGTTATTATAGTGAAAATGAATGCAAGGTCAGGGGAAGTTAGCAACCATGCTTTTAAAAAGTGTTACCGCTGGATTCATATAATGATGCTCTTACTGGTGCAGGCTATTCAAGGCCCTGTTCATACAACTTGTCATCAATAACAAATTACAGTAGCATTTTCTCTACATAAAATGATGACAGTTGGTAATTGTGTAAGGTTTCGTGAAACAGGGCTGGGGTTCAAGTGATATGTATTAGAAGTGTTGGTTCATGCAATGTGACACAACATTCTTGTTTTATCGTTGTTTGTTTGATTGAAGGAAAGTTGTGAAAATATTTGATTTTTTTTTTAAAGTAGAGATGGAAGGGATCTGTAGACTATCCTTGTGATTAAGGGTATTTGGGTGCAAGTTAGAGAGGTGCATGGCAAATTGACAATGTATGTTACATACTTTGTTATTTGTAATGTTAGTTTGGGTGCAGTTACAATAGCTCTTAGCATGAAGGTTCAGAGAAGAAAAAAAAACATTTAAAATTTGTCAAACACAATACAAATGGCATATTTGCACAATGAAACTCTAGCAAGAGATATTCATCTGCTTGGATGGAAAATTGGAATACATGTGTGGAATATATATACTAATAAAATGCAAAATATAACAATCTTTATCAAACTGGTACCATCTTACATTGAACCAGCAATACAAATCCAGCTAAATTTGTATATATTTGATTGCAAATCATAATTAACTGGTAAACAGAAATCACAAAGTAAAATGATGAATCTATAAATAGACAATGTGATGTATATCTTATATTGAATCAAATATGCACATATGATAATAAGCTTTTGCTCGCATACTTATGATAGCATATTTTTATGATATGTGAACATCACAAAAACCAGCATATCAATTTACAACTTTAGAATGCATTAATACAGCAGATTAAATTCAATTAAATTGTTAACATTTTCATCAGTTTCATTTCACTGTAATGGAAACCACCATATCGATTTCCATGGTTCAGGCGCTGGAGCAGTAAAAGATGATTTTACAAATAAATCTATCTTTTACATAAACTTGTGCGCTATTTCTTGGTTTACAAATCATAATAATATTCTTCTACTCTTGAAATGTTAATATGCACTTAAGAAATAAAATCTCAAACCTGATACACTTCTGCTTCTACTTTGACTTTGTTTGGATGAAGTTCTTTTCCTTTTCTTCTTTCCTTCTCCTATTTCATCACTCCAGGCTTCAAAGAATTTCCTGATGACAACTTCCTCCTCTGCAACCTCGTCATACTTGTCTTCATCATCAACATTGGCTTGGTGACTGGAAACCAGTTGAAAGCGCCAACGAGCTTCATTGATTCTCTTAGTGAGCTGGGCAATATGCTGGGCAAAATGGGTCTGGGGTACAGATGTGAGAAGATGTGATTGGAGGACCTCATCGAAAGACCCTTGGGACGGTTCCTTGGATACCATATTGGCAAGTTTGGCGGTATTCACTTCCTCGATGCACTCCTTGAGCATTGTTAGCAGCTCCTGCATGAACCTTCGATTGGTGAGAAAACCAACCCTGTTGACTGAAGACCCAAAGTGATTCAGATGACTTTGCAGACTGTTTGTAGTCTCAGAACTAGTCCTCTTTCCATATTTCAATCGCTGCACATCACCACTTTCAAGCACATCTGTTCTATCAAGCAGGGAAGAGGTGAGTGTAGCGTCACTGGAGCTTTGGGTTCTACCTTTCATCTGGCCGTTCATCACAGAACGGTTCTCAATGACGGACGAACTCTTCTCAAGAGTCCTTGTTGGGAAGGTGAACTCTGTCAAAAGTGAACCCTCCTTGAAGGGGCTTTCCACACTTTCCAGACTTGTATTAAAGCTCATGTTGTTCCACTCCTCATCCACATGGCCCTCCTCTCCTCCACTGTCTGACATCACAGCACCACTCTCAAGAGTTTGGATGTCCTCGTATCTTGCAAACAGCAGAGAGAAGAGATTCTCCAGGATTTCAACCCTGTATGTGAGAGGAACAATCTCTGAAAGATGCTCCTTAGCTGCTCTCAGCTTACCCACAACACACGTCTGCCAGCTCTTATCCTCATCTTCAACATTCTCAGACTCATTCCCAACTGTTTCAGGAGTTCCAGGTCTTATTTCACCTTGGCCCTCTGGAGGCACCACTGATACTGTAGGTGGAGTAGGAGGTCCACTACCATGTACATCCTGGGTAGTAGGAGTTGGATTAGCACTGTATATCAGTGCAGACATGACATTCCCTATGGCCAGGAAACTCCTATAGATGGTGCAATCTCGCTTCTGGTCAACTTGCTCCTTGTCGTCAGCAAACCTCACTGTCTTTGCTTCATGGCCTTTGTTCTGTGTTAATTCTAGAAAATCAATGCAAAAACAAATAAATTATTAAAAACAGGTTTTGTACATATCTTAACATAATTGTTCCCAAAATTTGCTATGAATATAGCCCATAGAAGATCATTCGGGTGCATACATTATAATCACCAAGTGTGTAAACATTGTGCTTCAATTTTTGTATATACCGATTTAAAAAATATCAATTTAGGTGCTATTTTTAAAGCTATCAATCAATGACAGTAAATTACAAAAAGAGGCAAACCTTTCTTACCCAGATGAGGTATAGAGTTCAGAAGACGGAATCCTTCCATAGGATCTATGTTTGAGAGGTTTGTGAAGTGATAGAGTAATCTCAGTACTGAATGAGAGTCTGCCCCTTGAAACATGGTTGTAGCCTTCTGCTCCAATGAAAGGTCACCATCATACTTGGCTATCAAAGGTCTGAGGAAGTTTCATTGACAGAGAGAAGATTACTAAGAAATGACCAATATTATTATGAAGTCAGAATTCATCTAACAGACAACTATTAAGAATGCATTGTTCCATTTACAAAATGAATGACTCTTTCAGAAGTGCTTTTTATTCCACATCAGACACTCTACACGCACAATTTACACTTCTAGAATATCAACTGAGTAACATCACCAATACAACTTGATGAACAAGCGTCAATTTTAACATGTTTTCTTCTTCAGGATGAATATATCTCACAACCCGCTTATCTGAACACGGTTCCTTGTTTCCATATTTGCATGTACGTTTATGTATCTTCTACAATTGGAACTACCAGTAGTTGTAGTAAGATGTTGGAAGATGATAAAACTTACTTGACTTGCTCCAAGCACCATTGGATGAGTTGTACATCTTGATGAAGTCTCTGGCAGGCCTGCTGCAGCACATCATCTTCACCAATGATAGGCTACAAGAAAAAAACAGGTTGCTGGTAAGTTACTATTACAAGAACTGAACATACAGGTTTCAGTAGGAAAAACACACCTTTTGAACGAGAATATTTCTCAAAAGTAAAAACAAATCCTGTTAAAACACTTGAAACAAATATAACACATAGTAAATATTTAATTCTTTCTCTCTTTACTTCTTACAATTCTTTTTGTATATGGTCCAGGGACTTCAACATATTTTGCCTGGCTAACTCACCTGAATAGATGTGTTTTACATCAGTGAAATATTTTATGCCTGAATTGTTATTGATCAATGTTCTCCATGTCGAATCAATGCCTTTAAAAAAAAAACATTTGGGTATGTACATACTTGTTTTCTCCATAGTGTCTGTATGAGATTCTGAGCAGCTGAACAGCTATCCACATGACCCCATCCAAGGAGTAAGATAAGAGGTCTGATGGGTGCAAACTCACTAGGCTGGAGAAGGTTGCTCAGCTCCTCATACATTCTCTCTCGAATTAGAGTTAATGACAATTCCTGTTGGACAAGTGTAGGGAGAGAGAGATGAGAGAGATATGAGAGAGAGAGAGAGAGAGAGAGAGAGAGAGAGAGAGAGAATCATAATACATGAAAGAGAGAGAGAAAAGTACAAACAATGCAAAGAATTCAGAGAACAGTGATGGAAACATAGAGTGATGCATGCATACCAAGAGCTGTAACTAGATATCACACTTTAAAGAAATGCATGCTATGCCAACTGTGTAAGAACTGTAGCTAAGTAAGTATGAACAATGTCATTAAGAAATAAGAAGCTAAGTATGGTTCCTTGAATCAATGATGAAGAAAAAATTCACTTGAACAGTAATTTTTCCCATCTTGAAAACAAATCTCATGAGTATAAATAAAGTAGCTTCCGAGGTGGTCAACAGCTCAAACTACAGTTCTCCATGATAGGAGAGCGAAGAATTCTTTCAAGTGCAAATTAAATTTAATGTAACCAAATCAATTCCTAAACTGCACATATGACACTATATTCATTTCATAACATGAGAAACCCAGACTTACCACAATCTTGCTTAGAACATGTTGATCATTCTCTAACACCCAGTGCAAGAGGTTCCTCCAAGCAGCTTCTCTATCGTCCATCATTGACAGGGCAAAGTTAATCCTCAGCTCTGGACACATACACTTCAGCTGAGGATGCCTGGTACATACATCTCTCTCTACACACTCCCAGCTCATGGTAGACTGAACCTTCAGAAAGGTTTGGAGCAATGTGTCCGAGTCCCGACCAACAAGGATTGCAGTGAGTGAAGACTCATTAAACAATCCTGGGTAGTGATTGGCAAGCCTAAGCAAACTTGTGAACAGTTCCTCAATATGAAGTCTGGGTAGCAGTGAGACAGGAGGATCAAAATAGTTCAGAAGACTGTGAATCAATTGCACCATTTGTTCCTTTTCTACCACACTGCCTCTGTCACCTACTGATTCTAATGATGATATGCAGTCCCTAAGACAAGTGATATAGACCTGATGAAGAGATAGGTTGTTTTCTTCCACCCTGTGTTGTTTTGGCAGGAGGAGGCGTTGTATGATAGTGTGACCAAGAGTGACATCTTTGCTAAGAGTTGACAGCAGGAATTTGAGGCAGTCTTTTGAAAGGTTTGGAAGCAGTGTCTGTTTCTGAACCAACATCTGATGAGCAGCCTCAAGTTGCAACTGAACAGCCTTGAAGTACATATATACTTCCTGTAACAAAAGAATCAGAGGAAAAATAAGTGAAAGAATATCTATGCGGAATAACTCAAATGTAAGTGACAGTGTGATTTCTAAATACGGCAGATGTATATAACAACTAGAGTGATTTAAACTGTAAGGTTATGTCCTTTATAGCAATTACTTAATCCTCACCTGTAAAACGGCTGAGCCAGCATCAGAATTTGCAAGGTATAGTAGCAGTCTGAGTTCGACATCTCTGTAATCGTCAGCAGATAAATCCTGCAGAAATTTTTTTTAAATATTTAATACAAATTTCTTTGTAGGCAAGTCACTTACTTCTCCACGATCAAGATAACACAAGCAAATATTTAAAAAATTCTACATTTCAAATACTGGGAGTTTGGTATTGTGTTTATTCATAATGAGAAGCAAAAAACAAAAAATTAATAAAGAAGGGACTATCTTCTTCTTTTTCTTTTTGTTGTTATTGTTATTTCAAGTATCAATAGATAATTGTTGAAAGCTGGTCACACCAGCAGTCCCTGTAAGAAGAATATCAAATAGACAGTTATAGCCCCAAAAAGTGAAAAACAGATACAAAATATGTATGTCCACCGTGTTAATAATTAATGATTACTTAATTCTTTTTTTTTACTGCTTTACACAATTTTTTCTCAAGGCTATTTCCGAAGAAATTTATCCACTCGTCCACACCATTGCACTTGAGAATAAATCTTGACTATGTACGAATTTCTGCCACAACCATAGTTACAATAAAGAACAACTTAAATTTGTTTAGCTACATGTACTTTCTCACCTCTTCCTTCCTGGCCTCCTGCTTCAAATGAAGTGATGCTAACCAAGCAAGCTGATGAGGAGATGAAATGCTATCCAAACCAAGACTATGTAGAGAAAGTTATATTTTTTTATAGAATTGCTCTCATGCCAACTAATCCAGTTTCACATTTATCCATTCACTTATCTAGGAATGCTGATTCAAATTTAAACTGATTTAGTTCCTAAGATAATTTGAGTTCTAATAATGACAGAACAAAATATTGTTAAAGATTCAAATGAAAATTACACTGAATGTTCCAGACTACAAATAAATAATGCCTGACAAACAGTTTGGGTATATAACATGTAAAATGCGATATTGATATAGTATGTTGTTATTGAGATCATATGCTTAATACAAACATGAGTTGTGTATTGTCAGTGAATGTGGGTCAAGCAGGTTTCCAAACATTTCTGTTTTGCTGGTCTAAACAAACCTTTTCATAATGGAAAATTCACAAATGTATTACGGTATATCCAGTTTCTCTCGGAATGGAATTTCATGGCCAGAACTCGATTTTAGCCAAAGAACAGAAATTCTATGAATCTAATTTTAAATACCTGATGTCATGTGGATGTCTGATGATAGCTTGCAGTACAGCCCTAATGTCTACTTGATCATCAGATCCCTGTAGACTTTCAAGGCTTGCAGCACATGCACTTGCTAACTCCCACTGGCCAAGGTAGAGATGGTTGAAGAAAGCAGTGAGGAGTTGATCCTGTGTGACTGATACTTCCAGTCCAAATGGATGGACTCTAGAGGCCTTGGAACAGTCAGATACATGGTGGCCGGAAGTAGCCATCATGCGAAGGTTTGAATTGGGACTTTATATCTGTAATGAGAAATACAATGTAGTGTTTACAATGGTATCTCACAGTAACATGACACAATTTTTAGTTTAACCTCTTATATCCTGCATTTTTATTACGCAATTTACTAAGATTGGGAATTTCTCTGGACACACACCATGGAAATGTAGATTGAAGTTTTGAATGATGATGATCCAATGACTTGTAAGAACCCTAGGTTTATATACAGTGCGTCATTTTACTAAATTTAGGGTGTCTGAACGATTTTTCAATTTTCAATTTGGGATCGTTTTTCACCATTTTTGTTGAATATTTGAATAAAAAATGTAATCAGAATAATACATTTCAAATTTCAAGACTCACCGATGTTTCTATCAAAAGATACAGCCCCTCAAAAACTCTGCAATATTCAATGTACATGCAGAGTTAGGTTGTTTTGCTAAATTTAGCCAAACAGCTGCATCACGCAATATGCAAGCGTGTGCATACGCGTACAAGTGTACGCATGTTGCTTAGCTGAATGCGCAACTTGAGCATGTGTCTACAACGTGTGTCCACTTCCAGGTTTGAGCGCAATCGGCAAGCTCTACCTCCATTGTCTATAATGTGCATTCACTTCCGGGTTTGTTCGCCTAATACACATACCGTATTTGCTGGCGATAAGGCCGCAGCGCCGTATAGGTCGCACCCCCGATTTTGACATTTAAAAAAAAAAAAAAATTGTCGGAGGTGGGATATGAACTCTTCCCTACAAATGTTGACGTGACTAAAATCACCACCTTAGACCGCTTGGCCATCCCGCACTGATGATATAACTTGCAGTTTTCTCTCATGTATTGCTCCTCTCTTTTGTGTATTACGACATAGCTTTGCTCACGCGATCGAGAGGATTGAAGTTTCTTTAGCTACGGCAAAAACTTAAATCTGGACTAGATCTACCAGTAGAGTTTGGTTAGTAAGTTATGAATTTTATTTACGAGATTGACAAAACTTTGCCCTTCATTTCAAAAATATAACACATAATTGTTGGTAAGACATGTGTTTTCTAGACAGTTATTCTAGAAATGTCCATCACCTTTCATTGTTGTCCCATATGTACAAATTCGTGCTGTGTTTCATGGTTTTGAGTTGCAAGTTTTTTTGTTTTTTTTTACTCTTTCGCCGCATAGGCCGCACCCTGACTTTTTGATATTTTCTCTTCTAAAAATACTGCGGCCTTTACGCCGGCAAATAAGGTACACTGTACGCAGTCCGAAGGAATATGCATGTGCAGATTTTACAAGTTATCACCATGGTTTGGACTGAGCGGAGCGCACGCCTCCCTAATTAGCTGATCCAAAAAATGGGAGGAACAGTATTTTCAAACTGTTATCGCTTGTGATCCCTTGGGGCTAGCGAAAAAATAAGTGCATAGATATTTTCCTTACGTCTAGTCCGACATAAGCCTGGGGGGCGCGCTTCAGGAAAGTGGCAAATTTTTGAGTTAGGATGCAAACAACATTTCAATCATGACTGTTTTGACCAGGATATTTTAGAATTCTGAGGGCGTGCCCCTTTGGAGAATATGGAGAAAAAACCTGCTCTTTCATATGACACAGAGCTACCAAGTATGCTCTTACGCACGACGCGCCGCTAGATTTTGAAAAACGCTAAAACCTTATACGTGTGTTATACCCTCGCACACGCACTCGCACGCCGAATCATGAAAATGTCACGCATTGCTGATCTTTGAACTTAGCGTCTCTGATGACACCTCATTTATTGAATTTCACCTTCAGGATCACGGCAAGGATCACGAGCGATAAAGGTTTGAATTTCAATTTGTTCATAAACTCATTGACCAATTTTGCATGGTCGTGCAATGCACATAGAATGCATAGGTAGGGATGCATGCAATCTCTATTGCCATGGCATTGGTAGGATTTCAGCACACAACATCAGGTGCGCGATCAGACACCCTAATGATAGTTTGTAGTTACCCTCGTAGTTGTTGATAATAATGCTTGCTCACTGTCTATGCCTATGACTAGGTCATTTTATGGCACTGATTTTTAACTGGTGCATTGGCATGTCATGACTCGTGTACATGTCTCAAACTCTCATGAAAGTTTTAATAAATATTTCATTGGACTACCCATGAAAATCAGTACAGATATCCCTCAAGTACCACAATCTTTTCGTGATTATATGAAACAGTGTGAAGATAATGCATCTATGTTTCTAAAACCAACTTCAAACTCTGAGATCATTGATATTGTGTCATCTTTGAAACCATCTAAATCTAGTGGTTCTGATGATATTTCACCTAGAATTATAAAGGAGTGCATTCACCTTTTTATTGATCCCTTATGTAAAATCTTTAATATGTCTTTATCTCAGGGAGTTGTTCCAGATAAACTCAAGGTAGCTAAAGTGGTACCAGTATATAAAAAATCTGACCGTAAAAATGTTATTAATTATAGGCCAATAGCACTGTTACCAATCTTTTCTAAAATTCTTGAGAAAATAATTTATAAACGCTTAAATGAGTTTTTATCTAAAAAGAATATCTTGATTCCTCAGCAGTGCGGTTTTCGTAAGCACTTCTCCACTCAAATGGGTGTGTTTAATTTATTAAGTAATATCATAAAAGCTATTGATGGAGACAAGTATTGCCTGGGGATGTTCTTAGATCTATCTAAGGCGTTTGATACCATTGACCATGGTATCCTCCTCAGGAAACTAGAGCATTATGGAATACGTGGTGTAGCATTGTCTTGGTTCCAAAGCTATTTGTTTGACAGATCTCAATTTGTTGTGGTGGATGGTAGTGGTTCCCAACTTGCTTCTATTAAATATGGTGTACCTCAGGGTTCTGTTCTTGGTCCCCTGTTGTTTTTAATTTATATAAATGATATAATACACTCGTCAACATTATTCTCATACTCCCTGTTTGCTGATGATACCAGCTTGCTGCTGGTTGATAAGAAGGCTGAAGATTTATTACTAATTGCAAATCAAGAGATTCAGAAACTGTATGCATGGTATTGTTGTAATAAGTTATTATTGAATGTTCAAAAGACCAAATGTGTTATTTTTCGCTCAAAGGGTAAAAAGCTTCCAGATGGTATTACTTTTCTTAATGTTGGAGGCCATGATGTTGCGCTTAGTGAAAATGTTCAGTTCTTAGGGTTAACTATGGATGAACATTTATCTTGGAAGAATCATTTAGATGTTGTATGCACTAAGTTGTCTCGAAGTGTAGGTGTCATTTTTAGATTGAAATTTATTTTACCTGAAAGAGTGCTGATAACATTATATAATAGTATTATTCTTCCTTATTTGACATATTGTAATGTTGCTTGGGGAAACACTTTTAAGTCATATCTTGATAAGTTAAGAGTATTGCAGAAGAAGGCAATAAGGCTTATTACTAATTCTAATTATAGACATCCAAGTTCTCCATTGTTCCTTCGATTAAGAATGTTACCACTAAGTGGACTTGTGTCAATCAATTGCGTATTGTTTATGTATAAACTTCAGTTTATGCCTCATGAATGTACGTTAAAAGATTTATTCCGTAAAAACTCACAAATTCATAATTATAATACACGTCAAAGGGGTCTTATTCATCAGCCTTTTGCAAGAACAAATATCACTCTGACCTCTTTCCATATCTCTTGCATCAAAGAATGGAATAGTTTGCCTGATGATATAAAATATAGTACAACTCTTTCTAGGTTTAGAAGGTTATCTAAAACGTACCTACTTGGATAGGCACATTCATGGGGCACTAGAGGGCGCTTCGCTCGCGTACGACAATCTGAATGGCCTTGCTGCGGTGGGTCGGCAATAATCAGCCCAAAACTTGGATATGGGAGGTTGGAAGGATATATCTTTTTTATAATGTTATCCGGTCTTACCCTTAACCATCCTATGTTTAATCTATGTAGAAATAACATGCGAGTGTGATAAGAGAAACATCGAGCCCATTACTGAAGTAACTTTTTAAATATTAGCCTAGAAATGACCACCAAACGGAAAAAATTGACATTTTTTCCCGACAAATCTTCATAAAATCTGAGTTATAAACAAGTCACATCTAGGTACACTAATACAAATACGATTTTCTGAAAATTCAGGTATGATTTATTAAGTTTCTTTCAAGTATATTTCTGCGCATTGCAGCGCCAATATTCTACACTGCTTCAAAATCACACTTGAATTTTTTTTTTGCAACGAATTTGATACAAGGTCCGCGAGTGTTCCCCGTTCCTTGCGTGTTGAAAGTTTGGTAATACATAGTTTGCATTGACTCGCGCACGAAAAAATGGTCGAAAACAAAATGTCAAATGAAGAAATAAACAAGCTTTTGTATAGTTATAAGAGTTCTACCGAGGTTTCTTTGTCGATTCAATTGATTATATAGTCTCAATTAGAATTCAGAATTATCTCACTGAAAAGTTAAGAAACCGACGATGTTCTCGATCTTAGTTATTTTCATTTTGCCAGCAGCCGATCTAGCGTTGTTTGGGCGAAAAGCTAGGCCGCTGCCTTCCCACGCGAACCCTTCCGAGTCCTGCTAAAATGGCGCTCTGCGGAGCTCCGAAGCTGCGTTGGTATCGCTGCAAACTCTCAGCCGGCTAGCTCCCCACGAAGGACCATTCGCGGTATGGCGAGAGTGTGTGTGTGAAGTATGATTTTGGATTCGAGAACGCACGTAATGCAACCGTGCGCGTCATTTTCAGCTGTCGAATGTATACGACCAATTTTACATGTACGATTTTTAGTACAGATACTTGGTCAGTTTTCTTCTTATATCTTTGGTTTTACAACATTTAAAAATATAATTTCTTCAAATTTGCTCCTGACTCGGTTCAGACTAATTGTCTGATGTGTTTTCAAGTCAATTTTTTTAATATATTTTTTTGCATGAATTTGCCTAACTTGGAAAACTGACATAGACCTAATTCTACTTTGTATCTTAATAATTTCTCATTTTCAAATGCTTATAGACCACTAAGGACTGTGTGTGTGTGTGTGTGTGTGTGTGTGTGTGTGTGTGTGTGCGTGTGCGCGCGTGTGTGTGAATATTTTTGTGTGTTCTATATTCTGTAGCTTAGTTTGTTTTCATCCCTTGTATAAACATTACATTCTCTTTATTCACCTTGCCATATCGTTAATGTATGTATTTTGTTGACTAGTATAGGGCCCCGCTCACAAGCTTAGCTTCTACAGGGGTCCTAAAACCATTCACTTAATGATGTACTATTACCAGTCTCTTTTTCATGTAAAAGATTATATCAATTATCATGTTTTGTGTGGTTTTGAATAAATGAACTTGAACTTGTATAAACAACTAACACTAACAGTAATAACTAACATGAATTTCAACCAATGGGACTAGCCACTTAATTGAACTGTACCATTTCTCTCGTCTCAACTTAAATCTATTGAATAAAACACGAACAAAAGCTTAACATTTGAAAACGAAAGCATTTTAACGATTGTTGAAGAACACATGCTTTGTGACAGAGAATATCATTACCCTGAATTCGTACTGCTAGCTGCTGACTGCCATCACATCACATCGGGCTAAATCCAAAATATGCAAATTAGATGATAAAAACAATATCACATGATGCGACGTAATGCTTTTGTGATTAAATTTTACGTTTGCCCTCTACCGTCGACTCACCGTCGATAGTTCAGTTGGTAGAGCGAAGGACTGTACATAGCTGTAATCCTTCAGATCCGGCTCGACGGATGTGATTGGCCTTTTTTTTTTCTTTTCTTTTAGAGGGATCACATTATTGGTCCTTTCTTCAGAAAATGAAAAGGTTATGATAGCTATCTTTCAGATTTATCCATATCAATACAAATATTTTAAAAAAGGAATGTCATTTATATCCAGGGTGATCCTGCCATATTGATATAGACCCTAGGTTAGAACTTATGACAATTGATTTATTTTATTTATTATGCATGCATGCATGTTCGAAATTTCTCAATTAATTGGAGTTAACATCATATGAAAAAGAATATAACATAACAAATCATTTTCTATTTTACAATCCATTTTAATTGACTTCCCCCCGTGAAAAAATAAATAAATGTTTTATCAAAGACATTGAAGTTGCATGGTATACAAATTTAAAGAATGAACACAGTCATAAAGGTGATGAAACATATTATGAGCAAATAGAGCTTATAGGATGACTGATGACCATACAGCCACTGATGAGCCAATACAGGCATGAATCTGAATCTGAATAACAATTAATCACTTTGCAGCATGGTTGTGCAGGCATAATTTAGCCTATATAATTATGGCGCTGATTTTCATTCACGCATCATGAAGTTTGTCATTTAAAAATACACGTAAAGATTTTACAATACATGCACAATTAAGGACTTTTACCTTATTTACAGGTTTTCAGCAAGCTTTAATCAATCGTTGTGATAAACTAGATATTTTGTAGCTCCAACGCTTACCCAGCTTTAGTTTGCATCGCCTAACGAACTTAATGATATTTAAATAGCTCTTCAAATTTGCGTTGAAAATGTGCTTAAAATCCTTCTTTATACGTACAGTGGACCCAATATGTCATCGTTTGGCTACTTCTTCTCATATATTTTCAAAATGAACGCATTTAAAGGAGAAGTCCACCCTGATATTAAGTTGGACTTATAGCGGCAGAAAAATTAGAAAAACAGGTCAGTGAACGTACGTTTGAGCAAGAAAGTTATGAATTTGCAATCAATCAAACACAAGTTGGCAACTCAATGGCGTATATATCTTGCGAGCTCCCCTCCCATTTGCCCTGTACTAAAAAAACTTTTAAAGAATATACATTTTCTGCAATTTTTCTATCATCCATTCCCCTTAAATATGATATTTTAAAATCTGTATTTATATATACCCTGTATGAAAAATATATATATACCGTCAAAAATAACTATGACAGCTTGTGAAAGTTTCTTTAGAGAGCAAATTTGTTTATATAAATCTATAATCAAGCAGATTGGATAATTTCTATTCATATTACGGTATACAAAAAACATTTTCTTTTGTGATACAATGGCTTGCCTATAAGGGGCAGAATCCATCGGGGTTTACCGGGGTGGAATCATGCCATCCCGAAGGTATACCCGTGTGCCGCAGGATCATAACAACAGTTTTATCAGTCTTTTTTTTTGGGGGGGGGGGGTTATACAGGTTATGCCCAAAATAGTGGAATCAACACCAAAAGAGTAATTCAAAATAACTACTTCGAAGAGGATTCTACTAAGATTTTGACAGGATCCAACTCCAAAACGTAGTGATTCCTCTATTCTTAGAGAGTGGAATTAAGTCATCAGCATTTAGCAAGCATGGGATGCCATTTGAAACATATTATAATAATTATGTAAAACATTCTTCTCTCTTATTTCTTGAGTCTAAGCCTGCTGCTTTACATTTCTGCTCTATATATCGATTCCGCGATACAGTTATTGATGAGGAGCTCTGAATTTCCATCTTCGCTGATTCCACGACATCGCTTCTGCGATCAGGATGCGTGTCATCCCTTGTGCATTTCTGGCCTGTCGACCTCGTAGTGGTAGTGGTGATTCAGGCGGTGAGATTGAACCGACCTCGGGATCGCTAAAACCTAGCTGTGTTTCTGGGAGAGGTGGCAAACAGTGTGCTAAGAATCGGTTAGATGATCCTCTTTCTTTCCGGACAAGTTTGCCGTCAAAATCTCTTGCAAGCTTCGGGGGGCTTTGAGTTTGCTGAGTCAAATCCTGTTGAGCGTTAATACATGTACTTTGATGACATTTCTCACTTCTCTGTTTTTCACACGACGTTTCACAAGGAGTCGAGTTGATTTCTGAGCTTACTAAACACTGTGCATAATTGGCGTCACGACGTAATGATTTAAACCCAACCTGTGCTCTCTGCGCTCTATTTCGCCTGGTACCAACATTTGATTCTTCCTTGACCCTAGATGAATCAATTCCAATACTGCAACCCATTGAAGTTATGTTCCTTTCCTCTGTATATTGAGTATTGCATTTCTTAGTTCTAATCTTTAGCAAATGGTGACGGGCTTCCCTTTTATCTTCCCTCAACCTCTCAAAACTTAAACGGTTTCGTTGTTCCAGGCTCCTGATTTTAGCTCCCAAACGAACGTCTTCCATCTCATTCAACCGAAGGGCTCGCTGGTATCGACTAGAATAGAGAGAGGGTTTCTCACGATGTCGACGTATATATCCAACATCATCATTTAAATTTGCAGATATGAAATATGAGGTGCATCCAATTCGGAAACTCATCTCGAGCAAGAACCAAGAACAGTTAACAACAAGAAAATGGAATAGTATAATACACCGGCTATAGTATACGTTGAAATGTGAAATCAATTACTTTTCTTTGTGAAGTGTGGGCATCAATGTGCAAAATTTCATTACCGACCGCGAATTGAGGTCCATTCCAGCTAGTGCTCTGAATCTTTGGCATATTTTGGTATTAGATTCGTGCCTTTATTGGTAATTAGATATGAAGAATCCGTTCTGTCATGAACCATGAAATTAAAATTCTTGACACCCAAGACGGCCGTTTTCACACGTTACTAGACTTGTGAACCATCCCGAGAAATAATGAAAACATTTATATTTTGTCACGATAGCAAAAGATTCAGAATTCAGAGAAATGTTGGAGCTGATAAATATGGGTAAGGTTTAAAAAGAGAGACGAATGTTTACCGAATGACCTGTAATTTTCTAACATTAACTTTACTTATAAATTATAGTGGAGCTCAACATTGTGTGATGGTTTGTTAATGTTGAACGGTAATATTGATCTTCGTATTGAGCCGTTTATTTCCAACTTTCTAATCTCACTCATCAGATCGGTCCATTATCATGTATTGACTTTTATGTGTTCCTTGAAGGAAAAAACTGATTACCTATTGTTGAAGACCATCTCTTACAACGTAGCACTATTCTCTTTGCCCCCCCCCCCCTCTCTCATATCTGTGTCTATCTTTCTCTTTCTCTCTCTCTCTCTCTCTCTCTTTCTCTCTCTCTTTCTTTCTCTCTCTCTTTCTTTCTCTCTCATATCTGCATTACTATGTCTCTCTCTCTCTCTGTCTCTTTCTATCTCTTGCCACTTTCTCTCACTTACACACACAGTCTTCTCTTCTTACCTCACTCTTATTTTGCAAAATATCAAGTTTATGATACAAATATTTCCTCTCCTATTTTCATGGGTAAAAAAACGAGGAAAATTATATGTATAAGAAAGAAAAATTGTCTTGGTACAACAATTTAGTATGCAACAAGTTTTAAGTTTATTGCACTGTAGTACTGCAAAAAACTTTTCCAAATTGTTAAATTCAAACACACAAAAATGTTCCCAAAGAAACCAAGGCAAAATACATCAAATGGAAATTCCTACTTGTCTTAAAAGACCAAATGAAATGATATCCTGAAGGTTAACAGCATCACAATTAAAATTGTTGCTCAATTAGCATTATACAGTGAGTTATGTTCCCCTGTAGGACATTATTAAATGATGATTCATATTTTAGGATAAGTTTTAATATATATTTGTGTTGGGTTAATAAATTATATTGGCAAACAGGCATTGACTATCATAAATACCTAAATATATCTAAATGAATTAATATAAATGTTGTTTGTTTTTTTAATTGAGAACCATATCAAAATTACAGATGAAAACAAAAATCATGTTTCTTCTGTATCTTTTCCTATTAATTTTTACCTCACATTTCCCATTATTATCTGTCCTAATCTAGACAATAATTTGTCAAAAAGATTAGCAAATGTATCCTTTCTCAAAAAATATTGGTAGAGCACCTTTCAAATATCGTTCAAAGACAAAATATACTCATGGACATTTTCCAAAGCAAAAACAGGGGGATAAACATGGCAAAAGGGGGCGTTGAGTGTGCCAAGTAAGTGTTGCTATTTCAGCGTAAAATCCTAAATACAATGTACAGCAGCAGAAAATAAATCATGAATTATTACACTTATTGCATGTTTCAGAATTCTATATGTACAACAAAGTTGTGTCAAAACAGAACAAAGAGACTTTTCATCTCGTTCTTCCTAACTCAAATAATAAAAATAATATTACCTCACAGGTGATAAAAAATGTGCACACACAATGGCAAAAGTGAGTCTTGATGTGCTAGACATGCATAGATATCAAATTCATTGAATGTAAATGTAAGGAAAAAATGTAATACAAACAATATAAAAGTAACATAAGCAACATTATCAAAAACAAAATACAAAATACAAAATAGTAGAATGCAGACATTTGCTCTTTAAAAATGCATAAATATATCGATAATACATTGTGTAAATGCAGAAAAATAACTCATCAACGATAACAGAACTCAATCATTCATGTGTGCATTTGTAAACGGTAAAAATAAATAAAGAAGTTTCTTTGGAATATCCAACATGTCCACATTTTGGCAACATTTTGAATCATACTGTGAGATCCTAAAGGGAACAAGAATTGACTTTGTCTAAGAAATCAACTCATCTGTGCGTACATAAACTGTTCACATTATATCTCCTTTCCCAAGAAGTATATGCTTGACATTTGTCATATTAGATAGTTAAGTGTCAACAAACCCAATTTTCCATGAGTTTTCCTTACAAAAATGCACCAAAGTTATGATAATTAAATAATTTCCCCACTAATATGTCAATTAAATGTAATACCAAAATAACAACAAAACAAAGAAAGAAGAAAATTCCCACCAAACTGTTAGATTTCATAGATAGTATGCTTTGCGTAGTAATGCCCATGTCACAATAAGCTTTGGTGTAACAATGACTGTATGCACACAAATAAAGATAAAGTCCTATAATTAACAATGAATATGTAAAAAGTAATCAAGTAAATCAACTGAGCTGTATTATATTCATTTGATTTTGGTGGGGAAGATGTCAGATGCAACTCAATATCATAGTCTCATCTACTTTATTTGCTGACTAAAGCAAAAATTACAATAATTATTGAAAGAATAGTAATGTATAAACGCATCGACCTATTTCCAAAAATAGCAGCCTCAGTAACAGAACAAATAACAACATATCTTACTCACAATACACAGACTTTTGTTTCAGCTTATACACAACATAATGTACAAATTTCTATTTCAGTAAGGAGATATGTGCTCAGTTCAATCAATTGTCCACTTCATATCTATATACAGAATACACTCACATACTGTATAATAGCAAAAATATATTAGCCTCCCGAACAGCATTTAAAAAAATAAAAAACAAACAATAACTGGTATAATATACCATCAACGAGTAAAGCATAAAGTGGAAATTATTACTAAACCAACTATCAAATAGTATGAACAAATAATAAAAACCATTTGGAATTTTTCTATAAAAAGAGCACTCATGAAAATCATTTATATCACAACACTTGAAACAAATGCATCACATCAAATGTATAAAAGTGTTCATTGTGTATAACCTTTCAAAAATGCATTAAATAGATTGTTAAGTGTTATTCATACTTTCAGCAATTCCCGTTGCAAGGTTTCAAAATGTAAACAAAATAGATGTTCAGCTTACAAGAAATATTAGTGAAGTTTCTGGTTTTCTATAATGGTTAATAGCACCAGTCTCAATTCATAGTATAAAGTGGAACATGTATTGTAATCTACACAATTTAATTGATCTATGATAGAGTCATTTTTTTTCTTTCCACTTTTACACAAATTGCTGACTGAGCACATTAAGAGTTCAAAGTCATACATAAAGGTAAAAACCTCTCTTTGGAAAATGTTTTATCAAATCTCTCAGAAAACTACCACATATGGGCAACTAATGGAGAACATTTGAATTCCATTTTACATTTCAAATACAAAAATTACAAAAATTCTATTGTCTAGAGCATTTGAAATGTTGAAGGTGAAATGTAGAAGTATCTAGTTTCATATTACAAGGAAATGTTTGTATTACATAGAAACAAAGAGTGAGAAAAGGTTTCCCTGAATGTATCAGATGATAGTTGAGCAGACTACTAAGACAAGCCTTTTCCAACAACTGCCCGATGTTTGATAATTGAGTCTCAACCAACTATTTGAGGCAGGAAGAATATACTCTTCAGTCTTCTGCTGTCCTTTCTCTTTTTCCTATTTACTTTCCACATGCTGAACATACTTTCCACTGAAGAACAGGGGATATCCTGCAAAATTCCAATTATACTTAATGACCCTGTGTATATCTTCTAAAGGGCATGTTTCTAGGAAATATGTGATTTAAATATCGAATGTAATTACAGAGAGTTTCAGTTGACTAAATAACATCATCAGCCCTTTCCGGGCCAAATTATTGTCAAAATTTTAAAGAAAGTGAGCTTTAATAAGGCAAATAATGAGTTTGTCATAATAATTCAACCTCAATTAATCCTTGCTTTGGGAAAAACTGCTCTTTTACTTTTTCAAGAGATAATTTTCAAAGATAAACAAACATTTTTTCAGCCATGTTGTCTGATAAAATATTTACATAACAGTACTACAAAACATGATGGATTTCTGTAAAAGCCTTCATTTTTTGCAAAAGTTTAGAACACACTCGAAAATTAGCTGGCAATTCATTTGCAAGCATGTATCATAAGTAGCCTGTGTAAATTAACGTAAAAACAACACTTCAACAAATGTCTGTTCCCTATCATCTGCAAAATTCCTGTACATGAAAATGTCATTGTATACATTAACTGTACAGGGAAGGTAGGAGATACCCCAATAGTCCGACCGGTATCCCCTTCCTACCCTTGTAGGATGGTACCTCTGAAGATAGTGGTGAAATGACCATGTTGGAAGGAATGAGGAGGAGTGAGGATAGAGGCATAACAGAGTGTTCAAGGCAGCTGTGCCTCCATGAAGAGACGAAGATAAGCGATGCTGAGCGGCACTCTCACTGATAGGAACTGACTGAAGGCTGCTGGCACATCTTTACCACACAAGGCAACCTAGTGGACAATGGAGAAGAGAGATCCAATTATTATAGAGATGACACACAGGAAACATTACAATATGAGGACTATCCAGAGTTCAAACTTATTTCAAAATCATATTAAAACACAACTAATCCAGAGATGAACAGTAAACCTGTACAAAATTTACTTAAAAGAAGTGTAATACTTGTCTACTAATACATGCTGAACACAAATTTTCTGGATTAAGAAATCATTCAAATTTTGTGATTAAATGGAGGTCTAATCAAGCCTCATTTTAGAGTATCTCTGGCACATCTAGTGTTGAAGACGGTCATATAAGATACCAACTTTACAAAGAGTAGTGCATGATATTATTCTTTTTTAACCAAACACCCCCATAATTTAACACACTGTAAAAAAAAAGATTCATCTGCTGTGTGTGAATTCTGCATAATGACATTTTAGCATGTTTGAAAGGACAAATGGGATTTTTTTTCAATTGAAATGATGACTATCTAGCTGCTTTTTTACCTTTAAAGTATGCTTCACATCATAAAATGTGAAACTGGTTTTAATCATCTTCAATTGTTTTGTAAAGGAAATGTAAACTTTGTGTTTGTTTCCTTTAAAAATAGTCTTCCCTTGTTTTTTCAAAGCACCCAATACCTTTAAAAGTGATAGGAAACAAATTCAGGAAGAGGGGTAATGTCCCACCAAAGATACAGTACACCACTGTTGCTTACTTGAGTAATGTAGGTGACCATGGAGTACTGGTTTCCTACAGGTTCAATGACCCATCCACTAGGTAGCATATGAGCTCTGACCAATGACCCTTCCTCTGGACAGTCTTTCCACTCGATGGATCGGCAGGCCACGATGTGACGCTCACCCTACAATGGGATCATCAAAGAACAGCAACAATAATATTCATCATCATGTATCTTGTTATTTTACAGTGAGCAATGCACTATGCACTTGGGGTCATCCATCCATAAGGTATCTTATCTTCAGGATGATGAATAGTGAGAATGGCACAATCAAGGGGGACAAATCTGACAATAACCATAAATGGGCGTTCCTGATTGAGAGATTTGCACAGGGTACAATTTTGAAATCCATTCTCCACTTCTCTGCCACACAAGCAACAAATGGAGTTCAGTTCAAAGATGTTATGTATTATTACAGTTTGGAGCAGAGCTCTTTAGTGTCCTTACAATGTATGAAAGAATATAGAGAATTTACCATTAAAAAAATTTCAATCAAAAAAAGAAAATCACAGGACTAGCTTTAAAGTGTCAACAAAGAGAAGACTAATATATTCCCAGCAGCAGCTACATCTAAACACTTTAACAGACATAATGAAATTCTACTTTACTGAGTAGACTGTATACATTTATTTTAAAGATTTCCTAACAATCCCAAGACTTACCACTGCTTTACAAACTTGTAGCACACAGAAATCTCTTGACTCTTTCTTCAAGAGTTGAGGCACTTCATGGACCATGTGATCTATACGATGTAAAGGAAACACAGAGTAACAATCAAAAGATCTGTTTAATACATTTGCATAATTGAACACGCATTGTGCTGTAACAGTTTGTACAAGAAATAAATATTAAATGCAAAGATTCATCGATTAGTGTTTGCCTAATGTTTACCTAATACATAAGGCTTTACTACTTCAGCTAGAAGGGATTAGACCACCCAGTGAGCCAACGAGGTCACTGTGACAGGTGGCTATCTCATTAACTCAGCTCTCATTTAACATAAGAAAAAGAGGATCATGGGGGACCAACAGGCACCGATTTGGGAAGTTTTATATATAGAGGGAGCAAGTAGCTACAAGTAGGACAGTGTGCCTTTAATGAATGATTTACATGCAATCATACATTAAATTGTCCATTTGTTCAGTGTTATAACACAGGGATTGGCAAGGTTATATTGAAACTCAGACATGATCTTTCAGTTAACTGGAAGTTAACAGGCAGTTTATGTAAAGAACATTAAAAACATAAAATCTTTGTAGCCGATTCATTTCAATGCATCACAAAAAAGAATTCGAATCATATCAGGAAGTTTATGTAAAGAACACTAAAAACATGAAATCTTTGTAGCTGATTCATTTCAATGCATCACAAAAAACTCTGAAAATCGTATCAGGAAGTTTATGTAAAAAAACATTAAAAGGAAGTATTGGAGCTTGTCACATTGGTCTGTACAGATATATGAGCAATTTTTAGTAACTTATATATTTTCCTATTATGCACCGTCGGTCTGCAATCAACAGGATTCTCACATCAAGTTACTAAAGACTGATCTCTCAAGATCTCTACAGTTCTAAAACATTAAATATTTCCCAGTTTTTTAAAATGTTATAAAGCGAACAGTTGACTGACTTAGATGCCTGAAAGAACAAAAAATCAATGCTTATAAGATACATTACGCATACACATGAACTAAGAGATAAACACAGAATTAGTTTCATCAGCAAACTTTAAAACTACAGATATCTAAATATCAAATATACTTACAGACACACAAGTCTTCTGAGAAGGTTTTCACAATGTTCATTTTCTGAAAGTGAAAGCAGTGAATTAAATTAATTGGCTTTGAAATAACTTTGCATCCTTATCAATAATTGAGTTATCTAACATTTTCTGGAAGCATGTAACACGTATGTATAAACATAAAGCAGGGCTGCATCACATTCTTATCAAACCCTTTCCTCTATTCTTTCCTTCTCTTCTCTTCTTTATCTCTCTCTCTCTCTCTCTCTCTCCATTCTTTCCATATTTTCCTCCCTCCCTCCCTCCCTCCCTCATATAATACATAAATTCATACAATGTTATATCTACCTTTAACATTGTATCATAAGTGAACCTTGTCCGCGGATTTTTAATGGCTTTGAAGACGGTGGCAGGAGATGCTTTGATGATCCCCTTTCCAAGGTAACTAAATTCAACATGAAACAAAATGGACAAGGATAGAATGGAGAAAAATGAATTTGATACTAGTCCTAAATCCATATTCAATGATAGAATAATGGTTTCATTGATTTGGGGTCACTAAACAAGAATTAATGTTGAAAACAGAGAGTATCACAGTCTAATTTCTCACAGCAATAAAGTCTATTTGATTACACTTTAAAATACAACTGCATTGAAGATTCAAATACGAAGGAGTGGATGTCTTACCTGTAATACTTTCCATTCTTTGGTTTCTTCAATATCACCACATCCTTCTCAAGGCAGTGAAAGCTGTTACAATAAAGTAGATAGAATATCAAATGAAAATTAACATACAAAATATCAGTTAACAATTATTTGTGTTACATAAACAAGTATATTGCAGGGAAACAAACTTAAGCTCCATTACCTTAAAGCCCCACTTCACTACTTAGAAGCTAATTGCACCCTTTGTATAGCAAACAAGCCTAATCGGTGCCAGTTGGTCCCACATGATCCTCTTGTTCTTATGTTAATTAAGAGCCGATTTGATGAGATAACCACCTGTCAGTGACCTTGCAGGGAGGTCTAATCCCCCTGGCCAAACTAGTGCAGGCGGTCGTTAAACAAAAGCATTTCTGACATAACAGGGCTTCATCAAGAAAAAAGTAACCACTCGCAAAATCTATGGAGGTGGAAAGGAAATTACTACTGAACAGATGCAATGCAGTGAGTAAGGAAGTGGTTACCTATTTCACAATAACAACCACAAAATTGATTACTTACGACCATCCCCCTGTCTGTTGCATCTGATCATTTTCAGAAACATTCACATTGATACCAGCTGCTCTAATACTCTCCTCCAATACCAGCTGTGCTCCTTGATGAGCTAATGACTGGTACTCTGCCATATTATCTAGAAAAGAGAAAATATTAGTAGAGTTCAACAAACTTTTGTTTTACAGCATGACACCGAACAAAATCTCCATTAAACAATCCTTTTTTTTCTTCATATTTCTTGATCACTCTTATTTTTTGTTTTCCAAAATACAGCCACACATCCAAACGTTTTAGAGTGAGATTCAACAGATTTTATGGAATAATTCATGTACTAAAATGTTATGATTTACTTACTCTATTCTCAATTATTTCTGAAATGTTGTTCTATAAATTTTTTTGATCAGATTTGATAATAGACACACGTGAATAGATGACAATTACCTATGAATTGATGATCAATCTTTGCACTTTTACAATTCTTTTTACGAAATTATAAACATTGCATAATCAATACTGACCTACAACCCCACTGTCCTCTAGGCCTCCTAATCCCTTCTCACTAGTGGTTCTATCCAATGACCCTGTCTTTCTCTCCAAAGAATCCTTCTTTCCCCCTCCTTCCCCTGCTGTTACATCAGCACTCATTGTCTTCTTGACTCTCTGCCTACGACTCCTGTGCTGCCTCTCACTATAAAACCCTGCATCATCGCTGGAAGAGTTATCCTGCCACATACTGAGACTGGATGCCCTAGGCTTGCGTGTATCGCTTGGCCAACTCATGGCCAGTCTCTCCGTCAATCGACTGTCCGACTTGCCTTCGGCATCCAATCCATTGTATATAGGCATGACATCATCAGGAAGAGATTTCCTCAAAGAAGAGTATTTGTCCGAGGTGCCATTGGTGTAGGCTTTGGATCGCAAGGTGTGGCTTGTGAGATGCTTAAGGCTGGAATGGCAGAGTGGGCTAAGTTTAAGGTGCTTCAGCTCAAAGTACTGTTTGAGAGCAGCGAGTCTTAATGCTGGTTTCTCACAGTGTGAAGAGTCTTTATTAGATAGCACGGAGCATGTGATATGATGCATCAGGCTCTTGTTGGCATCTGAAGAGCATATTGGGAGGATAAAGAGAGAAGAAGGATTAACAAAGGTGATGAGGAATTTAACCATGCAAGAGTTTGCTACAAGAAACCTGAAAAAGAACCTTCAATGATTGTTTACTATAAGGGGGGGGGGGATTCTCAAGTACAAGCACAATGTTCAAATTTTACAGCACTATGTATAACCTCTGTGTGAAACAAATTATCATATTAGTTTTCATTACCGTAATTAACGGTGTATTAACCACACTTTTTTGCCGGCGAAAAAAATTCAAAGTCGGGGGTGCGTCTTATACACGGTACACCAAAAAAAAAAAAAAAAAAGGAGAGAAAAAAGCTCAGTAATCAGTGTGTTTACTCACCACTTGAAAACTAGAACAACACTCAAATATGTCTGTCATCTTGGTTTGAAAGTAATCTTTCTGATAGATCTCAATATGTAGTTTATAATAATAAGTCAGCAAAAAAAAAACAAAAAAAAAACAAAAAAAATAAGGGCGAAAAAGAGGGGTGCGGTAAATACACGAGGCGGTTTATACACCGTTCATTACAGTAAATGAAAGGTAAAGGCTAGGTTGCATATAAATGTATTCCTACATGAATGGAGGAACCAATGTAAAATGGGACAACAATTTGGAGGACCTGGCCTGTGATATTTGCATATATATTCCACAGAGCTACAAGCACATGTACCTTCTGTAGCTGGTTGTACTAGAGTGTACGTCCATAGTTCATCTAATGTATGGCCTTTGCCCTTGAACACGGTCCGACTGAACATCCAACCTGCTGCATCTCCTTCCATCTTCCAAGACCTGTCATGAATACAAACATGAAAGATGCTAATATTAAAATAGGCTATGCAACATCAATCATTCTACAAGTGATGTAACCACAACAGAACCTCTACAACATGTAAATGTGAGAAGCCTTCATGCTGCATACTTAACAATACTGTTCTGTAATCATATTCAGTGCAGAATCAGTGATCCAGATTGAACAAAAAAGGAAATCTTGAAATTAATTCAACTTATTTGTGGATTAAAAAATTGGTTCAGGTGGTTATTTTTTGCAGACAAGGCCTTCATAAGCCAAACGGTAAAACAATATACAAGCCCATTCCAAATTAGAAATTTGAACCTATCTTCGCACTTTTATCATTGTTTCATGGATGGAAATTTTCAAGGTAAAAATTATGATGTGATTTAATAGATGAGGCATTTAATTACATTGAACCTGCAATCAGTACATACTAATGATGCTATGCAGATGGTCACGACTACTCACTTTCCATGTGTATTCAGTATGACATCTGGTGCCAGACATGAAGTAGAGCCTTTTTAATGTATTCTTGGCATGAGGATCAAGGCTATTAGGTTTCTCAATTACGCCAAAGTCCATTAGCAAATGGTTAACATCTGCTCAAGTTTGTTACGGTAAAATCCAGCATGATATTCATCAGTATAAAATAGAGGCTAGGGTAACCAGGAAGGTCACATTGAATGTTTAATGGAAGTGCATTATCCTGCATGTTTCAGAATCATACACATAATTTTCAATCCATTATACATGGCATAAAAAATGGTTTACATACACAAGTTTGTACAAAATAATTCACTCACATAGGATTTCTTAATGGCAAAATTTGCTGTGAAATCTCTGGACAATTTAGATTTCTCACATAACAATACCTATAAAAAGTTATTTTCCAGCTCTCAAGAGCAAAAGAGATCAAACCCCAACACTATAAATAGCCAGGCATACCTACCTAGCAACTACAGCTGGTTTGGGGTCATTCCCGGTAGTGATATACCCAGATCCATTGGACAGCATGGTGTAGGGCATGGCAAGAAAAGCAACAAGCCTGTCCAGGAAATCTTGTGGGAGTGTCTTCTGTTTAGCAGCTAGATTCAAATTGACTACATCTACCATCAGGGGATGGTCTGAGGCAGCATCGGTGGTGGTAGGGAAGGTGATGTAGTTGCATTCTGTTACTTCATGGTCCCATTCCTGGGTCTTGGTGATGTCTTTCAGTGTCTCCAAGATACCCTAGCCGAGGAATATTCAAGAATGATGACAACAACAGAAACAATGATTAATAATGGTAACAATATTGATGATGATGATTATGATGATGATGATGATGATGATGATGATGATGATGATGATGATGATGATGATGATGATGATGATAATGATAATGATGATAGTGCTCATGGCCCCATTTATAGTGGTATCCGAATTTGCAGGGTCCATGGCTCTCTAAATGTCTTAAAATTTGACACTTTTGGCCAGGTGTAGAATGACAAATTTTAATTCCATTAGTCACCTTGTGAGCAATATAATTATTTGTTCCTTTACTTTGAAGACAATTTCGGTGGGGACAATAATTTTGATGATTTAAGTGATGTTTATAATACTGAACGTGCATTTCGACAAGAAAAATTTTGATCTACTCAATATGTTTCTAAGGTAACGTGTGTTTCCCCCAAACAAAATAAATGCAACTCGACCCCTCTCAAAATCATTGGCGCTGATAGGTATTCCAATGAAGCTATCTCATAATTTTCTATTCCCTTTTAGCATGTTATTATGTTATTTATGGTTATGTCACAAATAGTGTCAATTATTTCTACATGTACATGTATAATTATCATTACATTAACATTTTTTGTCCTTCATTATACCTAGGTCAATCCTCTTGCTTCACTCTTATTCAAAATATATTTTTTACCAGAACCTGGAAAATAATTCTGGTTTTTCAGATTAAAAAAAAAATTAAAAAGATCCCAGGGTACATGTACATGTATATTGTTTGGCATTGAAGAGTATGTAATTCATCCTTTTTAGTCAAGCTTAAGTTCTTCTCGTACACATCTCAAGAGCAATCCTTCTAACAGAATCTGTAGCTACGGCGATATGTCAAACAGCAATTACACATTCTGTTTCCAGAAGATTGGGCACTCAACCTTAAACATACATGTACAGGATTCAATACTCTTAGAGATGTTGGGCTTTTATTAATGCAGAAACAAGCCACAATGTAACAAAGCAGCATACGTAAATTGTCTTTATAATTTGATTTTTTTTTTTATTTGCAGGCGCCCCTGAGTATCCCCTGGGGTGGAAACAAATAAGTCCACTATATGAATTTACATGAAGCTATTATTAATATTACTCTTATAATTTTGTCTCTATTCATTTGCAAGTGTGCTTTGGCCAAATTATGTAACAAAGGAAGAAAAATATAGTGTATAAGTTCTCAGTTGGCATGCTTAATGATTATTTGCTTGAAAAGTTCCATTATATTTTGATGGGCTTTATGTATTAATGCGCAATTCAACCACTTAACTAAAAAATGTTTGATGAAACCTTGTATAATAAATATCTCTATAACTGATAGTCATTCATACATAACTATTTGATGTGATATTGTATTCCACAAGATTTTCTTTCAAGACGGGGTAATCACTGCTTACACAAATATTACAATTAAGAATTATATGTAAACTACATTCCAAGTACAAATACTTCCATCCTGTATGTTATTTGAACAAGATCTTTTCAGGAATAAAGACTTGATTAAACAATGTCATCTCCAGGGTAGGGCAAAGCAAGAGTTTGAGAGAAAGGGGACTGAATAGTAATAAACTTGTACCCTGTTAAACAAAGTGAGAGAAATGGCAAAAACATTCGGGTAGAAACAATCATGGCAACATTTCCATATTTTCAGGTAACCATAATAAAGTATATATATGTCTTTGACTCACGAGAATGTAATTCAAACAAATCTATTCTTTGTAGCAGGCATGAACAATACTATTTTTCTGTGTCATTCAGGTTTTAACAATTTAGGACAATGGGGCTTCATGGGTAGTGAGTGCCCTTGTAGTCGGTGAAATATTAAAATTATGTTACAGAATTATTACCTTCAGCAAACTGGGTCACATCACAATTATATCTCACATATTTATATGTAATGTGCAGGATTCTATCAATTACAATTCTCATACAGACTTTAAGACTTTCCATTAATTTTCAAAGATATAGTAATGCCAACCATAGCTCATTGAAATATACAAAAAGTGAATGGCACTCTAGAATTATATCATAGTGGTTCAAAAACTATGTTCCTCTGCTAAAAGCAAATCATAGATTTAAGTTCTTTTACTAACATTTTCTTTACTACAAATCAAAAAAAAATAGAAACCCGATACTAAGAACTGTATCTTTCAATTATTTATTAAATAGATGTATACTTGTGTATGATGCAAGTTCTACCAGTCTATCCAGTGATTAAACTTTTAAAGGAGGCAACATTACAATGAAGAAACTTTACTTCATTTTTTTTCCTCTAATACATGAGTAAAAATCAAACAGAAAGAGAATTTATTCAATTCGTTTTTTATCTTTCTTTAAAAATACTTTATTTTTGTAGCTATGACATTATGCAAACAAATATTAGACACCAAACGCCTACATGTGTACATGTATTTGTTTCATTCCAGTAACCAAGTCATTGTCCAGTGATGCAAAAACCAGGGCACCCCACGCCAAGGGCGGGTATCCCACCACATGTGAAAATCCAGGCACAATGCAGGAGTTTTACATGACTGAATATTGATTTTCAATCGTCAGAGAGATTCAAATGAGCAAATCTACTGGTATATATTTTCCAGGGAAAGAATTTCAGAAGCAAGTTCATGGGTAACAATTTACAACAACAAAAATTCTTCTAAATGCTATCATAATGTTAAGAAATGTAAGAAAATTTAAAATAAATCAAAAGATATTTATTATTTGTCACTTTTATATCAGATTAATCCTATACAATTTTCCTTTATCAATAGTTGATGTACTGTTTGCAGAAGGTAACATAAACTAGCCGCACAGTGAAAAACATCTCAAACCCCATGGTACTAATCAAATTGCATAAATTTCTCTCTATCTGTACTCATGCAAACATATGAGTATGGATCTTTTCCCTCCCTTTCAAAAAGGGTGAATCATAAACACTCACAGAGGCTCTCTAAGTACAGGAGAGGTCAAGATTAATAATGATGAGTCAACAACAATCACACTCGCAGCAATACACCATTTTTGTAATGTAATCAAAATTATATGAATCGTTGTTGATTGTATTCTAATAGTCAGAATGCAAATTGTTTACATTATGTTTTGTTAGGTACATGTAGGACAAGCCTTAATGTTTGTCCTCCCTAGCAACGATTAATTTATGCAATTTGCATTCTGACTAACGAAACATGTTTATTTGTAACAAGTGAATGAAATAAAATGTAATGAGGTACTGAAAAAAGATTTGGGCATTAAATTTGATTGCATTACCAAAATGGCCTATTTTCAATAGTCATAATTATTTATCATCAATTAATGATAGTGTTTTTTCTGTGCAAGTGACATGTGCTTTCATCTCTGTATGTTTGAGTGCGTGTGGTTTAAGTCTTTTTCCTTATTGTATCACTCCCTCTGTCTCTGTCTCTGTTTCTCTCTCTTTTTTGTTGTTGCTTTACTGATGAAGGGCTCTCTGACATCTAACAATACATTACACTAGAACAATGTGAGAACTGCTATTTGTTGTCATATGAATTTTAACATAAATATTCATTTTAAATGTTTCACAGATATAAATTGCACTTCTACAGTTTCATATCTAGACAAAATGAAAAGAGATATTGCCAGTGTACGAAGCACTTGATAAGCGACAAGTGGTACACAAAATGTACTATATGAACCATGACCTTACATTTTATGTTCTTCTTCATAGAATGTGTTTCAAACAAAAATATTATATTTCACAAAATCAATCCACTTCTTACTTTGTAATCTACATAGTACATGTAATAAAACACCTGTAAAGTGTATGGGAATTAATCCAGTATTGGATTATAAAAGCCCTATTCAGGGTACAGAAGCTAATCTCTCATGGGATTACTTGCAAAAGCTCCAACGTGATCAATCATAAACCATGTAAATATACATTGGAGTAATGAGACTCTAATGGATGATTAAAATATGTGTGAATCATGAAATGCATGTAGCAAAACTTTAAGAAATTTTCTTAACATTTAGTTAAATCCAACCAAAAAGCTATAATCACACAATTCTCATTGTAAGTGCAAGTATGCATACTGAACGGAAAAGAAAAATATGAATCCTAAATAATAATTTGCCAATTTAAAGGAGACCCAAATCATTTTAGCTTGCTATTATGTTGAGAGCACATATTCTTTATTTATTCATTGTTGCAATGATGAGTTGAGAACAAAATAATACCCCACCATGTAGTTACCTTTGCATTAGATGATACAACAGCACTAGATCCATGGAGACTGTAGAGGCTCCCTGCAAGCTCCACCTTCTTCTCCCAAGATCTGAGCTCATGATGGACACCTATAAGCTGCCAACCTGTGCTGGAATCTATCGGCAGGAGCTGTAGAGACAAAAAGATCATGTAGAGATTATTCAATACATCTTCTATCTCACTGATCATATAACATTATAACTTTAAAATGTCAACAACTTCAACAAATTCATGTTATATACGGAACCTGAATATACTTTGAGGAGGATTAAGCCTTCACGTACCTCCCAGAATAAGGGAGCCCCCCTTCTATTCTCTCAGTGACAAGGTAGTGTATCAAGTATAGAATTCAGAATATGTAGAACCCTCATAGTGGGATAGTAGGGGTTAGTCTACATGAATACAATGATTACAATCCATGCACAAATGTCACAAATGTTTTAGAGAGAGGAATAGCTCACTACATACATGTACCAGCAGATTGCAGTGCAGTGAATAATATCAAAACCAAGATACTTAAACAACCATGCCAAGCTTTTGGTTTGTTTACTTATGACGGCAATGAGAAGGTCCTAATGAGTATGATGTTCAGAACGATAATGATATTGATAATGATGATGATGGTTGTGGTGATGGTGAGGATTACAATTATGATAGTAATGATGGTGATCAGAATGATGACGATGATTTATGGTGATGATTTATGGTGATGATTACAATGATGATGATATGATGATGATGTGATGACGATGAAGATGTGGTGATCATGATGTGATGATGGTGATGAAGATTACAATGACAAAGGTGATGATATTATTAATTGTAATAAAAAAATTACCTTTTGGGAGAAGAGTTGTTGGAAGACTTCTAGTCCCTGAGGTGGCTGCCCGGGTCCATCTGTAGTTAGTCCTTCATCTTCCTATAAGTAGTCAAATAGGTAGAAAGCAAGGAAGAATCATAATACGAGTGGAACAAAGAAGTGAGAGAAAAAGAGATAAATGAAGAAAAATAGAGAAAAGGAAGGGAGAGGGAGAGGAAGAGGAAGAGAGAGAGGGAGAGGGAGGGGAGGAAATATATATATGCAAGTGTAACATTCAATACAAAAGAACACTTTTGGTTCAATTTTCAAAGAATATCCTCATTATGAGAATGTAATTTCAAAAGAACAATGCCAAATTTAGTTTGGTCTATGAATTAATTACAATTTCTTGTCTTCTTTTATAACAGCCTGCCCTAAAGATTTTCCCAACTTTGTATGACCTCAACCACTCTAGTTCCTGAAAAAAGTGATATAAAAATAATTGCATGTACAGTATACCATGCTATGATCAACTGTACATGTGTGTACTAGACCATTTTCTTAATGTAATTAAATTTAATGCACAAATCTTTAAGTGCCCCGTTACATATTATTTCATTCACCCGTTACATATATATTTGTATTTCAATAGTCAGAATGCGGATTGCATATATATATCACATGTCGTGAGGTAGGACAATCCGTAATGTTTGTCTTACCTAGTAACAAATGGTCTATTGATAATGTCATCACATTAATCTAACAGCATTTAATACTTACAGTGCTACATTGATTGATTGCATTACCCAGTAATCTAACCTTCAGATTTTGTGGGAATTTTTCAAAAAGCACATAACAGTATGACTGGCGTTGTAGAAAAAAACACTTCCTCATTTTCACTTTCAAAAATGAAGGTTGCCTGCCACTTTGACAATTTCTACCTCCACTTTCATTAATAACATGGAAATAAGCTCTTGACTTGTGCTTGAAGTCTTAATCAATGACCTACAATATATTGCATACATGAACATGGATGCCAGGATTATTCTCTTAGAAGTGTCAGCTATCTGATAGTAACCATATTGCCATGTGGATGACAGGAAAGCCTCAAAGTTATAACTTCCTCCATAATTTGGAAACTTTCTAGTTAGTGCTACAAAGTTTGTTGACCCAACTAATTTTGTGGCAATTTGCCCAAATTCTTTATGAAATGTCTATGTCTATGTATTCTGAAATTACTATACAAGCAGCTAGCTCACAATGTATAGAACCTTATTATTCATCTTCTTGCTGCTAATGCCATGCATGAACACCCATTGCCCTGGTAATGCTTTTGTATTGCCCCCACAAAATACACAAAAGATCTGAATTGAGATTATAGTGACTTACTTCTCTAACTTTTGTCTGCATGGGGGTATTATTTGAGAGTTTGAATATGACTCAAAATAATTCCTTACGCGTAATTGGTAGAAAGATAAGGTACTTAGAAAAAGAAAAAACAAACAAACAAACAAGTAATTCTTCTTTAAAGAAAAAAGTACAGGTACAATGTAGTTAATGCACACACACACACACAATACATGAAAGTAGGCTATAATCAGCACTCAAAATACACGGGGGCGGTGGGCGATTCGCCCCCGTGAGCTATATAATCGCCCCCGTCAGGATGCTCACGGGGGCGATTGCAAAATTAACTAGATGGAATTTTGACTGCGCGCAGTCGAAAATGATGCCTCCGCTATAGAGCAATTCAAACAAGTTTGGAGTTTAAATCTCCAGTGGTTCTTGAGATATCATGATAACAATCTCAATGTATGGAATTTCATAAGTTGACCTCTGTGACCCTTGACCTTTGACCTACGTGCTCCAAAATCTAATCAGATTGTCTTCCTATGGTGATACACACTATCATTAAGTTTGAAGTTTAAATCTCCAGTGGTTCTTGAGATATTATGATATGGTGATACATACTATCATTAAGTTTGAAATGAAAATTCTCCAGTCGTTCTTCAGATATCGCGATAACGATCTCAATGTATGGAATTTCATAAGTTGACCTCTGTGACCCTTGACCTTTGACCTACGTGCTCCAAAATCTAATCAGATTGTCTTCCTATGGTGATACACACTATCATTAAGTTTGAAGTTTAAATCTCCAGTGGTTCTTGAGATATTATGATAACAATCTCAATGTATGGAATTTCATAAGTTGACCTCTGTGACCCTTGACCTTTGACCTACGTGCTCCAAAATCTAATCAGATCGTCTTCCTATGGTGATACATACTATCCTTAAGTTTGAAGTTTTTACATCTCCAGTGGTTCTTGAGATATCATGATAACAATCTCAATGTATGGAATTTCATAAGTTGACCTCTATGACCCTTGACCTTTGACCTACGTGCTCCAAAATGTAATCAGATTGTTTTCCTATAGTGATACACACTATCACTAAGTTTGAAGTTTAAATCTCCAGTGGTTCTTGAGATATCATGATAACAATCTCAATGTATGGAATTTCATAAGTTGACCTCTGTGACCCTTGACCTTTGACATACGTGCTCCAAAATCTAATCAGATCGTCTTCCTATGGTGATACATACTATCCTTAAGTTTGAAGTTTAAATCTCAAATGGTTCTTGAGATATCGCGCTAACAAACTCAATACAAGGAATTTCATAAGTTGACCTCTGTGACCTGTGACCTTTGACCTACGTACTCCAAAATCTAATCAGATCGTCTTCCTATGGTGATAAATACTATTCCCGAGTCTTAAGTTTAAATCTTAAATGGTTCTTGAGATATTGTGATAACAGTCAAACGGGACGGACGTACGGACGTACGGACGGACAACCCGAAAACATGATGCCTCCGGCACCACCTTCGGTGGCGGAGGCATAAAAATCGCCCCCGTGGAATTATAAAATAAAGATTATCTTTTCTGTTATAACTTTAACACAATATTGAGTTTCAATTTACAAACCTTAAACCAAGATTTCTGGTTCTATGAGTAGGCCTTATTATTATTAGCGATTCAGCTCGCAGTGCAGTGCCGCCGTCAACAGTGGTTATAGGCCTACTGCGCCGTTAGTAACGGTACGTGTGCACGCTGCCGCGCCATGTCTGCTGGAGCAAGGGCAGAAACATGGTGATGGGGAAGTTTTTCGTTGTGAAAGCGTAAACCCGCTGAAATCTGGTGATTTCAAATGACCAGCAAATAATGAACCTCGACCAGTAAATCAATATTAGGGACTTTTAGCACGATGAGAACGTGGACTGCAACGTGTGACCTCATTATAAGGCACTGCCAGTGCTTAAAAGGACGTCACATGACTTGTGACTGCCAGTGCCTTAAAAGACCAAGATGTCGTGGAATGATATGGTAACCTGGGCAGATCTACGGGGGGAGGGGGGGGGAAGGGGGTTTAACCCCCTCCTCCCCCCCCCCCCCCCCCCCCCCCCCCCCCTCCTTGGGCTGCCAAGTGAAAATGTGATGTGCATAGAAACACGCCATAAATGTGTCCAGATCGACCCACACAGTAAGATGTTAGTAGATGCCAGGAAAACAATACAGGGGTTCAAAATAGCAACAAAAAAAAGCTCGTGGACGATGCTTCGCATGTAAGTAGATGCCAGGAAAACATCACTTATGGGGGTCCAAAATCAGGGGCGGATCCAGCCGGCGGCAAGAGGGGGGGGGGGCCCAAATCTTGAGAAAATATTTAGCGGCGAATCGGCGAATGAGCGGAGGGGGCGGGGGGCTGGATAAATGCACATATATTTGTTTTTTGGGGGTCCAGTTTTTGGGGAACATTTTTGCGCCGACTCAGTCGGCCGGTAAATATTAAAGCGGGGGAGGGGGATGCTGTCCAGAGAGGAGGACCACTAATTTATTTCATTTTGTTAAGGAGGGGAGGTGAAGCGCCGTTTTAGCATGACTTTCTTTTAAACTCTTACTTTCACCTATCTCAGATAACCCTAAGTTTTTGGTTGCTGCTTTATATGTAGTTGATAATGCATGATTGAAATAAAGAGAGATAGAGAGAGAGAGAACCACCATCATTTTGCAATGGTTCAGGGTTTGTGTAATATACATTTGAAAACATTTCTTAGCGTCTCAACCCTATCAAAAATAGCGAAACTATTTTTGAGGAAAAGCATTATACTGAACTGAATAAAGAATAATAACTTTATATTGGCTCATACTAATACTGATAGATTAGGTCAGATTAGGAGAAGTGTATTCTTGAAGTGTCTCTCTTGGAGAGACACTTGATATGGAATTTTTAATGGGCCACTGAACCTGTCATGAACTGACAGATCACTATTGATGATGATGATTCTTTAATGAGTATTTTACATTGAATGGAACGTCTCAACTCAGTAAGCATGGCTGAGATTTGTAAAAGTTGTTTTTACAAAGAAGATTCGGGTGAATAGCAGTGCTTATTCAAAAACAATCCTTGCATCAATTTGAATCACAATCATTATTTGTCGCTTAATCCCTTTTAATGACTTTGTTTTCTTTCTCGTTTGCAAGGGGAGAAGAAGATATTTCACGTTAAAGACATCATAAAGATCAGTGTTGTATGCGTATATATTATATACACAGGCCCCGCGGAACGTTTATCAAAGTGGGGGGGCTAAAGTATTTACGATCAGGTAGAGGGTAGTGAGCGTAAATTGGTGGGGGGGGGGGGTTCAGGGGTTTTAGGCATTTTATTACGGTCAGAGAAGCACAAATATTTTGATGCCGCATTTGTGTCACTGGCAGGTAAGGGGGCGTTTTTATTTTATTTCTTAAGGTAAAATTTACGTTACTATCCTATTTTTTACCGGTTTGGGCGGCTAGGAGAGGGGGGGCGGGCCGGTAGAATCGGCCCGTGGATCCGCACCTGTCCAAGATAGCACACACACAAAATCGCCTCGCCGCTATGCGTCTCAGTAAAGAAAGAATGTAAATGTTGCTCCCAATAATGAGGAGGAAATAATGTGCAGAACGGGAAGAAATCGAGAGAATGTCATCACGGAATGAAAGTCAGTAACAGCTATGTAGCTTGTAAATTTGTAAGAGGGAAAATGCTGATTAAAATGATAATGATGAAATAGCATTATTGAGGA